TGTGTTATAATCTGGAAGAAAATAAGGAGGTTGAAACAGGTGAAAAACCTGACTTCAGGAAAGGGCATTATGGCGACCTTAGAAATTTTTTTAGTGAGTATAATTGGACAGACTTGTTGCTAGGCAAGGAAGTGAATGAGATGTATGTCAAGTTTTGTGAAATATATAATAAAGGCACAAAATTTTTTACACCAAAACAGAGATGCAGAACTAGGAAACAGGATTGGTTCAACAGAAATTGCAAGAGGGCCAGAGACCAAAAGACACAAAAATGGAATCAATACAGGAAGAGGCCAAAGCCCCAAACATACCAGCGATACAAAGATGTAAGAAACAACTACACGGCAATGAGGAGAGAGGCAGGAAGAAATTTTGAAAAAGGGATTGCAGACAAATGTAAAACAGAACCAGGCTTATTCTATAAATTCATAAACAACCATTGCAGGTAAAGGATAATATTCAGAGGTTGAAAATGGGAAATAGATTCACAGAAAATGAAAAGGAAATGTGTAAAACACTAAACGAAAAGTTCCAAAGTGTATTTGTACAAAATGAAATCTTCAGGGAACCAGACACAATAAGAATTCCAGAGAACAACATAGAGCACATAGAGGTGTCTAGAGACGAAGTGGAAAAAATGCCCAAGGAGCTAAGTAAGAACAAATCAGTTGGTGCAGATGGAGTTTCACCATGGGTTCTGAGAGAATGTGCACCTGAGCTCAGCATTCCACTTAAACTGATTTTTCAGGCATCCCTGTTTACAGGAGTTGTAGCTGATGTGTGGAAAAAGGCTACCATAGTTCCAATCTACAAAAGTGTTAGCAGGGAAGACCCCCTTAATTATAGACCTGTATCATTGGCAAGTGTAACAGTCAAAATATTGGAAAAAATAATTAACACTAAATGGGTAGAACACCTGGAGGAAAACGATATAATATCATACAGACAGTATGGTTTTCGATCTGGAAGATCCTGTGTAATGAACTTACTCAGTTTTTATGATCGAGCCACATAAATTTTACAGGAAAGAGATGGTTGGGTTGACTGCATCTATCTGGACCTAAAAAAGGCTTTTGACAGAGTTCCCCGTCTTAAACAGAGAGTTTAAGAGATTGTTCTGGAAACTGGAACATATTGGAGGGGGTGACAGGTAAGCTTCTAACATGGATGAAAAATTTCCTAACTGACAGAAAAATGAGGGCCGTAATCAGAGACAAGGTATCTGATTGGAGGAATGTCACAAGTGGAGTACCACAGGGTTCAGTTCTTGCACCGGTAATGTTCATTGACTACACAAACGATCTACCAGTAGGAATACAGAATTATATGAACATGTTTGCTGATGATGCTAAGATAATAGGGAAGATAAGAAACCTAGATGATTGTCATGCCCTTCAAGAAGACCTTGACAAAATAAGTATATGGAGTAACACTTGGCAAATGGAATTTAATGTGAATAAATGCCATGTTATGGAATGTGGAATTGGAGAACATAGACTCCACACAACCTATAAATTATGTGAGAAATCTTTAAAGAATTCTGACAAAGAAAGGGATCTAGGGGTGGTTCTAGAGAGAAAACTGTCACCTGAGGACCACATTAAGAACATTGTGCGAGGAGCCTATGCTTCACTTTCTAACTTCAGAATTGCTTTTAAATACATGGATGGAGAAATACTAAAGAAATTGTTCACGACTTTGTTAGACAAAAGCTGGAATATGTAGCGGTTGTATGGTGCCCATATCTTAAGAAGCACATCGACAAACTGGAAAAGGTGAAACAACATGCCACTAAGTGACTCCCAGAACTGAAGGACAAGAGCTACGAGGAGAGGTTAGAGGCAATAAATATGCAACAACTAGAAGATAGAAGAAAAAGAGACGATATGATCCCTATGTACAAAATAGTAACAGGAATTGATAAAATTGATAGGGAAGAATTCCTGAGACCCGGAACTTCAAGAACAAGAGGTCATAGATTTAAACTAACAAAACAAAGCTGCCGGAGAAATATAAGAAAATTCACTTTTGTAAACAGAGTGGTAGACGGTTGGAACAAGTTAGAGAGAAGGTGGTGGAGGCCAAAACCGTCAGTAATTTCAAAGCATTACATGACAAAGAGTGCTGGGAAGACGGGACACCACGAGCGTAGCTCTCATTCTGTAACTACACTTAGGTAATTACACACCGGCCGGTCAGCAATCAGTCAATAATATCAATTACTTTGAACTTCTTGAGATAATACTATCACAACAAATAGACATCATTGTTTGCTCATCATCGGTTACTGTGCAGTTGACAATGTGATTTCAGGAGAGGTCAATTTGATGAATCTCTCCATTAAGTGACAACAATGAATCCAAGATCAATTACATCATTGCACTGAACATTGCAGGCATCTTTGACTGGGTATGGCACCATGGACTGCTACCTAAGCTTCAAGCACTTGCTTTCTCAGGCTCCATTCTTTAATTAATAATGGACTACCTTCAAGGAACTCTAAAAAAAAAGTAATTATTAATGGAACAGAACCTTAAAGCTACTCATTGTCAGAGTCCCACAGTCACTTAGCTTTACTTGGCTTTACACAAGATCAAAAAGAAATATAAATACAGGTGAGTTTTTACATTAATCAAAAAGGGGTGCATCAAAGGGGTGCAGGGGTGCAAAAATCAAAAAGACTATACAAAAGTGGTATGCATCTACTGTCTCCTGGGGAGGCGAGAGTACTTACTGCTTAGTATTCTGATGACTGGACGCCAGCAAGCGTATATACAGTATAAATATTTATGGATGAATGATGTCAGAGATGGCATGAATCTTAAAGGTAACCATTGGCCCGCAGTTAAACAAGCAGTTAGATAGTGGCGTCTGGGCCCCTGCCCAAACAGCAGGTGTCTCGGGTACTATAAGGTGGAGAGAGGAGGTCTGTCTAGACACCTAATACGTTTAGAGCGCGTATTGTTGTTGATTCCTTATGTTGGTTTATTATTAGTCTGCTTAATATAATCTACACAGACCTTGACAAATATGAGTTCCCAATTGGCCTCTTTAGTGACCTGAGTCAATTGATACTGTAAGGTTACAACCATTTCTTACTTAAAACTTCACCACTATGGTATTCGAGGCCTTGCTCTGGACTATATTCGTTCCTATCTCATTGACAGACACAAATATGTAGCCATCAATAACCTAACCTCCCCCACTCTACCATTAACAGTAGGAGTGCCACAGGACAGCATCTTAGGACCTCTCCTATTTCTTGTATACATCAATGATTTGCCAAATGTTTCTAACATCTTAAAAAAAAAATGGTCGGTATACTCTCTAAAATCAGATATTATGTTCCTCACTCGACTCTCATTATACTATGCGCCCTAATACGGTATCAGTCCCTAATACGGTATCTGTTCATGGGGTTCAACCACTGCAAATTACTCAAGCTCATCATCACTCAGCAAAAATCTGCTATCAGAACTATAACAAAGTCTCTTCAGACAACACACAGCCCCTCTGTTCAAGTCCCTTAACATGCTAAACATACACTCACTCCACACATTCTCATGTGCTATTTACATGTACAAAACCTTGTTCCTAAATGCTAATCCTGATCTGAAACTTTTCCTTGATAGGTGTAATAGAACCCATGAGCACCACACCAGAAATAAATATCTCTTTGATATCCCCAGAGTCAAACTAAATCTGTGCAAACACTCCATGCAAATAAAAGGACCCAGTCTATGGAACTCACTCCCTAATGAATTAAAAAATTGTCCAACCTATGCCTTATTCAAAAGTAAAACCAAAAAGTACCTAATTTCATCCTCATAGTTTCCTACCTTGTGCTTCAAACTCACACTGTATCTTGTACTACCCACTTCCCCAATATTAGTACTTAAGACATATATCTTCACCAGTGTAATCACCTCTGTCAATTTATATTGTAGTTATATGTTGATATAAAATTTTGCTACAATGTACCTTTTCATCTTACCTGATATGTTAGATTAAGGACCTGCCCGAAACGCTATGCGTGTCAGTGGCTTTGCAAGAATGTAAAAATACCAATCTTATGTAATCTCACCAACCCATTGTTCCTTCTTGTGAATACAAATTATTGTTATTATTATGAATCACAACGCTGTAAATGATACACCCACGTACTACAAATACAAATAATCACCAAATACAAATTGCTACATATAATTGCTATATATAATAAATAATTGCTACAAATACAAATATAAATACTGTATTAATTTATATTTGAGAAAATTCCTGTTTTGAATGAACAGCATGTAAAAATTTATGAATGCGTCTGTGGGGTCGACCGGTGGATGTAATGGACTTGAGTCGAGGACAGGGTGCTGTAAACAGCCCGTCCTCCAAACAAAGACCCAAAAGTGATTCCATGCACCAGCCATACCTTGTACTTATGAATAAAAAATGGTGTACACACAGCTCAAAACTGATTTCGTTCGAACAATTCCGGAACAAGTGCTTCACCGACGAATTTTGTTCAAACTACGATGCTGTAAATGCTTCACCATGCACTACAAAAATAAATAATCGCCAACAGAACCTAAACACCTAACCTAACCTATGTCTATATATGCACATTATGCTAATATTTTATAATATTAATTTATATTTGAGAAAATTCCTATTTTGAATGAACAGCATGTTAAAGTTTATGAATTCATCTTTGGGATCGACCGGTGAATAGAATGCATTTGGTCTGAGGACGGGTTGGTATAAATGCTTCATCTACGTACCACAAATACAAATATTTATTTATTTATTTATTTATTTATGCATATACAAGAATGTACATAAAAAATGTGAGGATACAAATATGGTAATTACAGTCTTGTAAAGCCACTAGCACGCGCAGCGTTTCGGGCAGAAACGTACTGTAATCACCAACAGAACCTAAACACCTAACCTAACCAATGCCTAAATATGCACAGTATGCAAATATATAACAATATTATTATAAATTTGAGAAAATTCTTTTTTGAATGAACAGCATGTTAAAATTTATGAATGCAATTTTGGAGTCGATCGCTGGATGGAATGAACATAGACTGAGGACGGGTTGGCCCGAGCAGTGCGTCTATGTAGGCTCCCTTCCAAGGAACGGCATGCATGCAATCATAAATTCTAGGACATGAAGCTTTGCCACAACCCAGTGACAGGCAGAAAGACGGGATCCTTCCAAGAATGCCTGTCACCCTGATGTGATGGGATCACGTCAGGGTGACATTCATCACATCAGGATGGCTTGGAAACAAAGTACACAATTAGGGTGGGGTTGTGTGCCTGTATATCCACCCTACCCGACATTTACCTCCCCATAATGTAGCTCAACACTGGAAGACAGGTCACAGCAACTGATCAAAATGCTATCTCTACAAGCACTCTATTATTTCTCATGATGTAATGCTTGTATCCATTTGTGGGTTGGAGCAGGTGTTGTCATGTCTGGCAGCATCATTGGGAACCCTGTCAGCTGGAGCTGTCAATGGGTGGTCAGCAGGGGCACTGCCCTCCCTGGATGCTGACCCACACATCCAGATGGGCACCTCAAACAATGCCTGGGTAGGTATGTACAACCCTTACAAATTTTGTCATTATGTTTTAGAATGAAGATTAGTTAATTTCAAGTATTTTTAAAAAAGAATTTTTATGCATTTTAAAATTTAAAAGAACTTACTACTTAGTACAGTATTTATATACACGACAGCTAACCACTCCCCCTGATAATGCTATTTGACTAAAGTGCTAAAACAGAACATATGAAAATCTATTATCCAAACTAATTTTGAGCTAATCATACTCTATCAATATAATGTTCATGGAGAGTGACAAAACAAACACTGCAGCTTCACACAACAGAGAACATTAACCTGTACTTTATCTAGTTACAGTACTAGCAAATGCTGTCATTGTTAACAGCAACAGTAATATTGAAGAAGTGCACAATTTGTAATTGAAACGATGGCTGCCAATGTACATAATCAGTTCCTCCCCAATTACCAGAGGGGAGAGTGCCTCATTACTCGGTGTACATGTATTTACGGTACATTACCAGGATTCATTTTTGTTACTAATACTAGAGACATTAAGCATATGAAAACCTACACCTGCTTATTGAACTGAAATGGCCCTTGACATGCCCGAAGAGATCGTTTTAATAATTTTTCGAGATTCACTGCCCATCAGTCAATTTCTGATAATGGGGCAAATATTGAGCTAGCCGAGACCTGCCCCAGAAATATTTGTAACAATTGTGGAGTACAGTTCAAAGAAGCCTAATTAATGCTGATTTATCTGGTGACTTATTCCAGCTAAAGCCTTGTGGCAAGTTAGATTTTCTGGGTGAATGGTGAGGATAGTGAAACCTTATCTTAAAATCCTTCACTGGTAAAAATTAAGCTTGTAGGAATGGGCCAAAACAGGCTTTCGTCCTATATTTTGGTCCCCGGCGATGGCGGAAAACAAATGGGAAGAGTTTCTTTTACCCTGATGCCCCTGTTACCTAGCAGCAAATAAGTACCTGGGAGTTAGACAGCTGTTACGGGCTGCTTCCTGGGTGTATTCACCTAGTTGTACTTGCGGGGGGTTGAGCTCTGCTTTTTCAGCCTGCCTCATAACTGTCAATCAACTGTTACTAAAAAAAAATTTTCACACACACACACCCCTAGGAAGCAGCCTGTAGCAACTGTCTAACTCCCAGGTACCTATTTACTGCTAGATAACAGGGGCATCAGGGTGAAAGAAACTCTGCCCATTTGTCTCTGCCGACTGCTGGGATCGAACCCTGGTCCCTAGGTCCACGAGTCTAGAGCGCTGTCCACTCAGCCAGCTAGCCCCTGGTGTGTGTAATTACCTAAGTGTAGTTACAGGATGAGAGCTACGCTCGTGGTGTCCCGTCTACCCAGCACTCTTTGTCATATAACGCTTTGAAGCTACTGACGATTTCGGCCTCCACCACCTTCTCACCTAACTTGTTCCAACCGTCTACCACTCTGTTTACAAAAGAGAATTTTCTTATATTTCTCCGGCATCTTTGTTTTCTTAGTTTTAATTTATGACCTCTTGTTCTTATTTCCGGGTCTCAGGAATTCTTCCCTATCAATTTTACCAATTCCTGTTACTATTTTGTACGTAGTGATCATATCGCCTCTGTTTCTTCTATCTTCTAGTTTTTGCATATTTAATGCCTCTAACCTCTCATCATAGCTCTTGTCCTTCAGTTCCGGGAGCCACTTGGTGGCATGTCTTTGCGCCTTTTCCAGTTTGTTTATGTGCTTCTTAAGATATGGGCACCATACAACCGCTGCATATTCCAGCTTTGATCTAACAAAAGTCGTGAACAATTTTTTGGGTATTTCGCCGTCCATGTATTTAAAAGCAATTCTGAAGTTAAAAAATGTAGCATAAGCTCCTCGCACAATGTTCTTAATGTGGTTCTCAGGTGACAGTTTTTATCTAGAACCACCCCTAGATCCCTTTCTTTGTCAGAATTCTTTAAAGATTTCTCACATAATTTATAGGTTGTGTGGGGTCTATGTTCTCCTATTCCACATTCCATAACATGGCATTTATTCACATTAAATTCCATTTGCCAGGTGGTGCTCCATATACTTATTTTGTCCAGGTCTTCTTGAAGGGCATGACAATCTTCTAGGTTTCTTATCTTCCCTATTATCTTAGCATCATCAGCAAACATGTTCATATAATTCTGCATTCCATCTGGTAGATCGTTTATGTAGACAATGAACATTACCGGTGCAAGAACTGAACCCTGTGATACTCCACTTGTGACATTCCTCCAATCCGATACATTGCCTCTTATTGCAGCCCTCATTTTTCTATCAGTTAGGAAATTTTTCATCCATGCTAGAAGCTTACCTGTCACCCCTCCAATATGTTCCAGTTTCCAGAACAACCTCTTAGGTGGAACTCTGTCAAAAGCCTTTTTTAAGTCCAGATAGATGCAGTCAACCCAACCATCTCTTTCCTGTAAAATCTTTGTTGCTCGATCATAGAAACTGAGTAAATTCGTTACACAGCATCTTCCAGATCGAAAACCATACTGTCTGTCTGATATTATATCGTTTTTCTCCAAGTGTTCTACCCATTTAGTTTTAATTATTTTTTCCAATATTTTGACTATTACACTTGTCAATGATACAGGTCTATAATTGAGGGGGTCTTCCCTGCTGCCACTTTTGTAGATTGGGACGATGTTAGCCTTTTTCCACACATCAGCTACAACTCCTTTACACAGGAATGACTGAAAAATCAGGCATCCCTGTGTGTGTGGGGGGGGAATAGTAGTTAATAACAGTTAATTGACAGTTGAGAGGCGGGCCAAAAGAGCAAAGCTCAACCCCCGCAAGCACAACTAGGTGAATACATCTCAAGCAAATTAATACAGTAGCAACTCTTGATTAAAGCACACATGTGGACTCTTAGTGTGTACAATGCCTTAATTTCTAGTCATCTGAATAATAATCACAGTAATATAACATGGTTCACACCATGGCAGAGAATTTACAGGAAAAAAAGGATTGATATATATTTTGTTGAAGAGTAGTAATAAAGAGGTTCCTGCCCCACTTGTCTTTGGCCTCCCAGCTTGTCTGTGTCCTAACTCACAGTAGGCCTATTCCCACAAATTAGATGAAAACAGTAAGTCAATGAAACAAGAACTATTTAAACTTCCCTGAGAGTTCATGGACTCAAAGCTACATACTGTACAAGGAAATGCAGTGATCGATGGACTGTGAGCAAATCACAAGATCAGTGTAGAGGAATTATACTGCTACAGTAACTACTACATTGCCAACATTGTGATTCCAGGCTATACTACTACATTGCCAACATTGTGATTCCAGGCTATCTGGCTTTCACTAAAACATGACCAAATATCCTAATAAGTTAAACATAATGCTCATAAAACTGGCCAGTAATAGATTATTTGTGGCTAGAGCAGGCTGATAAAGCATGCTCTTTATGGGTTGCCACCCCATGAAAATGTTGGTAACCAACTGAAACTCCTATTGATGTTATATGCATATAAATCTGCGCCTATATAAAGAGTGCTGACATAGCATCAAAGTTTGTGATAACCAGGTATTAACCATCAATCACTTATTACTAAATTCTTGACAGTGCAGGACAATAAATTGACATAACGATTACCGTCAGATTAACACTATTTCTCTGCAGTCTTATCCATCAGCTGATATCTGAGCTGAGTGCCAATTTGGTTCTTTAGTCCTAGAAATACTAAAATCAAACAAAAACCACTATCATTTGTTCCCCCTTATCAGAATTGTTATAAATGTACTATATTGCTGAGGTTAGTAGTCTTGTCTTATACGATGCATACACTGTGGTTTAAATTAACCAACTTAAGAATGTAGCCTTTCCCATACAACTGAGACCCTATTGTGGAATAATGATTTATCATTCTATAATCTTTGAACAAGTTACTAGACCAGGTAGTAACCGGATAATGGCCTCTCCTCACCAGTGGGTATTGTTGCCCTGGGAGCCATAGTGGGAAGTACGGTAGCTGGTCGTGTCACGGATGTACTGGGCCGACGCAAAACTATCCTTGCCAGCTGCCCCTTTCTGTTTGCTGGCTGGATCATCATAGCACTGGCCTCCAATCTGGGTTTTGTGCTCACTGGCAGAGCTTTGTGTGGACTTTCTACTGCTTTCTTATTTTCTGCAGTACAAGTAAGGGGAACAAATTAATTTTGTACTTCAGTGAACTAACTTTACTTCAACTTGCTAAAAGGCAAAAAATATTTTGAATTGTTGATTCCTTAATACTAAAATGAGACTTGCCAAACTATTCAACAATTTACAGATGACATTTTTATATAAAAAACAACTACATGATATGCCTTACATAAAATTCATAAATTATTTAGTTAATTTTAATAATAAACAACATTTGTCTTAGAATTTAATGTACTGTATGTCGTTCAGTAAATAACCATTTGTGTTGCAGGTATATTGCAGTGAAATTCCTGAGGGAGGGATAAGAGGTCGCCTGGGAGCTGTGCCGTCACTATTCGTCACCCTGGGCGTTGTCTTAACATATGTAGCTGGAGCCTGCTTCTCCTGGCGCACCAGCTGCTATATCTGCGCTACTCCTTGTGTTCTCACCTTTGTTGCCATCATCTTTGTTCCAGAGTCACCACATTGGCTATTACTTAGGGGAAAGAGAGATGATGCTGAGGTAGCTCTTAGACGGCTGAGAGGACCAAACTACGACTTGACAAAAGAAATCACCGAAATGGAAGCCAAAATAGTATCAGTGGGAAGAAAACACGAACTCGGCGAGCTGTGGCGACCACGTACACGAAGACCATTCTTAATAGCCCTTTTCAATATGACTCTTCAACAAATTAGTGGGGGTAATATTCTCATAATGTACACAGGAAACATTTTTATATCAGCAGGTGTTGCAAACCACAACATGGCCATTGTGTACACAGGTTTGGTTCAAATTGCTGGTACACTTTTGTCAGTTATACTAATGGACCATGCTGGACGTCGGCCAATGATTGTGATTTCTACTGCTGTAATGGGCATATCAATAATCATGCTTGGGATTTATTTTTACATGATTAATGTAGTGGGTGATCTGTGGCCAGGGTGGGTGCCACTGACCACAGTACTGGTGGCAGTCTTCGGGTACTGCCTGGGGTGTCGCACCATCCCCTTTCTCTTATCTGCCGAGCTCTTTAACACTACCATCAGGTCTACTGCCAATAATGTCACTTTCTTCTACAACCGCATCCTCAACTTTGCTGTCATACAGGTGATTACTTTCCAAGTATCTTTCAATTTAGTAAAGTTATGTCATATTACATACACATAATGATATTCATCACTGAAGAGATTATTGATACTTTAATATAAGATATAAAGCAATTATTTAAATTTAAAGATGAGATATGAAAATATATAAAATACCAGGCAATTCTTCAAGACCAACACAAATCTCCTACACACACTAAAAGACTAGCATGCACTAAACAACTGTTATTTACAAATTAACATACTATGTACTGTGTGATATCTTGGTTATCTTGAGATGTTTTCGGTGTTTAGCGTCCCCGCAGCCCGGTCCTCGACCAGGCCTCCTTTTTGTTACACTCCCCTCAGGAAGCAGCCCGGTCCTCGACCAGGCCTCCTTTTTGTTACACACCCCCCAGGAAGCAGCCCGTAGCAGCTGTCTAATTCCCAGGTACCTATTTACTGCTAGGTGAACAGATGCATTAGGGTGAAAGAAACTCTGCCTATTTGTTCCTGCCTCCACTGGGGATCAAACCCAGAACCTCAGGACTACGTATGCGAAGCGTTGTTCACTCAGCTGTCAGACTCCATGATAGGATCATGACTACACACATTTTGAAGCATTTAACAGGAGCACTAACTTCAACAAGAGCACAGGCACACACTCATGCGCGCGCACACACACACACACACACACACAGTGTACTCACCTAATTGTGCTTGCGGGGGTTGAGCTCTGGCTCTTTGGTCCCGCCTCTCAACCGTCAATCAACTGGTGTACAGATTCCTGAGCCTATTGGGCTCTATCATATCTACATTTGAAGCTGTGTATGGAGTCAGCCTCCACCACATCACTTCCTAATGCATTCCATTTACTAACTACTCTGACACTGAAAAAGTTCTTTCTAACGTCTCTGTGGCTCATTTGGGTACTCAGCTTCCACCTGTGTCCCCTTGTTCGCGTCCCACCAGTGTTGAATAGTTCATCCTTGTTTACCCGGTCGATACCCCTGAGGATTTTGTAGGTTGTGATCATGTCCCCCCTTACTCTTCTGTCTTCCAGTGTCGTAAGGTGCATTTCCCGCAGCCTTTCCTCATAAATCATGTGAGTGTGTGTGAGTGTGTGTGTACTCACCTATTTGTACTCACCTATTTGTGCCGCAAGCACAAATAGGTGAGTACACACACACACACACTTAGTAATTTTAACATTTTAATCTTAGTAACACTTAGTAACACACTTAGGTAATTACACACACACTAGAGACCAAAAGACACAAAAATGGAATCAATACAGGAAGAGGCCGAACCCCCAAACATACCAGCGATACAAAGATGCGAGAAACAACTACACGGCAGTGAGGAGAGAGGCAGAAAGAAATTTTGAAAAAGGGATTGCAGACAAATGTAAAACAGAACCAGGTCTATTCTATAAATTCATAAACAACAAATTGCAGGTAAAGGATAATATTCAGAGGTTGAAAATGGGAAATAGATTCACGGAAGATGAAAAGGAAATGTGTGAAACACTAAACGAAAAGTTCCAAAGTGTGTTTGTACAAAATGAAATCTTTAGGGAACCAGATACAATAAGAATTCCAGAGAACAACATAGAGCACATAGAGGTGTCTAGAGACGAAGTGGAAAAAATGCTCAAGGAGCTCGGTAAGAACAAAGCAGCTGGCCCAGATGGCGTTTCACCATGGGTTCTGAGAGAATGTGTATCTGAGCTCAGCATTCCACTTCACCTGATCTTTCAGGCATCCCTGTGTACAGGAATCGTAGCAGACGTGTGGAAACAGGCTAACATAGTTCCAATCTACAAAAGTGGCAGCAGGGAAGACCCCCTCAATTATAGACCTGTATCATTGACAAGTGTAATAGTGAAAGTATTGGAAAAACTAATCAAAACTAAATGGGTAGAACACCTAGAGAGAAATGATATAATATCAGACAGACAGTATGGTTTTCAATCTGGAAGATCCTGTGTATCGAATTTACTGTTTCTATGATCGAGCCACAGAGATATTACAGGAAAGAGATGGTTGGGTTGACTGCATCTATCTGGACCTAAAAAAGGCTTTCGACAGAGTTCCACATAAGAGGTTGTTCTGGAAACTGGAAAATATTGGAGGGGTGACAGGTAAGCTTCTATCATGAATGAAAAATTTTCTGACTGATAGAAAAATGAGGGCAGTAATCAGAGGCAATGTATCGGAATGGAGAAATGTCACAAGTGGAGTACCACAGGGTTCAGTTCTTGCACCAGTGATGTTTATTGTGTACATAAATGATCTACCAGTTGGTATACAGAATTATATGAACATGTTTGCTGATGATGCTAAGATAATAGGAAGGATAAGAAATTTAGATGATTGTCATGCCCTTCAAGAAGATCTGGACAAAATAAGTAGATGGAGCACCACTTGGCAAATGGAATTTAATGTTAATAAATGTCATGTTATGGAATGTGGAATAGGAGAACATAGACCCCACACAACCTATATATTATGTGAGAAATCTTTAAAGAATTCTGATAAAGAAAGAGATCTAGGGGTGGTTCTAGATAGAAAACTATCACCTGAGGACCACATAAAGAATATTGTGCAAGGAGCCTATGCTATGCTTTCTAACTTCAGAATTGCATTTAAATACATGGATGGCGATATACTAAAGAAATTGTTCATGACTTCTGTTAGGCCAAAGCTAGAATAGGCAGCTGTTGTGTGGTGCCCATATCTTAAGAAGCACATCAACAAACTGGAAAAGGTGCAAAGACATGCTACTAAGTGGCTCCCAGAACTTAAGGGTAAGAGCTACGAGAAGAGGTTAGAAGCATTAAACATGCCAAAACTAGAAGACAGAAGAAAAAGAGGTGATATGATCACTACATACAAAGTAGTAACAGGAATTGATAAAATCGACAGGGAAGATTTCCTGAGACCTGGCACTTCAAGAACAAGAGGTCATAGATTTAATCTAGCTAAACACAGATGCCGAAGAAATATAAGAAAATTCACCTTTGCAAATAGAGTGGTAGACGGTTGGAACAAGTTAAGTGAGAAGGTGGTGGAGGCCAATACCGTCAGTAGTTTCAAAGCGTTATATGACAAAGAGTGCTGGGAAGACGGGACACCACGAGCATAGCTCTCATCCTGTAACTACACTTAGGTAATTACACACACACACAATTAACCAAATTGACAGAGAGGAATTCCTGAAACCAACAATTTTATGAACAAGAGGACACAGATTCAAGCTAAGAAAACAGAGGTGCCAAAAATATTAGAAAATTTTCTTTTGCAAATAGAGTGGTAGACGATTACAACAAATTAAGTGAGAAGTTGGTGAAAGCCAAAACCGTCAGTAGTTTCAAAGCGTTATACTGTATGATAAAGAGTACTGGGAAGAGGGGGCACACCACAAGCGTAGCTCTCATCCTGTAACTATTTAATATACACTTTGATGCTCTGGGCGCACATGCATCACACTACCCCGGGTGGGTTTGGGCATTCCGCGGGAGCGCGCGGTAATTGTAAAAAGTGTAAAATCTTTTCAACTTTGTTACCTCAATTCTTGTCCTAGGTTTTTCAATTTGGTATCATTGTGTTTGCAATAGAATTCTCTACAGGACTAAAGGCATATGAAGTCCAAATACCCAGCGTACTATCCGCAACAAACAGAGAATATGAGAGCATGTTACCCGGGAGCGCGTAGGACCGTTAAAATGTGTACACTCCTTTCACTTTGGTCACCTCAATTCTCGTCCCAGGTCTTTCATTTTAGTATCAATGTGTTCGTAATAGATTTCCCAACAGGAATATATGCATATAATGTCAAAAACAGCGGCACCCTCCACCCGCCGACAAGATGAAAGTTACCAGAAAGAGAGTGCTGCACCACCCCAAGGTGCCTCTCATTACAATAGAGAGCGGTCATACCGAAATGTGTATACTTTCTTCAACTTTGTCATCTCAATTCTCGTCCTAAGTTTTTCAATTTGGTATCAATGTGTTCGCAATAGAATTCTCTACAGGACTAAATGCATATAAAGCCCAAATACTCGGCGAGAAAGTGAGAGTGTGTTACCCGGGAGCGTGCAAGAGCAATAAAATGTGTACTCTCTTCACTTTAGACATCTCAATTCTCGTCCTAGATCTTTCATTTTGGTATCATTGTCTTCACAATAGAATTCCCTACAGGAGTATATACAAATATAAAGTCCAAAACCCCGGCGTCCCACCCACAGCAAACAGAACGTGACGGTGCGTTACCGCAGTGAGCCCTAATAAAGAGCAATAAAATGGGTATACTCTTTTCAACTTTGTTACCTCAATTCTGGTCCTAGGTCTTTCATTTTGGTATCATTGTATTTACAATGAAATTCCCTACAGGTGTGTATGCATATAATGTCCAAAACCGGGGCATGCCCCTCCTGAAACTGTTGCCAATTTGCCGCCAGAAATCACACAATGCTGCGTCATTACCGGACCAAAGTGTTAAGTAATTACACTTAGGTAATTATGAGCACCACCACCTAACAAGTTCAAAACCATATAACAGGAGCACCATTACCTAAGAAAAACACCACTGCCTATCTGGAGCACCACCACCTAACAAGAGCACCACCACCTAACAAGAGCACCACCTGCCTAACAAGAGCACCACCACCTAACAAGAGCACCACCTGCCTAACAAGAGCACCACCACCTAACAAGAGCACCACCTGCCTAACAAGAGCACCACCACCTAACAAGAGCACCACCTGCCTAACAAGAGCACCACCACCTAACAAGAGCACCACCTGCCTAACAAGAGCACCACCACCTAACAAGAGCACCACCTGCCTATCAGGAGCACCACCACCTAACAAGAGCACCACCTGCCTAACAAGAGCACCACCACCTAACAAGAGCACCACCTGCCTAACCAGAGCACCACCACCTAACAAGAGCACCACCTGCCTAACAAGAGCACCACCACCTAACAAGAGCACCACCACCTAACAAGAACACCACCACCTAACAAGAGCACCACCACCTAACAAGAACACCACCACCTAACAAGAGCACCACCACCTAACAAGACAACCACCACCTAACAAGAACACCACCACCTAACAAAAGCACCACCTGCCTAACAAGAGCACCACCACCTAACAAGAGCACCACCTACCTAACAAGAGCACCACCTGCCTAACAAGAGCACCACCTACCTAACAAGAGCACCACCACCTAACAAGAGCACCACCTGCCTAACAAGAGCACCACCACCTAACAAGAGCACCACCTGCCTAACAAGAGCACCACCACCTAACAAGAGCACCACCACCTAACAAGAGCACCACCTGCCTAACAAGAGCACCACCACCTAACAAGAGCACCACCTGCCTAACAAGAGCACCACCACCTAACAAGAGCACCACCACCTAACACAATCACCACCACCTAACAAGACAACCACCACCTAACAAGAACACCACCACCTAACAAAAGCACCACCTGCCTAACAAGAGTACCATTACCTAACAAGAGCACCACCACCTAACAAGAGCACCGCCACCTAACAAGAGCACCACCACCTAACAAGAGCACCACCACCTAACACAATCACCACCACCTAACAAGAGCACCACCTGCCTAACAAAGGCACCACCTGCCTAACAAAGGCACCACCTGCCTAACAAGAGCACTGCTGAGCTGTGCACAGTTCACTTGCAAGTTCACTAAAGCTAACCCCAAAAATAATCCATACATGTAAAAGTGCCAGGAAGATGAAGACACACAAAGGCTGTAAGCTGCAACATCGCAAGTGTTTGAGGAGAGTAATACTCTACAATAATATTCCAGGAATACAAGGAGGGAATGATCACATTAATGAAATGTCGATGTACCTATGAAGCATGACACCCAAACTACTGTACCCTCATTATAATGTATAAAAAATAATCTCTCTTTATAGACAGGTATCTTCTAAAATCATACAAATCAAGAAGTGCATTACATAGGCACACATGAATATATACATATATGTGACTATGCATATACATCCACATAAACAAAAGTTATATATAAATACACACTTGATACAACACGTGGTAACACAAACACAGCAATCTCTATAATGTATATTGTACAGTACTGTATTCTGAAAGTTATTTATATTAAAACATGTTCTCTTTAAACAGACATTCCCATATTTTGAAGAGTCAGCTGGAGCATACACAGTGTTCTTTGTATTGGGTGGACTGTGTCTGGCATGCTGTGGCATCTCTCTCATCTGTGTTCCGGAGACCAAGGGAAAAACTCTAGAGCAGCTTCAGGAGTACTTCGAGAAAAAGTCTACCTCAACACCAGAATGTAAAGTTAATGACAAGAAGATTCAAGAGCCAACAATAAGTTACAATGATGTCACCAGCAAGACCAGCAAAAGTTTAATTGCACCATCCTCTTGTACTCTTGTGAATGAAAATGTTACAAACACCTCTAGAGGATTATCAAGTACCTGTACTAAAACAATAGTACATAGTGAAAAGGGCAAACAAGATGAGAGTTCTGTAGAAAGCACAAAATTATAAGTAAACACCTTTGACAGTTGAGGAGAATGTGCCAGCAGACATTCCTCATGTCCACAGTATAGAAAGCACAATATATTACCCACCATATTACATCCTTTAGTCCTCATATGCCCATACATGCATATGGATATATTTTTCTTGTGTTTGATATCAACATTGTATTTTTATATAATCTATCTAGTTTTAGTAAATTAATCAATACTATATAAATGAACAAATTAATTTATTAATAAAAACTGAGTATTTGTGTACAACTTTTTTATGTGTATGATACAGTACCTCAAATAAAATTCCTAAGTATTGAACTTAACCTTATTTTCTTTAGTTTTAATAGTATCTTCCAATGTTTTGAGGCACAGGATTTACAGGATTAAAGGCATATAATACAGGATTTATGTGATACAAGAGGCAGAGTATGGCCAGAATCCCATGAGAAATACCATCAGCATCCTTCCCCAAGATACAAGAGATTTATGTTGATCATATGACTGAAAACTTTGCAAACACAACTACTGAGGAAATTATGCTTAAACTCATTTGGAAAGTACCGGGTGTCTCACATGTGATTATGATTTTTAAATACAGTACTATAATACGGGCTGTAGATGGCAGTTTATCTGATAATGTATCCTATTGGGGCCTTCTACTGTGTAAATTCACCTAGTTGTGTTTGCGGGGGTTGAGCTTTGCTCTTTCGGCCCGCCTCTCAACTGTCAATCAACTGTTTACTAACTACTATTTTTTTTCCACACCACACACACACACACCCCCCAGGAAGCAGCCCATGACAGCTGACCTATTTACCTATTTACCTCCCAGGTACCTATTTACTGCTAGGTAACAGGGGCATTCAGGGTGAAAGAAACTTTGCCCATTTGTTTCTGCCTCGTGCGGGAATCAAACCCGCGCCACAGAATTACGAGTCCTGCGCGCTATCCACCAGGCTACGAGACCCCCCGTAGTGTATAGTGACAAAGGGACCGTGCACACTATACTTTATAAACCTTAAAGAAATTATCTACATACAGACATGTTAACAATAAAAATGTTTACTTATCACAATTCACTTACACTTCTACTGCAGGTGTTCTTGACTTTACCTCTCTAGCTAGCAAAATGTCACCTGAGAAATTAGAGAGAAGAATTAAGATTGTGGTACAGTATATGATAGGGTAGTAGTCACTAATGGAGGCTGCCAGTTTTAAAAATACTGAAGTGAAGTGAAAATGAAGGGAAGTGCATCAATACAAAAAACCAGCGTTGAATGTAATGAAACACCATTTTCTGGGTGAACCTTATAGGCTCCCTGAAGCTATCGTGCTCCATTGACTAATGCCCCGGTCTATAATGTATGATATATTAGACCGGGGCATTAGTCAATGGAGTTCAACCTACCGGGGACCACGAGCCAGAACCTGGGCCCCCCTCAGAAATGTTTCAGGGAGGAATGGCCCTGAAAAATCCCCTTGGTTGGGGGTTTCCCTTATCTGCCATTGACCAGGGTGAGGCACCCAGAAAGCTAGACATAACAAAACAAATCCCCCATGGTAGGAAAATTACAACTAAAAACCGAAAAGAAAGGTAGAACTCCCCTCCGATCCCAAGGAAACAAGCAAACAATTAAACGTCACACTCCACTGCCACGCCGCTCGTTCGCACATCCCTTCCCTCCCCACGCAGGCTACCCAGCACTCCAGTTTGGAAGCTAAGCATCAAACAACGCGAAAAACTGCCTACCAGAGGGAGGGAGGGAGGGTTGCTAAGGAGCCTCCAGGGCTCACCCAGATAATGGCATTTCATTACACTCAATGCTGGTTTTCTGTGAGGAGCCCCTACGACTCACTGGAGCTACATACCCAAAGATAAAGAAAAGAGGGACTTACCCCAGAGGTGTTCCCAACACGAAGTCGAGACAAATGGCTGCAACCTGTGACCCAAAGCATCACAGGAACGTTAACTAAATAACAGGCGACCAGGACCCTATTCGACCTTCAAAATCCCCGTGACCAAATATCAGCTCAAGACATGTTGCCAACCACAGCAGCCAATGCAGCACACTTCCTAAGGTCATGGACACAAGGATAGACCGCAGGCTGGCTAGACTTATAACCCTGTGGACAACCTGGGAGACCCGAGCCCTGAAACAGGGAACAAGAGAAACCGGATCAACCCAATGGGCATCCCCAGCCACCAAAGCCGAAGCGCGCAGATAACGGCGAAGGGCAGCAAACGGACACAACATATGATGCACCCCTGGCCTGATCAACCATGCATCAATGACCCAAAGAGCCCTCTGGACCACATTAGCTAATGAACTGGAGTGCTGAGTAGCCTGCTCAGGACACACTACTCTTAAGAGTATGCAGTTTGTTTTCAGTAACAGAACACCAACAACCCTGCCAACAGGCAGGGTTATTCATGGAGGAATGAATAACTGGGTAAAAGTTGGAAAGGAATACCTTTACGGGAGGTGTGACAAGTGCGGATAGCTTCCTTAGCGGTAGCGTCCGCTGCTCATTTAAAGACACCAATATGGCTGGGAACCCAGCAAAACTCAACTGTCTTAAATCTACTGGAGATAAGAAACAGCCAATGTTGAATCTCAACTACTACCTGATGAACTGGATTAAAGGACTCCAGAGCCATGAGGGCACTGCGAGAGTCAACTACAACTACAAAGGAGGAGTGACAGCGAGAAAGCAGGAGACGAAGAGCATAAGAAAAAGAGGTCATAGATTTAGGCTACGGAAACTTTTGCACTTTTGCAAACAGAGTGATAGACGTTTGGAACAAGTGAGAAGGTAGTGGATGCCAGAACTGTTAGTAGTTTCAGTGTCATATGATGAAGAGTACTGGGAAGACAGGGGCCAGATTCACAAAGCAGTTATGCAAGTACTTACGAACATGTACATCTTCCCTCAATCTTTGACAGCTTTGGTTACATTTATTAAACAGTTTACAAGCATGAAAACTTGCCAATCAACTGTTGTTATTGTTATAAACAGCCTCTTGGCACTTCGGAGCTCATTAACTGTTTAATAATTGTAAACAAAGCTGCCAAAGATAGAGAAAAGATGTACAGGTTCGTAAGTGCTTGCGTAACTGCTTTGTTAAACCAGGTCACCACGAGCATAGCCCTTATCCTGTAACTACGCTAAGATAATTATCCTTTATAGCCAAGTATATTTTATAAACTATAATCAGTGACTGTTCTCCTGGTGAATGTCCTTAGTGCCTGGGTGTCCCTCATGATTAATTATCAAAAGCCGACAAGGGTGCCATATCTTATATGCCTGCTTGACCCTCCAATTTATTCACTTAACTGGGACTACCAGGAGTGTGCAATGAGATCCAACAAGACTACCAGGAGTATATCACACAATCCACTGAGACTATTGGAATTAAGTCCCAAGATCCATCCAAACTACTGGGAGTATGCTCAAAGATCCATTAAGACTAATCAGAGTCTGTCCCGAGATTCACCGAAACTTCTGGGGATATATACCAAGATTCACCTTGACTATGAGTACTGTATGTTCCAAGATCCACAAAACTACTAGTAGTATGTTCTGAGATTCACCAAGACTACTGGGAATATATCCCAAGATAAACAGATACGACTGGGAGTATGTCCCAAATGTGGGAATTTTATCATCATTAGCTAAATCATTCATGAGGTCACTGCTGGAATGGAATGAACAAACACCTTCAGCTAGATTGTAATGAAACCCCACACTCTTCTCAAAAGATATATACCTTTTACCAGCAGTTTATCACCATATTCACTGTACATTATAATCAAAAGATGAAGAGAGCTAGTTCCATTAACTAAGGTGCCATCAAATTAATTTTAAACATTAGTCATAGGGATTATTGTTGGTGCTTTGCATTTTAACAGAATCATGAGTTGTGTCATTAACAAAGTCACATCCCTCTGATAAGACAAAATCTAACTCAGCTGTTTTGTAGATATGTTCGGTGTGGTCTAGGGCACACACTTCCGAGTTCACTGCAGATGCTCGTGGAAAAGGTGTTGTGACTGTCAACCAGGGTAATTTTCCTCCTTTGGACACAAACTCAAAGTCCAATATTCAGGACTGGTAGGCATGTAAAATATCTTCTAGTATTAAGCTTGATCAAGATGTCAAATGAGAAAAGCAGAAGAGGTCTGCTACTTGTCATAGCAAGTCTGCAAGTTTCGGCAGGATAACAATCGTACATCTACTAGCCAAGTTCTAGTAGCAATTGGTTAGCCTGAACGAGTTGTTGCTCCTCTAAAGGCTGGCATGAGAATGAGCGAAATCTTGTTGCTTCTCTACAGGCTGGTGCGAGAGCGAGGGAAAACTGACTGGTGTGGCATCTGCTGACCTGGCCAGCTGTGCCTCAGGTACTTGGTCGGTTTAATCTTTCTAATTATTAAAGTTATGCTATTATTCATGTCTCAATAAAGATATATCACTTATGATTATATTAAATTACTAATGAGTTACATTATGTTGGTTTGTGGACAATTTCTATGTAAATAGATTTGGTACGGAACTTACTTTTTATTTAACTTATGTTTTTTCCATAAGCAGCCATATAGTTACGAGAATGAACACGAGGAACATGTGGTATGATTCAAACATACTGCATGTATGTTCTTAAAGTATGATAATCATACAGAACCTTATGAAGATATGTTAACAATAATTAACACTTTCGCTCGGTAACGACTTAGCATTGCATGGTTTTTTTAGTAGACACATTTCCGGTAACAACGCAGCATTGCGTTGGCGGCGGCTTCGGGAGGGGCGCGCCCCGGTTTTGGAGATTATATACATATACTCCTGTATGGAATTTCATTGCAAATACATTGATACCAAAATAAAAGACCTAGGACCAGAATTGAGGTAACAAAGTTGAAAACAGTATACCCATTTTATTAGTGCTCACTGGGATTATGCTCCGTCACATTCTCTGTTTGCTGTGGGTGCTATGCCTGGCTTTTGGACTTTATATTTGTATATACCCCTGTAGGGAATTCTATTGCAAACACAATGTTACCAAAATGAAAGACCTAGGACGAGAATTGAGATGCCCAAAGTGAAGAGTGTACACATTTTATTGCTCTTGCGTGGTTCTGGGTAATACGCTCTTACTTTCTCACTTCTTCGCTGGGCTTTTGGGCTTTATATGCATTTAGTCTTGTAGAGAATTCTATTGTGAACACATTGATACCAAATTGAAAAACCTAGGACAAGAAATGAGATGACAAAGTGGAAAAGAGAATACACTTTTCAGTATTAACGCATTCTCTAATGTAATGAGAGGTGCCTTGGGGGTGGCGCAGCGCTCTCTTTCTGGGCCACTTTCATCTTGTCAGAGGGTGGAGCGCACTGCGTTTTTTTACTTTATATGCACATACTCTCGTTGGGAATTCTATTGCGAACACAATGATACCAAAATGAAAGCCCTAGGATGGGAATTGAGGTGACAAAAGTGAAAAGAGTGTACACATTTTATCGCTCTTGCACCCTCCCGGGTACCTTACCTTGAGGTTACCTTGAGGTGCTTCCGGGGCTTAGCGTCCCCGAGGCCCGGTCGTCGACCAGGCCTCCTGGTTGCCGGACTGATCGACCAGGCTGTTGGACGCGGCTGCTCGCAGCCTGACGTATGAGTCACAGCCTGGTTGATCACATAACACGCACTCACTTTCTCTGTTTGTTGTGGATGGTACGCCGGGCTTTTGGACTTTATATGCCTTTAGTCCTGTAAAGAATTCTATTGCAAACACAATGATACCAAATTGAAAAACCTTGGACGAGAATTGAGGTGACAAAGTTGAAAAGAGTATACACTTTTCAGAATTATGGCGCACTCCCGTGAAACGCTGATACCTACCTGGGGTAGTGCGGGTCTCGCGCATGCGGTGCAACACTTTTGTCCACAAACGACGCAGCATTGCGTCGTTTCCGGCTGCAAATTGGCGGCGACTTCGGAAGGAGCGAGCCGCGGTTTTGGACATTATATGCATATACATCTTGTAGGGAATTTCATTGCGAACACAATACCAAAATGAAAGGCTTAGGTCGAGAATCGAGATGTCCAAAGTAAAGAGAGAGTACACATTTTATTGCACTTGCGCCTCCCGGGTAACACGCCCACTTTCATCTTATTAGCGGGGCATTATATACATATACTCCTGTAGATAATTTCATTGCCAACACAACGATACCAAAATGAAAGACCTAGGACCAGAATTGAGGTAACAAAGTTGAAAGGAGTGTACCATTTTATTGCTCTTGATTAGCCCTCATGGGGGTAACATGCTGTCACTTTCTCTGTTTGCTGTGGGTGGTACGCCGGGCTTTTGGGGTTTAGATGCATTTAAGCCTCTAGATAATTCTATTGCGAACACATTGATACCAAAATGAAAGACCTAGGACGAGAATTGAGGTGACCAAAGTGAAAAGAATGTACACATTTTATTGTTCTTGCGCTATCCTGGGTAATTCGCTCTAACTTTCTCTGTTTGCTGCGGATGGTAAGTTGAGCTTTTGGAGTTTATTTGCATTTACGCCTCTAGATAATTCTATTGCGAACACATTGATACCAAATTTAATATCTTAGGTCGAGAATTGAGGTAACAAAGTTGAAAAGCGATCACACATTTCAGAATTACCGCGTGCCCCCGTTAAATGCCAAACACCACCTGGGGTAGTGTGGCGCTCACGGGCCCAAAGCAACAAAATGTTAAACAACATTTTGACAAGCTGTACTAACATACTGAAATGTAATTTGTTCATTTTTGTTCAAATCTGAAATTTGTTCATACTTAAATGTAATTCAGAATTTGTATAAGGTAACAAAAATAGGATAAATATGATCCAAATATAAAAAAAATATTTATATATTTAAGGAATTTCTTCAACATAAATTACAAAATTGGAAATTATTCCTATATTGTCAGCCTAGCCCCCTAAAATAATAGTACAGTACTTATAGTAACTATTTCGTCAACAGTACCAATATGTAGTGATGGACCACCAAAAAGCTGATGTTTTATATTATTGAATTTCGCCAAATGGAACACTTTTTTTTTTAACTGCAACATAAATATAGAACCTAATCTAACCTCTCTGAAGAATCCTAAGCTTAATGCATGGTATCTTATGTCTAATTAATGTGCTATACCAGGCCTAGGAATGTTTAAGTTTGGTTTATAGCATTATTTTTTCCAGACTGTACAATTACAAGTACAAAAACTGACTTTTTGGTGGCTCATCATCACATATTGGTACTTTTGACCAAATAGTTACTATAAGTACTATCATTAATATGCTATAAGATTACAACAAATATTTTTAAGAAAATTGACATGTTTTTTATATTATATATATATATATATGTCGTACCTAGTAGCCAGAACGCACTTCTCAGCCTACTATGCAAGGCCCAATTTGCCTAATAAGCCAAGTTTTCATGAATTAATGTTTTTTCGACTACCTAACCTAACTTTTTCGGCTACCTAACCTAACCTATAAAGATAGGTTAGGTTAGGTTAGGTAGGGTTGGTTAGGTTCGGTCATATATCTACGTTAATTTTAACTCCAATAAAAAAAAATTGACCTCATACATAATGAAATGGGTAGCTTTATCATTTCATAAAAAAATTACAGAAAATATATTAATTAAGGAAAACTTGGCTTATTAGGCAAATTGGGCCTTGCATAGTAGGCTGAGAAGTGCGTTCTGGCTACTAGGTACGATATATATATATATATATATATATATATATATATATATATATATATATATATATATATATATATATATATATATATATATATATATATATATATATATATATATATATATGCGGAAAATCCACAGAGAAATATGAAATGAGGTGAACGTTTCGGCTTTGTTAAAGCCTTTGTCAACACCAGACTGACTAAGGAGAAGGGAGAAGGGGGGAAGATATATAGGCCGACACCTGACCACCCCATCCCAAGGGTTGGTCAGGTGTAATTAACCAAAAACAGGTATAGCTTAGCTTAGAATGGTCAAAGAGGACTCAGTGTTTTGTGATCGTCAATTGCATATATATATATATATATATATATATATATATATATATATATATATATATATATATATATATATATATATATATATATATATATATATATATATATATATATATATATATATATATATATATATATATATATATATATATATATATATATATATATATATATATATATATATATATATATATTATATTTATTTATTTAAAGACATTCCCCCAAAAAATTATCTAATAAAAACATTTAGAAAATGAACATAAAACTCAGCAGAGGTGTTGGTTAAATTACAAATGTCCTAAATTCAACATATTTATTGAATTTTAAAGTGCAGATAAAGTGACACAAATGCCAGGAAGAATTCCTTGCCTCACTGTGCCTGGGAAAGGATCACTCTCCTCTCACCATGCACCATTAACATCCTCAACAAATCATGACAAGAAATGCACTATATAATAAACAATTTTATGATACTAGATTGAAAATATCTCAATCAACAAACAGCTAACTTATGTTACTGACAATCAGGTTTTCTGCTTCTTGAATCCAGAAAACTCCATGCTCTGCAAAGGGTCAGCTTTTCTTTTCTGGAAAGATAAGTAATGAACATACTTTACTTCAATATGACTAAACCATCTCATTACACTCCAAATTTTTACCTGCAGTTTTTAATGTATGGAATAGTACTACTGTGAACCCCAAACTCATCACAAGAAAAATTAATTAATATCCTTTAGTAACAAGAAGTATGATCACACTACAGAGGAAGTACAGAGGAAAGGATCATGTGGTTGGAATACGTCCAGTGTTGGTAGTACGGCATCATCCATGAAAAAAAAAAGATTAGTGGATTAGTACACTTCTTTCTGAGCAGCCAATAAGTTGATCATCAGCAGGGCTGGATTTACCTAGTACCTTTACTTTACCTTTAGCATTACCGTTACTTTACCTTTACCTGGGTTTACCTAGAACACTCCTCAAATGCCAGCATCTAATTAACTCCTAGCACCATCATGACAAGTATCTCATTGGTTATTTCGAGAAGGACGCGGGAAGAGCCGGTGTGAGCATCATTCTGAACTCAGCCTCCACCTTGTCAAGACGTTCCTGTACTCAATTCGGCCAAATTGATGTATAGGGCGTCGTGGTGGCTGGACTACAACTGCTGATGCTTCCTGCTTCACCTACGACATCGGTCGTCACAGAATCCGGCCGAAGTCGTCGCTTGGAGGGGTCTAAGACATTATTGTATGCAGGGGGTAGAGGTACAGTGATCTGGGATCGTGGGGGAATGTGCATACGAGCAGCAACAGACTCGTAGATCCCATACCAGTGATGATTAGACTTGCTAGTGCTCTGTAGCAGTCGATGGGAACGGGGAAATTCGTGTCAGTGTTAAGGCAATTTCCCAAGGTTGGTGTGAGACGCTATCGTTGTGCGTGTCACCTGGGTATGAACGCTTCACTTCACCGGGGAGTCGAGGGTGCGAACTCAGCCGTGTTGAGTGGGAGGGGTTCGAGTGTGCGCCAATTTTCCGTATAAGTACTACGGTCAGGAACTACCGCCGCCTACGCCACCCAGAGCGAGCCAGCCACCTATAGCGGGGTGCCTGATGTATGGGAATGGTGTGTAAAGCCGGCAGTGTGAATGAGTAAGTACCTATGTGTGTATTTCGGTGATTAGTAGTCTCTAAAGCTTGAATTCGAGGTCAAGTGTTCCGTCACATTGTCACGCAGCACCTGTTCAGGTGGAGTGAATTGTGGGCGAGGAGATTAATCACCTGTGTTGTCATCTTGTCAGTCCAGAGGGACTTAAGGTCTGGTGTACACAGACGTACAGTGTGTGTGTGTGTGTGTGTGGGTACACACGGGAACACAGAATATACATAGATTAGCCAAGGACGGAGAGGATGTCCATGTAATAAATTCTTTTATTTCATTGTGGTAATCATTTTTGATCGTCCGTGGGACGGAGTGATATCATTTCCATGTGTGGTCTTGCAGGTGTGGAATTCCAACACTGAGCGCTCAGGTATGTGTAACGCCAGTGATTCCTGGCAATGATTATTGTGGAGTGTGCCACAGTGTGGCTTAAATTTCTTGTAGTGTTCCCAGGGCCGTGACAAGTGTGATTTATATAAATATATATATTGTGGTTGCAGTATTAATTAACGTAATTTTTGGTGAGGTTTGGTGAGTGACGAGGCCGTCTAGAGAGACCGCCCCCGCTCTGTCGAGTAACGTAACTCTCGAGTGTTTATCGGCATGCGTGACCGATAAATCACTCACCCATGTGATTTAAGGAGTGTGAGATTCTCCTTAGTGTTCCCAAAAACGTTTGATAGCTGTAGGCTACATGTGTCAGTGGTAATTATATATATATATATAATCGTAGTGTCACGGTGCCCAGTGTTATTGTGTTATTTACTGTGTGGTGATTGCAATATATTGACCTATGTTCTAGGGGTCATTTGCAGCAGTAAGTAAGTGTGTGCAGTATCCTAATATTTGGAAATTGGAGTACTTGCCGTGTGTGTTATTGCAAAGGGGGTTGTTATTTGATGGTGATTGTTGCTAGTGTTGAGCAATCACCGTATGTGATTGCAGTTCAGTAAAACCATTGTGGGGCAGGGTTCTAGAGGGTTCATGTCCTGTAGGTTATTTTACTAGGTTCTGCAGTATTGTCATTGCAACCGGATTGTAACGTAAATCACTGTGATTTGTTAGTGTGATTTGTCATTGTCGTGGGTGAACTCGACTGTAGACGAGTACTTGGATATACATATATTCTCCTGGTTATCTGGTAGGACATCGAAGTCCAGTATTCAGTGAGGTGATTGCGAGGCAATTAATATAACGTAACCAAGGGAACGCCCATTGCTTTAAGAGAATTTGTTCTTTGACAATTTGAGTAACGTAGAATGCGTTTGGGTTAATTTACTTTCCTGTAAGCAGCTACGGTAGTCTCGAGGAGCCTAGCCATCAGCCAGATAAGAATTAGAGTATTGTCTGTCGTAATTAACGGTCAGTGGGCCGGGTAATTGACGTGTTTCAGGAAGTCAAAGTAATTAATCTCGATCCTTGTTTGATCGACTCACACGAAGGCTACATTGTTCCATTAACGTAACGTCGTTATCTACCCGGAAGTACCGGCACTTGATTGACTCGTGAGAGGAGGAGCGTCATTTTAGAATAACGTAAACGTGGGGCTAATTACTGTTATTAGTCGCCTGAATTGGTCTGAGTATGGAAGGCTCAGACGGAATTCGTACCTTAATGTAAATTGCTGAGCCAGTGTGAAAGGTTGCGTATTTTAATTGTTTAATTATTGATCTTGAGGATAGTAATTAATTACTCTAAAGGTAATCACGAGTGATTACCGTTCTCTTAGCACTTTGGACATTGCAAATCAGAGTTTACCATCGCTGAGTGATTAGTAACCGATTAACGTAAATTAACGTAACTAGTAGAGATTAATCAGCTGTCTGGAAGTACAGGGATTAATGGGATTTTCTCACTGAATGACTTTGTAAATAATTTTACCATATAGTTAAAGGATAGAGAAACAGCAGTGTGTATTCGTCAATCCACCACCAAGGAGAGATTGCTAGCTATATAGGGAAAAAGTTTATCTAAACAAACAATAGTATAAAACAGATGTGATAAAAAAGAACACAGCAGGGTATTGATGGAACAGCCACAGGACACAAGGAAGGATGAGAAAGAAGGAAAAACACATCTGGCACTAGGAGAAAAGTCCTCCACAGGAAAATGGGAAACCAAATCCTCTTGGAAGGACTGACTCTGATGCAAAATACAGAACAGGAACCCATGAAAGAACTATCACATAGTGCCCAGAAAATCATTCTCTAAGCAAAGTGAGGAAGGAACCCAGGGATTAGACTTGCCAGTCAACACCATCCATGCAAAAAGATAACAAGGGCCAGACTACTCAAAACACTTTAAAGAAGGTAACACAAGTCAAGCACCGGAGGACACCAGCCACACACAAAAAGGTCCAGGTTTTTATTAATTTCATAATTTGTAAGAGACAAAAGTAAGAGAACTTTTGTCAGAGCTGCATGACTGAATTGAGCGCTTGAGTCACATTCTCCACTCATGGTTGCTCTCTTGCTACAGAACTACTGGCCTATAGCCAAGGTGACTTGCAAATTTTTTCCCAAGGTGGCATCTGTTTACTGGACACCTCAGGAAAGCTGAGGAAGCAGATGTGAACCGTGTGTACCTGTGGGAGTTCCAATCTTGCACAGTACCTAAAAACATCCGAGGATATGATGCACAGTGCAAGGACTAAGGGCTAGCTACTCTTCCAACACATCACATGCTTCTCAAATTATCCATTTCTTCTGCTCTTTTAATTAGAAATAGGAAACAGCATTGAATGTAATGAAACTCCATTTTGTGGGTGAACCCCGGAGGCTTCCTGGAGCTATCAGGCTGATTTATGTTATATTAGTCTGGGGCATCAGTCAATTGTAGTTCAACCTACCAGGGACCACGAACCAGAACCTGGTCCCCCTCAGAGAGGCAAGGATAGCAATGATGGCCTATAGAAACCCTCATATGTGGTTGGGGCAATCCATGTCTGCCATCAACCGGGGGGGTTGGCACCCAGAAAGGTAGGCATAACGAAACAATCCCCACTTGGTAAGAAAGAGCGACCGAAAAACCAAACAGGGAGACAGAACTCGCCCTGCAACTTAAGGAAACAAGAAAACGTCACACCTCACCGCCACGATACTTGTTCGCACACAGCTCCTCCTAGAGTCCCGGACCCCCCCCCCATGCCGGCTACCCAAGGCATCCTGTTTGGTGGCTGAACATCAAAAAGGAAATGGAACTGCCGACTGGAGGGAGAGAGGGTTGCCAGAGAGCCTCCAAGGCTCACCCAGAAAATGGCGTTTCATTACATTCAATGCTGGTTTTCTGAGGGGAGCCCTTACGGCTCCCAGGAGCTACATCACAAAAGAAAAGGAATTAGGGACTTACCCAGGAGGCGGACACCAATCGCTACTCAACTCGAAGTCGTGACAACTGGTGGCAACCAGCAACTCAAAGCCACATACGGACGACTAGGACCAAGAACGTTGACAAGATAATGCCTGGCAAGGACCTGGTTCGACCTCCAAAATCCCTGCGCCCGAATGGCAACCCAGGACACATTGCCGAACACCGCAGTCAAAGCGGCACTTACAAATGTCGCGGGCACAAGGGTAGACCACAGGCTGGTTAGACTTAATGATCATGCAGACGACCTGGGAGACCTGAGTTCTGGAACAGGGAACTAGGGAAACCGGATCAACCCAAAGCGCATCCCCGGCCACAGAAGCCGAGGCGCGCAAATAATGGCAAAGAGCCGTAACTGGACACAACACATGATGCACCCCTGGCCTGACCAACTAAGCATCAATGACCCAAGGACCCCTTCGGAAAGCGGCTGTCTCTTTCTTCACCAGAAAAGGAGAAGTCTGCAACTGAACAAAACTACCACCAGGACCAAAAGAGCAGAAACCCCTGCACAGGAGGAGAGCATAAGCGCACCAACCCGACCCCTAGAGGCCTGGGGTTGGGTTGGTGAGGAATGTGCACATGCAGCTGCATAAGGCTAACATCCTGAGGAAGCACAGGGCCAAACAAACACGAATTAAGGCACTCAAACTTTCAGCCCAGGTAAACCTGCAGAACGCAAGAAGTTCCTTACCAATCAAGTGTGCAGGTTTGACAGAACCCATGCCACGCCCCCAACGAAAGGAAAGGGCAGTCTGCCAGCCAGAAAGACTCCTGAACCTCCAAATGCACCCAATATGGGGAAGAAGAACCAAACAATGGGGATTTCCAGGGCCAGCAGGCTGACAGCTACGGGAAGCCCAGGCAAGTTACTGCAAAACCGGCTGGGACCAAACTAACAAGGGAAACTGCAAAAGCTGAACTCCTGTGACATGTCCAATTATGAGGGGCATAGAGGAGGGCCACCCAAACAGAAGTGGATCAATAACCAAACCAGGCAGACTTCCCCCCCCCACCCCTCCAGGCAAGAAAATAAAAATAAAAGAAAAACTCCACAAAAAGACAAAGTCTCCAGAAGGAACAGAAACTAGCTGCTGCATAGGTAGGCGTGCTGTGCCATACCTTGTGCTCCTACCAGCAAATGATACCACTTCCTACCCAAGGCCAAACAGAAGCCACGAAAACCCCAGCTGGCCCCAAGGACGGGGTAAGAGCTGAGCGACAAGGACCCCTATGGAAGCGGTTCCCAAACGTTCTATGGAAGAGAACCCTAGAACCCAAGGGTAGTACTTACAGGGCACCCAAGGAAAAGAACCCTGAGCACATGCAGCCCCAGTACTAATCAAAGTACACCTGGCCACTGCGCCTCACACACCACAAAGGCACACAACTGCATAGAAATATTGAGGCCTATAATATTAATATGAGGCCTATTGCATATAATATTGTGGTCAACGTTCGCTCCAGACCACAACAGCCAACAAACTGGGTGGGACAGGTAGCCGGCGCAGTGGGTCCGGGACTCCCCCCTCTCCCTCCTGGGAAGGGGAGGATTGTGCACCGATGATGCAGCGGTGAGGTGTGACATTTGCTTGTTTCCTTAAGTTGTAGGGCAAGTTCTGTCTCCCTGTTCAGTTTTTGATCGCTCTTTCTTACAAAGTGGGTTTTTTATTTTGTTATGCCTACCTTTCTGGGTGCCATCCCCGGTCGATGGCAGACATGGAATGCCCCTCACCACATGGGGGTTTCTATAGGCCATTGCTCCCTTTGCCTCTCTGAGGGGGCCAGGTTCTGGCTCCAATTGACTGATGCACCAGACTAATATAACATATCAGCCTGATAGCTCCAGGGAGCCGTAGGGGGCTTCCCACAAAAAAACTTGCATTTATGCCACACCAGAATCTCTGTGCATTACCACTCCTTCATGCAGCTTTCTGGCTGAATAATTAACAATTTTCATACGGATTCTAACGTGGCTGTTGACTATGGCATAATTGCTAGAGTAAATCGAACAAGAAATCAACGAACATGGAAAGCATTTTTTAACTTGTTGCAGTTAATGAAGTTATATATACTGTATTTCCAATTCACTAGGTACAGTACCTCATATTGCAAATACATTTAATTGATATGCATCAGAGCAAAACGTTTTCTCTAATAACCTAGAGCAAATAATATTTAGTTTCTAAATCATTTATGATTTAGATTAGATTAGGTTCTGGAAGTGTTAAGAGAAGAAGATTGTCCTAGCAATTAAAGACAAGTTACGTGTTGTTCAAACAGTGAGGCGTCACAGGCAGCCAAGCGCCTTCAACAAGTGAGGCGCCACAGGCAAGCCAAGCTCCTTCAACAAGTGAGGCATTATAGGCAAACCAAGCGCTTTCAACAAGTGACGCGCCACAGGCAAGCCAAGCGCTTTCAACAAGTGAGGCGCAAGCAAGCGCCTTTAACAAGTGAGGCGTCACAGGCAAGCCAAGCGCCTTCAACAAGTGAGGGCATGCAAGCGCTTCAACAAGTGAGGTGCAAGCAAGCACCTTCAACAAGTGAGGCCTCACAGGCAACCCAAATGCCCTCAACCAGTGAGGCTTCAGCAGCTGGCAGTCAAAACTAACTTAGCTTAATGAACTGTACAGTAATTTTAAGTGTTAATTTTAGTGTTGTGTTAGTATAGGTTACGTAAATTGTTAAGAATTTTTAACTTCAAGATGTGTGGCATCAATCAAGAAGACGAACACCAACAAGGTAAGTTGAGGTTTCTAGTTGAATATTTAATAATTGTATGTGGCAAGGCAATTCAAATTATGTTGTTTGTAGTATAAAAATAGTTGGAAATGGTCACTTTTGGACTCGTAGGTGAAAAAGTACCATTATCCGAAAAATGTGATAATCCGGCTGGGGGTCCTTCCCATATAGTCCGGATGATCGAGTGGAGACAGTAGTATCACAAAATAATTCCTTACCATGTATTTTTGCTGGGTTTTTGTAGTTCGTTTGAATTTGCCCTTGTCCATATCAGCTTTCGGAGCTTTCTTGTTAATTTTCCTCCTGTTGACAACCCTCGACACATTCCGCAGTTTAACAGGAATGTTATACTCAGGCACATGCTTCAGGTGAGTCTAGAAGAGACATTGTAACAATTAAAATACCGATAACAGCACACTTAATATATTTTTGACTTTCTCCTGTAACAAAACTCTGAGTTGGTGCTTTTGCTGTTGCTGAGAAAGGCATAAAGGCTCACAGCATGTAGCTTTGCTCCAATCCAATATAACCCATAACATAAATAAAAATATTTGTAACTGTCATCAGGGAACAACACTACTGTTCTACTGTACTCACACTCAAGCAATACAGTAATGTGGCATTATTTGATGTATCACGCTATTATGATTTCTGTGTGTATAAGCAATACAATATTGTAAACTCTCGGAATATGTGTGCAAGTTTAATGAACTTTTATTTGCTCTATTTGCTCTTCTATGTAAAAGAAGCTAGAGAAGAGGCTGAATCTTAAAGGAATTAGTATGGAAATGCACTGCAAAGACCCTAATTTTTGCATTGTTACCACAGGATTTTTAACATTAATCCTGTCTGTATATACAAATAAAGGAGATTTCATAAAAAACAACAGAAAGCTACCAATCTCTGGACAGGCAATGAGGAAGAGATAATTATATGTTAGGAATATAAGATTTATAGAATAGTGAAAACTGCAAAGGCCTATTGGCGAATGTAAGGCAGATCCTATCTATACCCAACCAAACTCATTCATGTGTGTCTAACCTGCACCTGAAACACTCTAGTAGTCCTACATATATTATGTTACTCTGTAATGTTCCATAAATCACAAACCCGATTACCAAGCCAGTAATTACCCAAGTCTTTTCTGAATCAAAACTTATACAATTTCTATCCATTATTACATATTCTACTTTGTGTTGAAGGATTTAGCAACTTATTAATATTGTACATGTTTTGTTATACCTTTTCATCCATTTATATACATGCATCATAAAAGAGGTTTCTAATTCTTCTTTAATTAAAAAGGATTAACTGTATCATCCTTCTCTGCATATTTTCTAAAGAATTTATATAAATTGTTCTGTACGGTGTCAAGTGATCTACTTAATCCAAATGTGGCCTAGTAAGGTCAAGTTAAAGATGAAGAACAATGCAAAATCTCTTATTACTAACACTTCAGTTTATGAATTCTAGAATAATATTTGCCATATTTTGAACAGTTATACTGTACGTTAATTTTTAGGCTCGAGCTTCCTAATAATCAAGACAGCCAGATCTCTCTCACATCCAGATATAGCCCTTTCATCATTGTCTAGCTGACATTTGATAACTCTATTATCATTTCCCAGGCTTCAGAACCATACATTTGTCTACCTTAAGCAGCATCTGCTATAGTGAATACAGAGGAGTGGAATGTCGATTCAAGAGATCTCGATTTGGCAATTCTTTGGTTGGAACACGGACTATCCATGCCAGATTTACTCACCCAATTCGACGAACAAGAGTTCGCTGAAGCAGGGAATGTGTGGATTTGCTTAAGATGTTGGGACCGTGTTTAAAGATGGAGGTAACATTACAAGAAATAGTTGGGGCCTTGGGAAAGCCAATGAGCATATTTAAAACCAAATTCTATGATTCACTTTAATTTTGTGATTCCCCAGTTTTTGTTCACTATAACATGGGTCCTTTTCCTTTGAAAACGAAATTTCAACGCTAGGGCACGGGATATATGCTAGACCTAGTTAAATCTCCTTACAGACATGTTCTCTTGGAAGTTGTCCTTTATATGACAGGTTGAAATTAATGTTTTCCTTGGTGAAATCAGCAGAGAATGTGGGAAATATTAGGACATGAATGGTAACTCTCTTAATATGCCTCCAATCACATTTTTTATTATTTCTGTAGATGCCTCAACATAACAAGAAATAGTTGAAGCCTTGAAAATGCTATTGAATATGTTTAAACCAAGTTCTATTGTTTGTTTTTATTTTGAGTTGCAAGGTTTTCATTTAGGTATGGCCCTGCTACATTCAAAAATGAGTAGTGAGGCTAGGGATGTGGGAATGTACAGTGGAACCTCAGTTTTTGAATGCCCCTCTTTTCAAATTTTTTGGTTTTCGAGCTCAATTTCTTTGAAAAATTTGACTCGGCATTCGAGGTTTGTCTCGGTGCTCGAGTTTCTTGATACACGTATGAGCCGACCGAACACATGGCGCACTTCAGTTTACCAGTGTCTCCCGCCTAGTGACGACTGCGCTTGAATTCTTTGTGAAGAATTTCATTGTTTTTGTGCTTTTTTGGTTTCTGAACATAAAAGTTCTTATTATATATCACGCCATGGGTTCCAAGAAAGTCAGTGGTAAAGTTCAACCTAAGAAAATAGTTGTGAGGATGACAATAGAGGAAAAACAAGAGATCATTCATAGTGAGACAATGTGATGTCTCACTACAGACAAGTGTTAAAACGTAGGGAAAAACAAGTGTCTCTAGACAGATTCTTAGTAAGACAAGCAAGCAGTGAGCCACAACCAGGTCCTAGTGGTATGCCTGCAAAACATAGGAGAGAGCGTACCCCAGAGAAGTCATCACTGCCTGATGTTATAGTGGAAGGGGACTCCCCTTCCAAACACTAACACCTCTCCTCCTCCCCCCCTTCCTCACCGTCTTTCACATGCCAACAAGAGTCCTCAAAAAGGTAAGATATACTTGTACATACTGTAGTACAAAATATTAGTAGTAGTATGCATAAAAATGTATTTTTAAGTTAATATTTTTGGGGGCGTGGAACGGATTAATTCAATTTACTTTATTTTTTATGGGAAAATTCGTTTTGGTTTTTGAACCGTCTCTGGGAACGGATTAAATTTGAAAATGAAGGTACCACTGTTATTAAAAAGCCATTTTCATACCCTCAGTGACCGCCATCTATGATGAATCTCATTCACCTTAAAAGATTCCCATTGTACCAGAAGCCAATTACACCATACTAAAGAACTGAGTGAAACACTCATATACTGTACATTCAAAGCCTATTTTCTTACCATAGGAGTAAGCCCATGTTTTGATTTGTCATGTCGAAGAACTTTAAGGTCTCCTGGGTTATCCTCGAAAAAACTTTTTAGTTTATTGGAATTGAGCAACTCCTGTTTAAGTTCCTTTTTCCTCGTTTCTCGGATAGCGATTGAAGTGCAACGTTTCCAAGCATCAAGAGCACGATATCTGATAGAAAAACGAGAGTGAAATATTTAAATAAAAATACAAAAATATACATCAACTTCAAAAATGCAATTAAATAGTATGAAAACTGCTAACTTATTGTTCTGACCAATAACAGGCATAAAAAAAAAAAGTTGTGCATCACCTTGGTTTCGCACACATCCTTATACTATGTCCTGTCTCATGACACTCTACTGTTCATCTACTTCAGAGGTCATCACATTTGTAATGTACTGCTGACAGTTGCAATATAAATAGCAAAAACATTGGACAAGCCCAAGCTAATACACAGTCACATAGCGTTGAAAACAACAGAGTTCAACATAATAACTACGATCAGAAGGGATAGTTATTACGAAAAATTCAGATGTGCAAAGAACTCTAGATATTTCAGGTCTATGACAAATAACCAGAGTGATGACCAAGAGCAGAAGAAAACAAACAAAAAGAAGGAACATTAGGCAGGACTGCATAGTATTGTAATTGTTGGTGAGGTAATATGACGTGGAGCACCTAAATGTAGCTAAGGCAGCAGGTCAGATCAGGATCTTCAATAAAACACTAGAGACTACAGAACTCTCAGAAATCTTGGAAAAGAACAAATATATTCCCTGTATTTAAGATGGGAAAAAGACAGGAGGACCTAACTGTAGTTAAGTGTCCTTAAAATGCATTTCTTGTATACTGAATAATTTTAAACAGGAAGAGAATGGTGATTCATCTGTTGAGGACAAATTTTGCAATGGAGGGGTAACACGAGTTAAGAGGGAAAAGTCACGTCTGCCAAACTTGGTAAGAGTTTAAAAGCAGGGCCACCAAGATAAGCCAAGAAAGGGATGGGCAGACTGCCTTCACCTTAATTATCAGAGAGCATTTTAAATTTACACTAATCAAAAGCATTTATACAAAATGGAGATGCAAGCCAAGGCAATTAATAAGACATTAAATTAATAAGGAGGAACCTGACAGACAGGAAACAAGAGGGTTATAGTTAAGAGAGAAATAAGGCTGAAGGGATACTCATGGTAGGATGCCTCAAGGATCGGGTCTCAGGCTGATTGCTGTTCCTATCCTATGTGAAATGATACAAAATTAAAGAGGAAAGTAAAATAAAAGGACTGTATAGTATTGCAGGAAGACCTTGGCAATCTGTAACACAGGGGCAGACACATGGCTGTCAGAGATCGCCCCTAACATGTGTAAGGTAATGAAGGTGGAAAATGAGATTATAGAAACTGGTAAGATAAAATAACTTGGGAGTGCACATAATCTTTGAGCTAACACCTGATGTTCACAAACAGAATGACATCAGCTACATATGGAAAACCGTTTTAACATGTAAATGGCTTTTAGGTACCTGAACAAGGACTCATTCAAGACCATTCACAAAGCCTATGTCTGACCAGTACCAGAAATTGCAGAACCAGCATAGAATCTGCTCCTGATAAAGTACAAAAAAAAAACATTTGTAAATGTAAGGAAGTACAGTACCTACATGTCCTCGATACATGTAATCAACATATGAATTGCACTGAAAGAGGATGTCATAAATGCTACTTTAATCCACAACTTCAAAAGCAATTTTGACATAGAATTCAAACATCAACTTTTGATTAACCATATGATGTGCATTAAATTTCTCTCTATATTTCTTAGTCAATGGTTTTATTGCTGAAATTGTATTTACTGAGCAGTATGGAAATTCAGTAAGCAGACGAGCTGTAAATTGAATTGTGAATACTGCAGATTAACACAGGAGAATGTTTACTTGTGAACAAATCGGAATTAATGTAGGTGAAAGAGCATCTTGAAAGTCTAATAGGTGGAATCAAGAAATAAAGTGTGGTAAATTAATTTAATTTTGTTGTGAAAAAGGGAATAAGAAAGAATGCCTGAAGGTACATCTATAGAAGAGATGTTTTAACAGCATTATTCTCATGATGGCAGATTTTTTAAATTATTTTAAAGATATTATAGTCCGGTTGAGTATGGTAAGATGTATAGCATAAAGGTATGCAAGGTTAGACCACTAAAAGGCAATACATCTCCATATATTTTAACAAAATTTTAAAATATTGAAGTCTTACCTGAAACCATCAAGCTGTTTTGTATCAAATTTAAAGTCCTTAAACACAGAATCAGACCCAGGCATCAGTTCCTTCAACTTGGCCTCTACTTCCTTGAATATTTCCATTTCGTTAACAGAAACCAGAGATAAAGCTGTGCCCTGATTGTTTCCTCGAGCAGTTCGTCCAACACGGTGAATATAGCCATCAACATCACGGGGAAAATCGAAGTTGATAATGTTGGAAACAAACTGGAAGTCTATACCACGGGCAATGCCAGATTCTTTGTCTTTCTTCCTTTTGCTGTCAATAAATTTATAATATTAATTACATTTTATCCGTACATATACGAGGATTCTCCGATAAGAATGAAGATACAGTATGTGGATTGTGTACAACACCAGGAATATGGGAGCGGGCAGAAATAGATGGAAGCTGTAGTAGGCAATGAGTATTTGTCTGTACTTTATATAACAATGAAAATACCAATCCTGGTGTTATATGGAGGTGGGGGGAGTAGCTGTGGATAATTTGCTGAAGTGCAGTGCTGCTTATTTATGTCACACAATTTGTCATAAATGAATAAATAAATTTGCTTAATATTTATAAACTTTAACTTTTTCATTTCTCTTTTTCTTCAGGCTTATGTCTGCTTTCCCGCCACCCCCTCCACCTATCATGAGAAGTGGTGAAATGATGTAATGATAATGTATCAGTAGAGGTATGTGTGTTCATGTGCATTCAATATTTACAGAATCACTAGTTCCCTCTAATTCCAAGATTCCTATTTCAAACTCTATACTATTAAACTGATATTAAAACGTTTGAAAAACATTTTAACTTGCCTTTTATTTTCTGCATTCTTTTTATTTGTTTGGGCTTTCAGCATCTGTTCATCCGAGGCAATAATAATATCGTATTTGCCATTGTTGAACTGCTCTACTATATGACACCTTGAGGCTACTGGCATTTCAGAGTTGAGTACACAAGAGCTGATTCCAAACTGTCCTAAGTACATCCTTAGCCTGCAATAGCATAAATCTCATTAAAATAATATAAAATTCAGTGTAAACCAAATAACTGGCTCTAGTTGTCTAATATTTTAGTCAGTAAAAATAGAGCAACGTGGGGTAATTTTCATGAAACTGACCATCGCTCATAACTTACTTATAGCCCGTATCAACATTGTTAACGAAGATGATTGTCTTTCCGCGAATCATATTCAGGCGAAACAGAACATTGATCAGGATAACCTTGTCAATCTTCTCCAACTGTAATTATAAAATAAAAAATATATATATAAATTAAAACATTAACACAGATATTTCCTGGTACATATGACCATGGTTGTTATAGCAACAAATTCTCTTTGGGACATAAAGGGTTCTATTCTATTGAGGTCCCACTGTCTAAGTGTGGAGAAAATACTGTTTTATTAATACAAAGCATTGTTTATAAGCAATGTCACTAGTACAGATTTTTATCAAAAGATTTAATAAGCTTCCTGTAAGTAAAACTAGTCGAAAAATAAATGTTCATCCATGAATGGTGTTTATGTCCACATGATGGTTAGCACATTTGTTCTTCAGTCAAAACACCTTCCATAAGAAACACAAATGAATAGTAATTTTGACTTTGGCTTTTGGCTTTTAAACCATAAAATCAAATACAATAATTTGAATTTAATACAAGCGCTGCAGAAATATTTGTAAACAGGAAAAATTAAAGTTGTTCAGACCGATGGCCATCACTGATAAAACATACTGTACTGCTGAACAGTGAAAGTAAGATGATCCACACTTGTTTGGTCATTGCTTAAAAATCCAAACAGAATTTTAGGTTTTTGTACTTAATCGATAGTGAAATAATTGTCAGGCAATCTTGACAGGTTTCAAATGCTACACAGAGCAATATGTACCAATTGGTACATATTGGTTTATCTATAGTCTGGATAAATGAATCTCCAGTGTACACACTATCTGCAGGTATACAAAACTGGCATAGAAACAATACTGTTGAAGAATGAGGAAGAGTACAATTATCACCCTTACCCAGTTTTTCCATTTTGTAACTGCTGGTACACTTTAGCTCAGACAACAAATGGAAAGCAGTATAGGAAACAAAGTTAGATATCTAACAAATATTACTCATCTATTCACAATATTTTGTACACTACTCTATGGTATAAAACATCACAGATAAACAGGCACCTTTACACTCCAGTCAATCATTCACAGAAGCAGCACTCTAATGCTACAGAGAATTTTACAATACCAGGGATTCTTGTGAGCTGACACACAAACCAAACGCTCGCTCCTTCACAAACTGCTGCCTCCAACTCTTATTCTCCACCACATCTAGAGCACTGTTCACACTAAAGTCACCATATCTGCCTCTCATCTTGGCCTTCCTTTTCAATTCATGCCCTGAATTTTGCTGAATTACACTGTCTTCTCATTCTATCATCAACCATTCATCTAGTGACCAAACCATCTTCATATACTCTTTGACTTTGCAATTATAGTACCAACTATAGCACTCCACATCTTGCCATGACAATTTAATTTCTATCTAACTTCTGTTACATAATAGCTTCATTACATGGCAAGCAATTAAAAATGGTGGTAGAAATTGTCTAAGGGTCTTGGTTAACTCCATTACATTCATATACAGTACATGTATTATACAGTACAGTATTTGCAACATTTGTATAAAAACCAGGCGATAACTAAATTCAACATATGATAACTGCATTATGCCAATAACGACTCTTAAAGGGCTTGCTACTCTCATGACCTATAACATGCTTCTCAAATTATCCAGTTCCATTTCTTTGTGCAGCCATCTGACCGAATAATTTATATTTTTCATATGGATTGCAATGTAGCTGCTGTCTGTGGCGTAATCAATACAATAAATCAAGGAGATCAATAAATATGAAAAGCCATTTTCAGTTTTGTTGTAATTAAAAAATATAATTGCAAGCACATTTAATTGATTTGAATTAGTGTAAAACACTTTCTCCAATAACCAGCGACATCAGCGCCAATGAACTTCAAGAATCCCCACACAGTGATGTAAGGTGCAGAGGGTTACTGGTGATCACGCAGTCCTGCCCACAATGGGCTGAGAGAGAGATTATCATAACAAAATAAACGCTTGCATTCAGTAGATTAAAGGGAATTTAATATGAAAAAATCAGATGTACAGTATTGGACTGTAAATGCAGAAACAGAACAATTAAGTAAAAAATTATTCATTCAAACCTTAATGACATATTGCGTAAGCTGAGTAGTGGTTGGCAATGGAGGCTCCTCAAGTCTCAAAACTACAGGCTTATTCATGACCAGTTTCTTGAGATCTTTCACATCGTCCCACATCGTAGCACTAGTCACAAATGACTGGTAAATCTTTGGTAACTGCCTGGAAGCAAGACATTATCACCAACTGCTGGCATTTAAAATACAGAGAATTATTATAATAATATATTTGGAAAACGGTGGTTTTTATATACAAAAACTCTTCCATGGTCTCTTCCCCAAAAGACCACAAGCGGTACTACTGAGAAAACAAAATGACAAGATAAAATCTCGGAAAACAAATTCCCTGGATAACAGGAATCAAGCATCAAATGTAATTTTGCTGGTGGGGTCCCAAAGGTACTGTTGATAGTACTGGTCCACCGCACATGTGTGACGGTGCAGGCTGGTTGGGCCTCTGGGTTGCCACCTGGTGGCTGTCAGATACACAAGGTTAGGGTTTTTTCACAGTGGCAATGATGGCTTACCTAGTTATCTGCAAATGGCCACCAGAACAAGGAGCCGTGACTGACGCAATAGATCCGAAAACACGCCAGCAAATGTGGGAAGCAAGCAGACAAGAGGGACAACAAACCTTAATGACATTTTTCTTTCTTCAAATTTGTTCAATATTTTTTTTCATTTGTCCTATAACAAAAGATTCATTCGGTGTTCAGCAGGTAGGCTGCTCCATGTTTCTTCAATAAAAAAAAAATGAAAATAAAAAAAATGAAAATAAAAAAATGAAAAATTTTGAAAAACAGAACAAATGTCAAAAAGGTTCATTCTGTGTTTGGCAGGTAGGCTGCTCGATGTTTCTTAAATAAAAAAAAAAATAAAAAAAAAAAACAGTTGAAACAATTTGAGAAACGGACAAATGCCGTAAAGGTTCGTTCAGTGTTTGTCAGGTAGGCTGCTCCATTATTGAGACGTAAATGAAAAATACAAAACCAATGGAACACATTTGAAAAAAAGAAAGATTGTCATAATGGAGCAGCCTACCCGACAAACACTGAACGAACCTTTAGGGCATTTGTCCATTTTCAAATTGTTTCCACTTTTTTTTTTTTTTTTTTTTTTAAGAAACATGGAGCAGCCTACCTGCTGAACACCAAACGAACCTTTTGCTATAAGACAAATGAAAAAAAATATTGAGCAAATTTGACGAAAGAAAAATGTCATAAAGGTTTGTTCAGTGTATGTAAGGTAGGCTGCTCCATTATTTAAAACATCGAATATCATATTGATGTTTTTCGGTGGTAGAACGGATTAATTTGATTTCCATTATTGTCAATGGGGACATTCATTTTGTATGACGTCCGTTTCACATGACGATCACGGCGCCGGAACGGATTAAATTCGTTATTTGAGGTTCCACTGTACATATATATAACATCTGTATTTAGTGAATAAAAGTAAAAAACAGTATGGTGGGAAGAAAATGTTGGCAAGTCAAGTTAGGTAGGGGGGAGGGAGGGAGTGGCAGCCAGTGGCAGGCTAGCTGGTGTGTGGTCACTCATTGCTGCTGTTTGACTCGGCATACCAACTTAACACTTTGGCGTACCCCGCGCGCCACCCCTCAACTGTGCGATATGGGACCCAGGGTGTCACGGGAGCGCGCGTAAATTCTGAAAAGTGTATACTCTTCAACTTTGTCACCTTAATTTTCGTCCTACGAGATTAAATTTGCCATCATTGTGTTCGCAATAGAATTCTCTACAGCACTAAATGCATATAAACTCCAAAAGCCCGGCTAATTACCCGCAGCAAACAGAGAAAGTGCGAACGAGTTACCCAAGAGCGCGCAAATGCGATAAAATGTTTTCACTATTTTCACTCTGGTCACCTCAATTTTTGTCCTAGGTCTTTCATTTTGGTCTCAATGGGTTCGCAATAGAATTCTCTAGAGGAGCATTAGCATATAAAATAAAAAACCTGGTCACGCTCCAACCGCCGACGAGTTGAAGACGGGCCACGTGTTAGCTGGGAGTGAGCGCTCAGACGCCTTCCAGCTACACTCCCAATTCCCTCCCTTTTCAAGCCTTTCTTTCGCAATTTTCTTCCTGGAAGGGCCTTGTTCATGATCATTATCCATCGTGGAGTAAGCGTAGATAGTTTCTAAAGCCGCAGTAAGAAATATAGCCACGGAAAATAGCCGAAATGTTCACACGTTTGAAATGCAAGGGGAGGCGACATTGGTCACAACAGTGGAGCGAAAACAATGGGCCCACGGCGTGTGCCAAGCCACCTGAGGGCCACATGGCTCAACAAAGAAAATGGGAAGACATCGGCGCACATTTTAAAACCAGTCCCAAAAAAATCGGATAAAAACCTGATTTTTGGCGATTATTTAAAGTGGATGACGCAATGCTGCGTCATCCCTGGTATTACCGACAGTAAACGGATGACGCAATGCTGCGTCATGCCCGGGCGAAAGTGTTAATGGTTCCTTATGGTGAACACAAATGTAGATACTTATATACAACGTGTATATATAATGTAATGACAGCAAAAGGAGTGTTGAAAGAAGCCATTTTGGTGAGGGAGGTGGGGACATCTGTACGACTTTTCATGCTGTGTAAGGGTGGCCACTGTGCTCTTTGTGCACTATACCAGCTTAGATGAACAGTTATGGTGAACAGAACACATAGATACTTATATATAATGTCTGTATATAGCAAATAAAAGCAAAAATGGTATGGTGGAAGGAGGAATTTGGTGAGCAAGGAGTTTTCGAGGAAGGGATTGGTATCGAGTGGCTGGCTGGCAGATGTGGCCACTCATCGTTACTTTTTGACTTGCATTATCAACTTAGTGGTTCGTTATGGTGATCAAAACATGCAGATAATTATATATAACCTGTGTATATAGTGTAATAACCGACAAAGTATTTGTTCACTGTTTAATGAACATAATAACTGAATCAATAATATACACACCATAATTTTGAGTACAGCGATGATTCACACATTTTATTTTATAAATATATCACACTATTGAATAATATTACAGCAAAAAAACAAATTAAAAATCAGAGACATTGAAATAATTAGGTAATTATATTTTTGTGGCAACCCCCTGCCTGACAGCTCCAGCAAGGCAGAACTTCCCCGACGTTTACTGAGTCAGCACCTCGTTTTTGCCAAATTTCCCCGACCTATTGCGGGCAAATTATGTCACTTACGATTTTGTTATTACAATGGTACCTCGGAATGCGAGTGTCCCTGTATGCGAGTTTTTCGGAAGACGAGCAGGATTTACTCCAAAAATATGTCTTGGAAGGCGAGGGTTACCTCGGGACGCGAGTTTGTTGATACGTGTACAGGCCGACTGGCGCGTGGTGGCATGGCGATCGCGCCTCAGTTTACCAGTGTCTCGTGTCCAGTGACTATCCCACCTAAATTCTTCACAAGGATTTACAGTTTTTTATCGGTTTTTTGGCCATTTGAGTATAAAAGTTGTCATTATATATCTTGCCATGGGTCTCAAGAAAGCCATTGGTAAGGTTCAACCTAAGAAAATAGCTGTGAGTAGAGGCAGTAGAGGATGTCCCTTCTTGATTAAGAAAATGTGTGAAGTATGGGAAGAACTGCAAAGTTTTGTTGAAAAAACTCACCCAGATAAAGCTGTAGCAGGCCGTTGCATTGACCTTTTAAATGATAATGTGATTTCTTACTACAGACAAGTGCTAAAATGTAGGGAAAAACAAGTGTCATTAGACAAATTCTTAGTAAAACAAGCAAGTCCTAGTGGTATGCAGGCAAAATGTGCCAGAGTGTGCATACCAGTGAAGTCCTCACTGCCTGATGTGATAATGGAAGGGGACTCCCCTTCCAAACAGTAACTCCTCTCTTCCTCCCACCTCCTCACCATCTTCCATATGCCTACAGCATTCAACAGCAAGGTAAGTAATAACTTGAACATAGTTTTGTAGGTTTATTTAGATGAATTAGGTATAAAAATTTAGTTTGATGTGGGGTTTTTGGGGTAGTCAGGAACGGATTAATTCATTTCCCTTTATTTCTTATGGGGAAATTAGCTTCGGAATGCGAGTTTTCGGAATACGAGGCGTCTCCAGGAACCAATTAAACTCTTAAACTGAGGTATGCCTGTACCTGTATTTTTCCCGTGATCAGGGAACAGAAATCAACAGGTTAAGATGATTTTTATTTTTTTTCGTTATGCACCTGTGGGTGACAGACCAAATAGTCCTTAGCAACACAAGGGTTAAGGCTGTGCAGCATAGTGGTTAAAGGTGCTGCTGTGCTGTACTGGAATAATAAAACCAATAAAAATAAATATAAAATGGAAAATTCTAAAGCCAAAACAGTTGTATAATTCTTACTTTAACACTGCCTGGATATCCTCTAGGTGATCATAAGCAAACATAAGATCAGCTTCGTCAACCACCAGAAACTTGAGGGATTCCTTGACCTTCAAGTTGCCAGCAGATAAATGGGCCAAAACCCTCATGGGTGTTCCAATGACGATGTCCGGTTTATCTGTCAAATACACACAAATATAATTTGGTATTTATTTTATAAGCTCAATAACCATAGCAAATTAACTAGAGGAAAATAGATTAGACAAAATGTATGGTACTGAATCAAACCAGAGCCATCCAGGTGAGCATATTACCAGAAGAGATGGAGTTCCAATCATCAGTATGCTTCCTGGGAAGCCTCTAAAGATTAGAGTGACAATGCAGTGCCATTTACTGATGCCAAGACTATGCCTATCTCTCTGATAGCTGAAAACTTGCCCATACCTATATTTTTTTACATAATTAAAGTTACTTAAATCATGCTTAATGTCATAAATTACATTAACAACACTGTACCCACCCACAAGGAGAGGACGCTGAGCTTCCAGGGAAACTTGAGGAGAAACATCAACAAATCGCACCTCACGTTTACATGAAACTGTCAGCTGACCAATGTTTTCTTTTATTTGTTTACACAACTCCTTACTTGGTGCCAAAATTAGGACCTGTACAGTCTGCCAATACAATATAGACAAATTAGTAGTATAGATAATCTAAAACATATTTACTTAAAAGATTATGTCCCATTTCTTAGTACTGTACTGTCTGTAAAATATTCAAAATAACTAAAAAACTAAAAAACCAGCGTTGAATGTAATGAAACGCCATTTTCTGGGTGAGTCCCGGAGGCTCCCCGGAGCTATCCCAGACTGATATGCTAATGTCAGACTTTGGCATCAGTCATGTGTATGGAGTTCTTAGGCCTACCGGGGACCACGGCCAGAACCGGGCCCCCCTCAGAGAGGCAAGGGGAGCAATGGCCTATAGAAGCCCCCGTGTAGTTGGAAGCATTCTATGTCTGCCATCGACCGGAACAGGCACCCAGAAAGGTAAGCGCCCCAAAACAAACCCCTATTCTGGTTAAAATTGCTACCAAAAACCGAACTAGTGGATAGAACTCCCCAACCGAAAACAAGCAAACTAGTGTGACGTCACACACCGCCGCGCCGCTGTCTGCGCAGCTCCCCCCTCCCCGGGAGGGGGAAGGGGGAGCCCCAGACCCCCGCGCCGGCTACCCACACCTCAGTTCTTGAGGCTGATGCTATAGGCGATGGTCGTGTGCTCTGGCTCCGGTGTCGCTACTGCACTGTGCTTTGCGTGTGGTGTTGGTTTTGTGGGTGCGAGAGCCAGGAGTTATCTTCAGTACTCGGGCTGCATGCGCCTAGGGCTGCCTTCCCTAGGTGCCCTGTAAGTACTGCCCTTGGGGCTTGGGGCCACCTTCCACAGGCTCCTCGGGGTCTGCCTCTGCTGGTCCGTTTTACCTTTCGGTTTTTCGGCCGCCTGTTGGGCTCTTGGGTGTTCTGTTCTCCCTTGTTACCGGCAGGTAAGAGGCAGTTTGCACTGGTAGGGGCGCAGGGTGCTGCTCAGCTTGTATTTCCCGACATCGCGGCCGGCTCTGTTCCTTGGGGTTCGCTGTCCTCTTGCGGGTTTTTTTTTCTTTTTGTTTTTGCCTGGTGGGGGGTTCTGTCATTTTATTCAGTTTGTTTTTGCCCTTCCACTGTTCTTCTCGGTGGCGCCCCCTGCTAGGTCCCCGTGAGTGTACACGTCCCTGGGGTTCAGCTTTCGAAGTTTGCTTGGTAGTTTTGGGCGCCGGTTTGCAGCACCCTGCCTGGGACTACCTGAGCGCGAGTCCTCTTAAAGTAAACGCTCAGGACCCTGGGAATCCCCTAGGGGGCGCGTGGGTCCGATGGATGTGACCCCGGAGTCCCCACTCGCTGTGTGCGAGTTTGAGGGTTGCTCGGTCCCCTTGTCTCAGGGTGACCCTCATTGTTTTTGCCTCTGCCACGCTGCCTGTTGGGTCGGTGATACTTTCGACCCTGAGTCCTGTGAGTGTTGCTGCTTGCTTGTGACTCAATTTACCCAATCCTCTGATGATTCTATTCGGGTACAGGCGGCGCCTGCGTTGCAGTCTAGGTTTCGTCTGTTGCAACGCGCTCGGTTGGTTGCTTCCCCGGATGCCCCGGGGCTGCCCCGCTTTGCTTTTCGAGACCCTGACTTGGGGCTGGGGGTCGCTTCGATCCTGGTTCAGTCCGCACCTCCTCGTCCTTCCCCTTCTGTTCGTTCTGGTCCCCCGCCCCTGCTTCCGGCCCCGAAGAGTCTGAGGGTTTCGGGGTCGGAGCAGGGGTTACTTGATCTCGAGACTCGGGCAGCTTCGGGGGTTGCCCCTTCCGGGGGGGCGGCAGAGGCATTCGAGTCTTGTCTCCCGGCCGAAGCTTCAGGGTCTGACCAGTGGGCCCCCCTTCCTCCAACTTTTCCGCCTGCTCCGTCCTTGTCTTGTGGGGTCGGGGCTTGGGGAGAGGACTCGGCCTCGGGTCCTGTGGTGACGGACCTCGAGGCTGGGGAGGAGCTGACTTGGGGGCCTTGGGCCCCGCTGGACCCCGCCTGGGTTTTTCTTCCCACTGAGCGGGGCTTATTGTTACAAGGAGTGGGGTTTTCTTTTCCCCCCTCTGCGTACGAGTTGGATTTGGTGTCGGCCCCTCCCCGGGTTCGGTTCCGTGTTCCCCCGGGTACGTCGGTTCCGTCCTTCTGGAGGTTTTCGGCTTATCGCATCCAACCTGGTGTGGTGCGAGCGGCCTTTGCAGCTTACCTCCTGCGTGACCCGGATTATGCCTCGGAAATGGATCCATCCACGTTCAGGTTTGGGACTTCGTTCCCTTTCTGGCTCCGTTACGAGGTTCCGGAGTCGTCCTGGCTAGCAGACTGCCCCTTGTTTGGTCTGGATTCCTGGCATTCCTTCTGTCGTTCCCGCGCGCTGGAGTGGCGGGAAGCTTCCACGGTGCTTCAGGTTTTCCTGGGGGGCAAACTTGAGTACCTGAATGAGTGCTTGTTTGCCCCTGCCCTTCCCCGCGATGTGGGCGTTATTCAGCTCCATGTGCAGGTTCCCTCCCTTTCGGCAGCGCTCGTTGCAGAGGACTTGCGCGCCCGGGGCCTTTTGTGTTCGGCCTTGCGGTTCTTTTCCCTCCTGGAGCTGTCTTCGGATTGGCTCATGGAGGATGTGGGGACGCTTGGGTCCGTCCCGGGGTCCGGCACCTTGTCCTCGGCTGCGCGTTCGTCGGCTGCCTTGTTGAAGCTGTTCACGCCGATTTTGCGGGATGCTGTTTCCCTGTTTTATGCTTCCCGTCTCGCGTGTCGGCAGGCAGTGCTGGGTTCCTCCGTGGAATCTGCTTGGGCTCTGGCTCTTAGGCGTTCTTCACCTTTTTGTCCTCTCCTGTTTAGGGAGTCGGCCGTGGCGCAGTTTATTCAGGCTGCGTCGGCGGCTTGTCGTCCGATGTCGGACTTGTTGGTTTTCCGGGGGTCCCGGGGTGGGTCTTCCCGGAAAGGTCGTGCCAGGGCTCGGGGTTCCTCTCGTCGTGGTAGGCCTCTGGTGTCAGGTTTGGGGTTGGCTCCTCCTGCGGACTCTCCCTCGTCTGGTCGGCGCGGTGTTCGCGCTGTGTGGGGTTCTGGGTCTCGTAAGGGTCGCCGGCCCTTTCGCGGTTTGCCCCCTTGACGGGGCGATGGGGGGGCGGCTTGCGCTGTTCGCCCGCGCCTGGTCCCACGATTCGGGGGCCTTTCGGGTCGTGTCTCGTGGCCTGCGGTGGCGTTGGGTGGCCCCTCCCCCCTTTGGGGGGCCGGGGCTGGCAGGGCAGGTTTCTTCCCCTACGCTCTGTCGAGTCGTCTTGGAGTGGGTACGCTTGGGCATCGTCGAAACGACGTCGTCCCTCAGATGGGTTTCCCGTCTGTTTCCGGTTCCGAAACGGGACTGTGGGGACCTGCGGTTCATTCTAGACTTGTCCCGTCTGAACCCCTGGGTTTATTGCCCCTCCTTTCGGATGACTACGCTGTCTCAGGTTCGGCTCCTCTTGGAGCCGGGTGCTTGGATTGGTGTCCCTGGACCTCCGGGACGCTTATTGGCATGTCCCGATTCATCCGCGGTTCAGGGACTGGCTCGGTTTTGTTGTGGGGCGTCTGAGTTACCGCTTTCGTTGTCTCCCGTTCGGGTTGAACCTGGCACCTCGCGTGTTCACGCGCCTTACACGGGTTGTGGTGGCTCGTTTGCGTCTCCTAGGTGTTCGGGTGTTGGCCTACCTCGACGACTGGCTGGTTTGGGCTCCCAGCCAGTCAGCTTGCTTGCTAGCCAGGGATTTGGTTCTTTCCCAGCTCGCCGAGTTCGGGTTCTTGGTGAACTGGAGGAAGTCCCATCTGGTTCCCTCTCAGGTTCGGACTTGGCTGGGTCTCGTTTGGGACTCTCGAACCGCCTCCTTGTCTCTCCCTCCTGAGTCTCTCCTGCGGCTGCGGTCCCGCCTTCGTCTGTTTCTGGAGGGCCCTCGGGTCACCCGGCGGTTGCTCGAGGGGCTGTGCGGGAGCCTGAACTTCGCGATGGTGGTCTACCCGCCGGGTCACCTGGAACTAATATACACCTGGAAGATACTGGAGGGCCAAGTACCAAATCTACACAGTAAAATAACAACGTACTGGAGTGAACGACATGGAAGAAAATGTAGAATAGAACCAGTGAAGAGCAGAGGTGCCATAGGCACAATCAGAGAACACTGTATAAACATCAGAGGTCCGCGGTTGTTCAACGTCCTCCCAGCAAGCATAAGAAATATTGCCGGAACAACCGTGGACATTTTCAAGAGGAAACTAGATTTATTCCTCCAAGGAGTGCCGGACCAACCGGGCTGTGGTGGGTATGTGGGCCTGCGGGCCGCTCCAAGCAACAGCCTGGTGGACCAAACTCTCACAAGTCGAGCCTGGCCTCGGGCCGGGCTTAGGGAGTAGAAGAACTCCCAGAACCCCATCAACCAGGTATCAACCAGGGTCGGGTTTGGCTTCGACGGCTGTTCTGGTTCCTTCGGGGTTCCCCCTTCCGCCTCTCTCGCGATCGCAGAGTTCGGCCCCCGGGGGCCTTGCGTCGGTTGCTGCGTCACCAGCTTCCTATTCGGGTTTTTCGGGGTTCAGTGCTTTGGCGCCTACCCGAGCCCTCGCTCGATGTGTACACGGATGCGTCGTCTCTCGGCTGGGGTTTTGTGACCAGTGCTCACCAGGCCGGCCAGGGGCGTTGGGATCCGTCCTTCCGTCGAGCTCACAGCATGGTGCGGGAGTTCGTGGCAGTGTGGTTTGCTCTGGGGAGGGTTCAGGTGGCCCGCGGATCGACGATTCGGCTCCATTCAGACTGCTCTCCGGTGGTTCATTGCCTGAATCGCGGGGGTTCGATGCGGTCCTTGTCTCTTTGGGGTTGGTCGCTTCGGGTGACTCGTCTGCTGAGTTCTCGGGGTTTGGCTCTCCTGGCGGTTCACGTCCGGGGCGTGTCCAATGTCTTGGCCGACGCCCTGTCTCGCTTCGTTCCCCTCTCCACAGAGTGGACGGTCAACGACGAGTCCTTCCGTTGGCTTTGTCAGACGTTCGGGTGCCCCGAAGTAGACCTCTTCACGTCGGCGTGGTCGCGGCGTCTTCCTGTTTATGTGGCACCCTTCGCCGATCGCGAGGCCGTCGGGGTCGATGCCTTTCGGCTAGACTGGTCGAGGTGGGGGTTCCTGTACCTCTTTCCCCCGGTTCGGCTGTTGCTCCAGGTCCTGACTCGCTTAGAGACTTACCAGGGGAGAGTTGTCCTTCTGGCCCCTTGGTGGCCGGCCCAGCCTTGGTTTCAGGCGCTGGTTGCTCGGTGTCCGAACCCGAGGGTTTTCCCGCGGTTCCGCCTCTTTCAGCAGATCGGGCCGGTCCGTCACGTGGCTGGTTCGATCTTCTCCTCGAGTCTTCGCGTATGGTTTTTTTGACTCGAGTCTATCATCATCTCTATGGTGATCAGGTGGCCTCCTTGTTGGTGTCCCACCTGAGGGCTTCTTCTCGGCGGCAGTATGAAGTTTCCTGGCGGTCCTTCCGTTTCTTTTTGCGTCTTCGTCGTGTTACCTCCTTGTCTGTTCGGGTGGTCTTGTCCTTCCTCTCGTGGTTGTTTCAGGACCGTCATCTTATGCCTAACACTGTCGCTTCGTATCGTGTGGCGCTGGCGGAGCAGCTTCAGCTTGCTTTCGGTATCGATGTTACGTCTGCGCCGTTTCGCATGCTGTCTCATGCATTGTTTCACCTCCGGCCTGCTCATGCGTCGCCTGAGCTGTCCTGGTCTTTGGACAGAGTGCTCGCTTTCCTTTCATCTCCTCGTTTCGTTGTGGCCCCTTCGGTCCAGGATTGTTTTTCCAAGGCACTTTTCTTGTTGGCTTTGGCCTCTGGGGGTCGGGTAGGGGAGCTTCATGCTCTCCTCCGGCGCAGGGGTTTCTGCTCTTTTGGTCGTGGTGATTGTTTTGTTCGTTTGCAGCCGTCTCCTTTTCTGGCGAAGAATGAGACTGCTGCGTTCCGGAGGGGTCCATGGGTGGTTGATGCTTGGTTGGTCAGGCCGGGGGTGCATCATGTTTTGTGTCCGGTTGCGGCGCTTCGCCGTTATTTGCGCGCCACAGCTTCTGTGTCCAGGGACGCGCTGTGGGTTGATCCGGTTTCCCTTCTTCCCTGTTCGCGGGTTCGGGTCTCTCAGGTCGTCCGCAGGGTTATTAGGTCCAGCCAGCCTGCGGTCTATCCCCGTGCCCATGACGTTCGTAAGTTCGCGGCTCTTGCTGCCGTCTTTGGGAATATGTCTTGGTCTGATATTCGGGCGCGGGGATTTTGGCGGTCGAACAGGGTCCTGGCTGCTCGTTACCTTGTGAATGTCCCTGGGCCTCGTCGGGCCTGTGTTGCTTTGGGTCGGCGGTTGCAGTCAGTTGTCTCGGCTTCGAGTTGAGGGGTGAGCGACGACTGCCTCCCGGGTAAGTCCCTCTTTTTTTCTGTCTGTGGGTAGTTAGCTCCGGGGAGCCGACGGGGCTCCCCCCAGAAAACCAGCGTTGAATGTAATGAAACGCCATTTTCTGGGTGAGTCCCGGAGGCTCCCCGGCATCCCTCCCTCCCTCCGGTCGGCGGTTTTTCGCGTTTTTGACATCCAGCCTCAAGAACTGAGGTGTGGGTAGCCGGCGCGGGGGTCTGGGGCTCCCCCTTCCCCCTCCCGGGGAGGGGGGAGCTGCGCAGACAGTGGCGCGGCGGTGTGTGACGTCACACTAGTTTGCTTGTTTTCGGTTGGGGAGTTCTATCCACTAGTTCGGTTTTTGGTAGCAATTTTAACCAGAATAGGGGTTTGTTTTGGGGCGCTTACCTTTCTAGGTGCCTGTTCCGGTCGATGGCAGACATAGAATGCTTCCAACTACATGCGGGCTTCTATAGGCCATTGCTCCCCTTGCCTCTCTGAGGTTGTCTATTTCCCCCATTATGTTGCGGTCATATTGAGTTCCCCACATGCCTTTTTGTTGTTTTCCTCGAGAATTTTCCCCTCGTCTCATCAACCTGATGGTGGAGGTGGTGGCGGAAGTTATAATAATGGATGGAATAGGTGGAAGTGGTGGAGAATGTGCTAGAGATGATGTTGGAAGTGGTGGTCTGAGAAAGTGGTGGAAAAAAATGGTGGACTATTAGGAGGCGATGCAGCCAGTGGAAGTGGTAGAGGAAAGTAGTAGAACAAGTGATGATCAGTGCTTGCCTGTCACTGACTACAAGGAAGCAAGATCAAACCTTTTGTTCCTGATCTTTAGTGATCCCCAATTACCTACAAGGACTGTGGTGCCAGTGCCTGAATGTTGTCCAGCTTGACAGTTTCTGATCCAGATACTTGAAATATGACACAGTAGATCTTAAGGAGCAACCAAATTATGCTGTCCAGAAAAATTATATACCCCATGAGCTATGCAGTATACTGTACTGCAAATGTTAAAATTTAATAGTAAGAAGTATTTATCTTACCTGTTCTGTTGCCTTTTGTTTTCCTTCAAGAATCTTGTGAATAGCTGGAATAACAAATGCTCCAGTCTTGCCGGATCCAGTCCTAGCCCTGGCCAGCACATCCTTTCCTTCCAGAATATATGGGATAGCCTTCTCTTGAATCAAGGTTGGCTCCTTCCATCCTAATCTTGCTATGGCCTTGAAACAAATCATAGGTTATTAAAAAAATTAAGATTTTTTTTTAAATGAAAGATAGAAAACTGGTAAATGTGTAACTGGTTCAGAGGATGTGAATAATAGTCCTAAGTAAATACTGTATATAATAATATACACAATACAGTATAGCAAATATATTGTACATATATATATATATATATATATATATATATATATATATATATATATATATATATATATATATATATATATATTTGCCCTCTCTATATTTCTTTCGTTTGCCTGCTTTAAGAGTCATATCAGCTCTCCCTACTGATTCTCTGAGGTACAGGGAGTCTGTTGATATATGTGGCGACCAGACCGGCCGCCAGATAAGGGAGAAATTTACATTATAAGTTGTAGGTAAGGGGAAAGTGGCATCCTGATATAAATGAAAGAGTATCCCCTACTGCAGATATGACGTTTTGGAAGGGACGCTATCCGCACCGTGCGGATTGGGTGGCTTGGGTCAATCAGAGCCCGCCGTGACGTCACCGAGTGCCCCAGGCGGCGCCAACGTCAGAGTTGACCTGACCGTGGAAGCGAGAGGACGCACCTCGGTCAGCTCACAAGGATTTGAGGCTCTACAAGCCTTTCTCAGTGGATTAGAGCTAGCCATCGCAGCCCACCTTATATATTGGAGACCCCGCACTTCTGGGAAGCAAAAAGGAACCAAGTTTATTGAGCAAAAGAGTGCCAAACTTGGAAAATATTCGGCGACGACGCTGGACGTTGACGGCCTGGAAGGTGTGGCGGGCAGGCCTAGCTGTAACCGGATCACATCCACTGAGGGTTTTGGAAGGACGACACCGTTCCTAGGACAAGGAGCAACGCCTTGTGGAAGGGGCGAGTGTGTGAAAATAGTGATAAGCTCAGTGCCCATTGATGAAACAGGATTGGGGTAGCTGAATCTCAGGGATTGGAACGGCGACGACGTGAAGGCTTCACGACACCCGAGGACCTGTGGAACGTTCCTGGATCGTCAAGGATCGACTCAGGAAGCGTGGGAACCACACCATCGAGGGACAGGCGTCGTGAGCCAGGAATTTAAAGGTAGATCACTTTCCCTCCCATTACCCCTTGTGTGAGTAGGCTAGATAGGCCACAATATTCACTTATGTATGTGGCAATAGGACATTAATACTTTAGTAGTAGAATAGCCTTCAGGGCAGCTTGTGTCCAAGACTGTTGGAGAGGACAGTGTGTATGGACGGCAGGACAGTGAAGACGAGGTGCCGACGTGGTGAAGAGGCCCTCCTGTGAGAGAGTGTGTGACTCCTGTCTTTCTGTCCAGTTAAAGGAGTGTTGGAGGTCGTGGAAGAAGAGTTGCTGACGATCTCCAGATTTATTATCCTTATTTTCATATTCATGTATTACTTGTGATTGAATGTGTGATCATGTAATTTGTGTCAGTAAATTCACACATTTTATCATTGTGTTTAAGCGTGCCTCCATTATTATAATATTTCTCTATGAGCATACACGAAGGTTATCATAGTACCACCTAGGGAACACCACGTTCTCTATAGAAGTTCTTATTGCCTGGAGAGTGGTGAAAACAGCACAGACTTATATAAAAGTGTACCCTTAGCCATCCGATCAGTATCAGTGTCTGAATGGTGGCAACTAGTAACGTAGTGGCTAAAGAGAGGTAAAGCCACACAGACCTTCCTGGGAGAGTACCCTTGGGCCGACAGTCCAAGAGCAGATCTATGGGAGTAGCAACCTTCTGGCAACAAACAATATATAATACACACACTGAACTGCATCGCTGGGGTGCAGATATAATAACCCAGCTGGCGACCTTGTTAAGAAGAAGATAGAGAAGACAGGCGGGAAAGGACTTCCTGCAACCTTTTTGTCTGGCAGGCAAGACTCAGGGAGGTTATTGTTACAAGGTAAGCCTGAGTCTTACTGCACTCCTCCACGGGTCTAGGCCGGAACTGTTAACAGCAGTTTCCCCGTGTTTGACTGAAGGGCTTCCAGGGTGAATTAGTGGTACCCCCCTTTTGGAGTGGAAGAAAAGACCTGCGGAGGTGGGCATTGTTGGTCCTCTCCTGTGTGACCAAGGAGACTCCGGTGAATCCCGGGAGTCGGAGGGATTGAGTATTCGGCCTTTTGAGCCCCTAGCAGCTGAGTGCTAGCAGAGCCCCGGCCCACCCCCCGTGACATATACAAGGCCCAATTTGCCTAATAAGCCAAGTTTTCCTGAATTTATATATTTTTCAATATTTTTTTCTTATGAAATGATAAAGCTATCCATTTCATTACGTATGAGTTAATTTTTTTAAATTTGAGTTAAAACTAACGTAGATAAATGACTGAACCTAACCAACCCTACCTAACCTAACCTATCTTAACCTAACCTAAACTGACACAACTACGTTAATAATTTATGTTTTTAATATAATAATAATTGAAAAACACTAATTGGAAACAATTTATTGAAAATAAAGAAAATCACTCGGCCTATTAGGCAAATCGGGAGAGCTAGGTGTCAGGGGCCCCTCAAGAGCTAGGTGTCAGGGGCCCCTCAAGAGCTAGTGTCAGGGGCCCCTCAAGAGCTAGGTGTCAGGGGCCCCTCAAGAACTAGGTGTCAGGGGCCCCCACAAGAACTAGGTGTCAGGGGCCCCCACAAGAACTAGGTGTCAGGGGCCCCTCAAGAGCTAGGTGTCAGGGGCCCCCACAAGAACTAGGTGTCAGGGGCCCCTCAAGAGCTAGGTGTCATGGGCCCCTCAAGAACTAGGTGTCAGGGCCTCTCAAGAGCTAGGTGTCAGGGGCCCTCAAAAGCTAGGTGTCAGGGGCCCTCAAAAGCTAGGTGTCAGGGCTATCAAGAGCCTGGTGCCATGGTCCTTAATAACTAGGAGTCAAAAGCCCTTAACAGCTAAAAGACGGGTCACCCAATAGCTAAGAGACAGGGGCCGCAACAGCTAGAATACACAAATCCAAGATTGATTGATAAAGTTGGTTTGATAAAGGCCACCACTTACGGGCATGAATAGCCCGCAAGTGGTGGCCCTTTTGAGCCATTACCAGTATCATAGATCTGTGGAGGTGCAACTGCACCCTGCGTGACGGGAGATGTCTCCCGTGAAATCCAAGAGCCATTTCTTTACAGAAATAGACAAACACCTTACCTCCAATATCCGGTCGTCCAGGCCCATTTCATGGAATTGTATGGTCTTCTCGTCTTCCATCTCCTCGCTCATCTTTGATGGTACAGCCGGCCCAGCAAACACTGCCACACTGGGCGCCAAACAGACACTGTTCGACAGACACTGTCAGACAGACACAGACAGACTGCACAGCCCCTTCTTCTTGATAGCAGGTGCAGTTCGCATCCAGGGTTTGTCCTCCCGATAACTGCACACACAGCCGCTGGAGGGTTTGTTTACAAACTCATGAGAGGTAACATGTGCTCTTGCCTCCGCGGTTCTTATTTCCCAAACCTACAAAAATGTATATTAATTAAACTAATAAATATTGTTAATGCTAAAGACGACATATATTATATTATTGAGAAAATTTAGAGTTTTGTGCTATAAATTACACTTTATGCGTATTAGAAGATTTACAAGACTCCACATGATATAATAATAATAATAATAATAATAATAATAATAATAATAATAATAATAATAATAATAATAATAATAATAATAATAATAATAATAATAATAATAATAATAATAATAATAATAATAATAATATTTTATTCAGGAAACGGATATACATAGATGCAGAGTTACAAACATAATGTTGGATTTATAGATAGAGCTAGTACATACAATACCTGAAGCCATTACAATACAATTTCCTTCTTTATTATGCACCCCATACCCATCCCATGGGCGGTGGTGTAAAGGATTACAGAGGCATATAATCGGTTCAGGAACTGAACTCTTTAGTTCGTTTAGCTAAGCAAATAACAATGTTTGACGCAAGTTACAAAATTATCAATGTTGTATACACATGTACACACCCTCATACATACATGTACATACATATATATATATATATACATATACATACACATACATATCTAATCACCCACACAAATACGCACATCAATAATCTTTGTGTCACAAGTGACACAAAGAGGTGTCACAAGTGACATTACAAGAGGCTCACAACAGTCACTATACAAGGCACTTACACACAAATAAACACATCAATAATCTTTGTGTCACAAGTGACACAAAGAGGTGTCACAAGTGACACAAGGCATTTAATACGCATAGCGTTTCGAGCAATAATCTGCCCAAAACGCTATGCGTGCTAGTGGCTTTACAAGAATGTAAAAACATCAATGCTATGTACTCTCATAAACTCAATGTACCGTCTTTTATATACATAAATAAATAAATAAATAAAAATACATACATACCACTTTCCACTGCCAACCACATGACGGGCGGTAGTGGAAAGGCAGGCAGGCACGGTATGGGGTGCATAATAAATGAACTAAACTAAAAAAAAAAAAAACTTAATCATCAATTACATATTTTCCTGAATTTACCTAAGGGCCACCATCTCTCTAGTGGCCTCTATATGAGGACATGAATGAGCTTTGATAACCCATTGTACTTCATTAGCCTCTTAAATCTTAATTGACTTGTGTATAGAATGCAATGTAATTCCCTTCCCTTCCGGGATATCTTGAGGTTATCTTGAGATGATTTCGGGGCTTTTTTAGTGTCCCCGCGGCCCGGTCCTCGACCAGGCCTCCACCCCCAGGAAGCAGCCCTTGAGAACTGACTAACACCCAGGTACCTATTTTACTGCTAGGTAACAGGGGCATAGGGTGAAAGAAACTCTGCCCATTGTTTCTCGCCGGTGCCTGGGATCGAACCCAGGACCACAGAATCACAAGTCTCGCGTGCTGTCCGCTTGGCCGACCGGCTCCCTATATATTATATATATATATATATATATATATATATATATATATATATATATATATATATATATATATATATATTATATATATATATATATATATATATATATATATATATATTGTTATTTTTTCTTTATTAAATAATAGACAATATAAAGATCATATTTAGCTATTAGGTGGACAATGGCATCAGGTGAAATGAAACGTTGCCCAAAGGTTTCTGTCACGCCGCGTGAACTATCGGTTGTGAACCCAGCAATGTTGAAAGGTCACACTCATCCTGTGAGAGGTAGTTTATTGTGCACCCCATACTCATCCTGTGAGAGGTAGTTTATTGTGCACCCCATACTCATCCTGTGAGAGGTAGTTTATTGTGCACCCCATACTCATCCTGTGAGTGGTAGTTTATTGTGCACCCCATACTCATCCTGTGAGTGGTAGTTTATTGTGCACCCCATACTCATCCTGTGAGTGGTAGTTTATTGTGCACCCCATACTCATCCTGTGAGAGGTAGTTTATTGTGCACCCCATACTCATCCTGTGAGTGGTAGTTTATTGTGCACACCACACTCATCCTGTGAGAGATAGTTTATTGTGCACCCCATACTCCTCCTGTGAGAGACAGTTTATTGTGCACCCCATACTCATCCTGTGAGAGACAGTTTATTGTGCACCCCATACTCATCCTGTGAGAGATAGTTTATTGTGCACCCCATACTCATCCTGAGAGAGGTAGTTTATTGTGCACCCCATACTCATCCTGTGAGTGGTAGTTTATTGTGCACCCCATACTCCTCCTGTGAGAGGTAGTTTATTGTGCACCCCATACTCATCCTGTGAGAGGTAGTTTATTGTGCACACCATACTCATCCTGTGAGTGGTAGTTTATTGTGTACCCCACACTCATCCTGTGAGACGTAGTTTATTGTGCACACCATACTCATCCTGTGAGCGGTAGTTTATTGTGCATCCCATACTCATCCTGTGAGTGGTAGTTTATTGTGCACCCCATACTCGTCCTGTGAGTGGTAGTTTATTGTGCACCCCCATACTCGTCCTGTGAGCGGTAGTTTACCGTGCACCTCATACTTATCCTGTGAGCTGTAGTTTACCGTGCACCACATACTCATCCTGTGAGCGGTAGTTTATCGTGCACCTCATACTCATCCTGTGAGCGGTAGTTTATTGTGCACCCCATACTCATCCTGTGTGGTGTGTTACTGTGCATCCCATACTCATCCTGTGTGTGGTGTGTTACTGTGCATCCCATACTCATCCTGTGTGTGGTGTGTTACTGTGCATCCCATACTCATCCTGTGAGTGGTAGAGCAAAAGATGTTCAGAGCGCACAAATGGTCTTAATCTGAATCCAATGGGTATTTTTACAGTTTTCTATAATTTATCTGAGCACTTTATATATATAATTACAATACTATACCTAGTATAGGAGAGTACAGCTTGCACTGTAACTGTTAATTATGTCAATGCAACATTATACGTTGGAGTTAAGTCATCTTGGTATTACTTAGCATATATTCAACATTAGATTTTGCACGGTAATAGAGGTGACTCTGTGACTTGGAGCTCCATAGCTTCTACATTCATCATACATGTTTTCCTTTTTTTGGATGCTGTAAGAATTTCAGATATTTTATATCAATAAAGTGATATTCCATTGCATGCAATGTATGTTTAAATCTATCCTTTACTAGTCCGATTTTCAGGCAGAATAAGATGAACAGTGTATCTTCGTTTAAGGTGATCAGTCCGGCAACCAGAAGGCCTGGTCGACGACCGGGCCGCGGGGACGCTAAGCCCCGGAAGCACCTCAAGGTAAGGATATAAGCCTAAAATATATATATGCACAGGCTGCCTGTCCCCAGACAAAATGCATTATAAATAAATGAGCCAGATAGAGTGGAAATATTTTTGTCATTGTCAGGAAAGTGAAGAAATTATAATGAAATGCACTATATATGTGGATATCATTTGCGATGGTTCATTGAGAAGTATATTGTGATATATTGTAACGAAAATGTGAGGTTTACCATTTGAGTAGCAAGACATATTGGCACAAATTTATATTACAAATTACTAATCACATCACGGCTTTACCAAACGCAGTCCATGTTCAACAAGTTATTCATAATTGTCTAGTAGATCTGAAGCCCGCTGAGAGAGAGGGAGAGAGAGCGAGAGAGAGAGAGAGAGCGAGAGAGAGAGAGAGAGAGAGAGAGAGAGAGAGAGAGAGAGAGAGAGAGAGAGAGAGAGAGAGAGAGAGAGAGAGAGAGAGAGAGAGAGAGAGAGAGAGAGAGAGAGAGAGAGAGAGAGAGAGAGAGAGAGAGAGAGAGAGAGAGAGAGAGAGAGAGAGAGAGAGAGAGAGGGAGAGAGAGAGAGAGCGAGAGAGACGAGAGTCGGAGGGGAGAGAGAGGGAGAGAGAGGAGAGAGAGCGAGAGAGAGAGAGAGAGAGAGAGAGAAGAGAGAGGAGAGAGAGAGAGAGAGAGGAGAGAGAGAGAGAGAGAGAGAGAGAGAGAGAGAGAGAGAGAGAGAGAGAGGAAAGAGAGAGAGAGAGAGAGCTATCCTAGTGAAAGACTGTAATTGAGAGGGATACAGGATACAGGTGCATGTACTGACAACTAGTGCGATATAATAAAGAGAGACCAAGAGACTTCTCGCAATATATAGTTCATACCACAGGCATAATGAGCTTCCGGTACTTGTCTGTTCTTAATATATCTTTAGTGTTTATAAATTTATACAGAATATTCTTCTCCAAGACTCACACACCGCAGACAACATAACAAAAGCCCGACATCACGTCAGTATTGATATTTCAATAATTTTCGTGTTAATAAAAGGGGTAATGTTTAAGCTCATGTTTGGAAAATGTTTTATAGTACCAGTTATATTGGTTTTCATTGACGTTTCTGAATGACATCTCATTTTATCATAAATATCACCAAGAATTTTGTATTAAGAAGACTTTTTCTCAAACAGGTCACCACGTGCTGTCCTGTTTTGATCATAAGTCAGTTACCTCCCATAATTCCATAGAGTTTTGTTCACTAATTATAAAGATAACACAATTGTTAAGTATGGAAACTGGAGTTATGACAGTGATTGAAGAAAACAAGTCAAATAAACATAAAAATCGTCTTTCAGAATGCTAATTTATATATAAAAAAATTCCAGTATTGGGAGGAAAAGATGAAATAATTGGACGAAAGTGTAAGAAACAGTGGTTGTTGTGGTGACGTCACAATCAATAGGGTCTGGAGCGTGTGTTGCAGGAGCCGCCCGGCCGCCCCGCGCGCCCTCACACCCTCACTTGTTTCCTAATGTCGTAAACACCGCAAAATGTGCTTTATATAAATTTCTCCCATCTCTTTTATCTCTTCCCCGGAGGTATATACATTGAGTTTAAATTTTCTGGGAGAGATAATTTTATTATTGAAGGTAATGTAGTTTGATTTTGATAGAGAGTTGAGGATAATAAGTGAAAAATATTGGCGGGGTTTGTGGGATCACGGGTTTACGACAGTGGTTTTGCGGCCCTTCAGTATCTCACGACCCAACATGGCGGACAGTGTTCCTTCCGTCTCCCTCCGCCTACTGAGAATCTGATTTCCTCATATTTCGGACACAGCTTTGGTGAGGAGTGTATGTAATGTTGAGGGTGTAGTGCCAGGGAATGTTGGAGAAGTATTTGAGGTGCCGGCACGCCGCCACTCTCCTCCAACACCACCTCCAACACTCCTCCCAGCCTCGCTCTCCACCCTCCGCCCGATACTTGTACTTTGTCTTAATTAACGGCGTTCATACAGTGAGAGACGGGTCGTGGTGGGTTCCCTGACATTCGCTGCTGCATAATGAATGAATGTGTAATACCAAAGATCGCTTTGGGGCACATTGGTGCCAGAAAATAGTGGTTAAATAAGTGAATGTTTATGGTGGTGAGTTTAGCGTGTGTTGCAGGAGCGGCCGTGCCAGCCTCCGCTGCACATGGGTCATTCCATACACTATTTTCTCCGATGTCACCCTCCCATCTCGGCCTTCAGCCACTGCCCCGCCTTCGTCAGAGTCGTGGCCAGGGGGTGGGAGGGTGGATGATGGCTGGTGTAGCTGGGCATGAGGCCTGGTGAGGAAATGTGGCATCTGGTGCAGGGTGACCTGCACTCCGGTGTCGGCCCTTGACACCATGTTAACCCTCCCGTGTGTGGCTCCTACACTTGTGTCAGGAAGGTGGTGTTAGGGCAGGCATGAGAGGTGTGGCTCAGGCCGGAGGTCACACCTGCCTCCTCCTCCACATGTAACTCGTAACACCATTCCCCCCAAAAAATAATAATAAAATATAAATTAAAAAATCTAAAAATTTATTCATGGATGTGAAAATAAACTAATATACAGTACTTATAACTTTTTGTTATACTGTAGGATACAGTCATAAGGACTGTCTCTAAATAAGTCGGTTTAAATCCGTCAGGAAGTTTTCCCTGAGGACCACTAACACTGTACTAGCCTCAATGGTAGCTGATGGCTTGTCAAAAGTACCCCTCCCCTATTTGCCCTGATGTTTTTTCCCAGCTGTATTTTAAAATTTAAGAGTTGGCATTTATGGTTTAGGCCTGACAGCTGAATGGACAGTGCTTCGGAGTAGGCCTGACAGCTGAATGGACAGTGCTTTGGAGTTGGGAGTTGTAGTCCTGAGGTTGCGGGTTTGATCCCTGGTTGAGGCAGAAACAAATGGGTAGAGTTTCTTTCACCCTAATGCCCCCTGGCCTGGCCAAGGACTGGGCTGCGAGGATGCCAAGCCATGAAATCGTCTCAAGATAGGTGGCAACAACAAACGATTGCGGCTCCACCACTTGGGCTGGACGGTAGGGCGACGGGTTTCGCTTCACGCAGGTCGGCGTTCAATCCCCGACCGTCCAAGTGGTTGAGTACCATTCCTTCCTCCCTGTCCCATCGCAAATTCTTGTCATGACCCCCTTCCCAGTGCTATATAGTCGTAAGGGCTTGGCGCTTTCTCCTGATAGTTCCCTCCCATGTGCCTTACAGCTGAGTGGATAGCGCTTCAGATTCGTAGTCCTGAGGTTCCGGATTTGATCTCCGGTGGAGGCAGAAACAAATGGGCATAGTTTCTTCCACCCTGATGCTCCAGTTCACCTGGTAGTAAATAGGTACCTGGGAGTTAGACAGCTGTTACGGGCTGCTTCCTGGGGTTGTGAAACAAAAGGGAGGCCTGATCGAGGACCGGGCTACCGGGACGCTAAGCCCCGAAATCCTCTCAAGATAACCTCCCCGACTTGTTTGTGTAACATTTAACTTTTCAAAGAAGTCTGGATCAACATTCTCCAAATTGTTCGGTATTTTAAAGGTTTCGATGATATCTGCCTTGTCATGCCTGGTTTGCAGTGTTGTTAACCCTGAGGTGAACAACACTGCAACACAACCCTCATTCCTGGTATGAGAGTTGACTTAGTTCTGGGGTGGTTTTTGTTGTCTGGTGTTGCATCCTCCACCACCAGAGATTTATGCAGTTCAATCACCACCTTAGTTTTCTTAAAGTCAAAGATATACCTTATTATATCTAGGGTTTAGTTTGCATTTTGTACTACTGCTGCTACCTGTTGTGCAACTTTCAGTGAATGTTGTATTTTGACTCTTAAGGCCCTTTTCTTCAAACTGCTGCATGGTAATGTTATCAATTAAGTAGTTGTTACATGGGTTGTTGTGCCTCACATGTAAAGTCTTGTATTTTTCTATGTTAAAAAGCATTTGCCAGTCTTCTGATCATTTATGGAGTTCATGGAGATGAGCATACAATAGTTTATTTTTGCATTGAAGGATGACAAATTTAATCCATGGAATTTGGAAGCTTCCTTTATGAAGAAAGATTAACCCTTAACATGCTCGGGGTCTAATATCCTGCCATCCACACAGGCGCATGTCATTTTGAAAAAAAAAAAAATTTTTTTTTTTTTGCTAATCTGTTAAGTTCTGTTCACTGATCACGGGAAAAATAAAAAAAAAATTCTATTTTACTTACTTTTGTTGCAATAGAGCCAAGAAGGACGGTGATGACGTCACAATCTGCATGTTCGCTCATGCAGTACACGCCCGGGAGGTGTTGCGCGCGGTCCTCAAACAGCCATAGTTTCCACAAATATATTTTCGCGCTATTTATTTACAATGTCTAAGCGCATTTTATCTAATTTTTTTTCACTAATTGTGTTTCAAATACTGTTTGAACATATTTTGTATCAATAATTGTTGCATATTTGAGTATACACAGGCGCACACAAATGTTTTCAATTACGGCAATATAATATGTCCTTACAGTCTATTATATTGTATGTTCTGCTTATATTTGTATATATTTACACACACACGCACACGCTATCTGCTTATATGTTTACATATTTACACACTCGCACACGCTATACACACTTTGAAGCACACTTAGATTTCTAGACTGTGGTAGTCATTGAAGCAGTCGACAGCACATAATGGGATACCACACGTTTCACACCATGTTTGCACAGGCTTCCGTTTCTTGATTCTACGTGTCGTTGTTTTACACACCAAGCAATCACGTTGGGCTATTGCACGCTTCACACCAGGTGGCAAATACTTAAGTTTGTGTGCTAGGAAGCCTTCAGTGTGAGCGAGGCGTGGAGTACCAGCATGCTGCAACAGTGGGTTTATGATGGGCCGCTGAATACCTGGGACATCTTTTGCAAACTTTCCTAATAACTGTATTGCAGCATCAAATACAAAGTCACGGAAAGTGGGCTTACGTCCAGTTCTCACAAGGTACATGTTGAAACAGTTCAGCATGCTCATGTCCACAAGATGGAAGAACACTTTTTTCGTCCACCTACATGTCTTCCGCACACACTCTGCAGTGCCAATCATCATGTCTGATTTATCAATCGACCGCATGTTGATATTATAGTCTAAAACACAGTCTGGCTTATATAGTGGTGCGTTTGTTTTATGGCTCACTTTCCCACTGTTCACCATTGTTCCATCATGAATTGTTGTCAACAAGTTCACCTCTCTTTTGTCTTTCCACCGAACTGACACCATTGTTCCATCATGAATTGTTGTCAACAAGTTCACCTCTCTTTTGTCTTTCCACCGAACTGACAGAATGTTATCACTTTTCCTTCTCTGACACTCATCAACTGCAATGTTGTTGTCAAACACAGGCATTTCCCTTCGTTGTGGCTTTACTGTACCAACCAATCCGGTTCTATTTTCTAGCAAGAACCGAGCTAGCAAGGGACTTGTATAGTAATTATCTGTGTATAAAATGTGTCCCTTGTTCATCCACGGAGCCATGATGGTCTTCACTACACTCCCCGAGAATCCATGTTCGTCGTTACCGGGAATGTCTACATCACTAGCCGAGTACAGAATCATGTGTAACACGTATCCTGTCTCACAATCACAAAGAACAAAAAATTTCAGGCCAAATCGGTTTCGTTTTGAGGGAATGTACTGTTTGAATGGAACACGTCCCTTGAAAAGTATGAGAGATTCATCAACCACCAGCTTCTGTGCTGGTACGTAAAAATCTCTGAATTTTCCAATAACATCGTTCATGTAGTGCCTCACTCGCCACAGTCTATCATCAGGTGTTCGGTCCTGAACACTTCCAAAATGTAGACACCTGAGGAGTATCTGAAACCTGTCTCGTGACATATATTTCCCGAATAAAGGTGTTGGTATTGTCTTGTCCTTGCTCCAATAGTCATTTATTGCATGTTTGTGACAGTGCTTCATCAACAAACAGAGTGCCAAAAACACATACATTTCCGCCACTGTGGTATTTTTCCAACGCTGCAGTCGTGAAAATTGTGATTTCCCTCTCAATCAGGTAAGCAGCATGCAGGTTCGTTTGGTGTACAATGTATTCCATGAGTGGTTCATCATAGAATGCTGTAAAATATTCCATCTCAGCCATGTCCTCACCTTGATTAGGGAAAAGGTTTGTAATCCCTACATCTTTATCGTCAAAGTGAGGAATATTAGGAATAAAATCGTCACCATCACTCCACTCAAGTATACCAGGCGTCCTGTGAGATGCAGAGGAAGGACGGCGAGGAAGTGATGCATACCGGCGACCAGGAGCTGAATACCGTCTGCGAGAAGCACGGCGGCTACGTGCACGTGAGGTGGGTGCACGTGAGGTGGATGCACGTGAACACGAGGGTCTTGGTCTCTCATGTGGTGCCATGCGGTGGCGCTTGGCCGGGCGAGATGCTGCTGACGCGACAATTTCTCCCCCAGTTACACCACTGGTACCAGCCACAGGCTCGATAAAACTTTGATCTGAGTCACTAAACCCAGAAAAGGAGTCACCTCCCTCTGACTCGTCACCCTCAAACAGAAAATATCCACAGGAACTGTGAGGTCGTGGTAGAATTGGGGTAGAAACTGGGCGAGGAGGCATCGGTGAGCGTATAGGCCTCGCCATGGCATGGCGGTCATTCTCACTTTCACTGCTGCTGCTACTATCACCCGACAACTGTGTATAATCCTCATCGTTGTCTGAATCGTCAAACACACTTTCTTCACCTTCAGAGAATAATTCGTGGGCTATTTGCTCTGGGGTGAGGGACTGAGTGGTGCGTGCCCGTGAGGCGTTTGACCGTGCGCTCGCCATGGTGACTCTCGCTAAACTGAGGCCTCCCATGCCTTCGGATCGTGAGCGGGATTTTTTTTCAAAATGGCCGCTGTTTACTAGAGCCCCTGGGCAGCGTATGGGACCCCCAGCTACACCGCGGGCCATTCAAATCGTGTGCGGTACCCATACACTTCATATGAAGTGAAGCGCAGTTGACTGGTAAAACGATTTACACTTCATATGAAGTGATGCGCACTTTAAGGGTTAATGAAGCTTCATTTACATTCCATACGAAGATGAAAAGTAATGGGCGACATTACTTTTCAGTAATGGGTGACATGATTGAAGTACAGTACTGTATATAAATAGATGAAAGGGAATATAAAAAAGTGTTAAATATATAGACACAAACTATCATATAAAACACTGGATACATATTGGATAAGTTTAGAGGAAAGGTTTGGGTAAATATTTGTTTAGGAATAGGGCTGTTTATTTATGGCACCACAAATAACCTGGTATAAATTGATGTGAATTGTTTAAAGTAAAGATTAGATTTGTAGTAATGAGATTGGTTGGTTATAATTAGGAGCCACTTCTCATGGGCCAATATGCCCTTTGCAGTTTCTTTATTTTCATGTTATGATAGATTGCTCCCTCAATTTACAGTAGGTTGGTTGAAAGTTTGGCGTCACTGAATCGTCCATTATGTTACTGTATTATCAAATTGTGAAATCTGGCCCTTTCCATGCATACTGCTTAATAGAGCATTTGCTCCATGCAACTTATGGATAGGGTTTTGATCCATAAAAATATGTTTTGCAGTCTCGAGATTATTTAGAAAAACTTTGAGTAATGTACCTAACCTTCCTTAAGGTGTTAAGTAATTATCAAAAGAAGGCACCAAGCCAGGGAAAGTATGTAGAGCCTGAAGGTGGTGCTGAATTTGATTACATGTTCAAATATTGCTTCTTGGCTTGTATGGTACTGTACAGCTGTATACCCCTAATAGCCTGTATCCAAGTACAGTACAGTACTGTACTGTCATAGATCTGTATACTCCGTGGTGTGGTAAGACACTCGCCTGGCGTTCCACGAGCGCTTTGTCATGGGTTTGTATCCTGGCCGGGGAGGATTTACTGGGTGCAAATCCTTAACTGTAGCCTCTGTTTAACTCGACAGTAAAATGGGTACTTGGTTGTAACAACGATTCTTCGTGGGGGTCGTATTACAGGGACTTGCCCGAAACACTACGCGTACTAGTGGCTGTACAAGAATGTAACAACTCTTGTATCTCAAAAAAAAAAAAAAAAAAAAAAATCCTCTTATGTCTATATCTAACATGTCCACAAACCTCTTTTATTGGTTCATATATATTCAGATTTTTTTTTTTTTTTAAATACTCCTGAGAAAGTGGCATGCATTTTACAGTATAACTCGCATTCGAAAGTAGCATGGAATACTCGCCTGATGGTCACAGACTTAAATGGGCTTTACTGGGACAAATGCAACTCTTCAGAACCTACCCCAATCACCAATTTTATCTGATGTTTTTTCAGTTATTTAATAGTTACCGGGTTTCCTTGAGTTGGTTTCAAGGATCAATGTTCTTGTGGTTTGGTCTCTGACTGCATCTCCTGGATGATTTTTTGGTCAACCAGGCTGTTGGACACCACTGCACATAGTTTGGCATGTGGATGACAGTGTTTGATTGTTCAAATATAGTTTGGTGGAGTTTATCATGTTTACTCTTTAACACAGAGCTTTGCTAATAATGCCCCATATAAGCATGTTGAAGACTGTTCAACACACTTGCACTAGACTTAAGGGGCATAACTGGCTGACTCCTCGCAGTGTTCAAGAGAGAGAACTTGATAAACACCTCCAAAAGATACCTGATCAAGCAGGCTGTGATTCATACATCAGGCTGTGAGCATCTGCGTCCAACAGCCTGGTTGACCAGTCCATGAACAAGGAGGCCTGGTTGAGGACTGGGCCATGGTGGCGTTGAGTCCTGAAATCATCGCGAGATAACTGCAAGGTTAGGTATACTTGGAGGGAGGGTGGTTGTTAAACAGCCTTGGACTCTTGCAATATTTATGGATTTGTTTTTGAGTGTGTATGGTGCTCTTACTCTGAGCCCAGTCCCTCTTAGCATTTAGATATAAATTGTGATGTATCTCACATCTGCACTCCAGGGAGTATAATTTGAGTGATTTTAAGCAGTTCTAATAATATATGTTTTTTGTTGAGTTACTCTGAGCAGTAAACGTTTTCTACACAGTCTAAAGGTCAGCAAATTCAGGTTTAACTTGGACTGTTTGTGTGCAACAATATTCCACCTTACATAGTACAGTACTGTACTAGTGATCTCAAGAATTCCATCATTAGTTTGAATTCATTAATAGGTTTTTGTTATCCAACCTATAGTTTTTTTTGCAGTTGACAGCAACTTTTTAGTGTTCTTTTAAAAGTAGGATCTTCTGACATGATAACTTCCAGGTCTTAAACGTTTGATGTTGAAAAGTCTTTGATTTATTGGGATTTGTGGAACCCATTACTGCGTGACATGGTAGAGGTAGAATCCCTTGATTGTTTCAAGCGTAGGGTAGATATATATACTGTACTGTACATATAAATATATATGAATGAGATTGGGTGGATATAAATAGGAGCTGCCTCGTATGGGCCAATAGGCCTTCTGCAGTTACCTTCATTCTTATGTTCCTGATACAGTTTAACATGGACTAGTTATCTTGATGATTTCGGGGTTTAGTGTACCTGCGGCTCGGTCCTCGACCAGGCCTCCACCCCCAGGAAGCAGCCCGTGAGAGCTGACTAACTCCCAGGTGCCTATATACTGCTAGGTAACAGGGGCATCAGGGTGAAAGAAACTCAGCCCATTGTTTCTTGTCGGCGCCTGGGATTGAACCCGGGACCACAGGATCATGCATCCCGTGTTCTGTCCGCTCAGCCACTGGCTACGACTAAAATTTAAATTACTGTAGCTGTGTATGTGTGTGGATATGAGTGACTGAAGAACACAAACTTTTATCTGTTAAAAGTCAAATATGGTCAGCAATGTGTATATTTATTGGATTAATTTTATCAAAATAATTTTCATTTTGTGATAACATTACCTTGTACTGCAGTGTGTTGAGCAGGAAGCAGACATCATGGAGGAACAACAGCTGTTCGTAATTTCTCCAGATTGTGAAGAACTCACGCTTATGGATACTGAGTAAGTGTGTTATAAAAATATTACATTATGCATTTATTTATGTATTTATTTTGTTTGTTGATTAGGATTTGTCATTTGTGGAGCTTATAGTTTACCTAGCAGAATAAATGTACTAATTACTGTATAGGTCTGTTTGGATTATTAGGTCTTAATTTAAATATCCTATACAGTACAGTACTTGCGTGGTTTGTTCATATCCTATAATTCTCAAAGGCTGGCAGTCTGATCCTGCCTTGTCAGTCCACACATGGCCTTACATATGGTCATAATTTACATTATAATATTAATCAGTAGCAGGTAACTGAAACTCTTCACAACTACCAGCCTGAAAGCTGATACTTCAGGTTGTAAGTCTCCAGTTGCTACTTGATCAGTTATGAACACACAAGAAATGTATACAACCTACAGGTTTATGAACCAGTTATATCTGAAACTGTATTGTTGCCATTACTATGTTATTCTAGGGGTGGAATCTTGGTGGAACAAGGACCATTTTCAATAACTATCCCATCTGGACAGCAGCCACAGCAGCAGAGTCAGCAGCAAGTCATTTACACCCAACCACAGCAGGTTAGTGACTGTAGCTTGTGTTCTTGTGTGGCTTGAGGGAGCAGGGGGATTGCTGGTTTAGGCTAGACATAATAAACTTGGGCATATCTTGTACTGTTTTTCACTGCATGCGTTGTGCTTACTCTCATCACTTTTGTCTTTGGGATTAATTTTTGTTTACAAGTGTCAATATGATATAAGGCTTTTTGTTCTCTATTCTGTTTTTCCTTCTTTAACTTTATAAAAAATGAGGAGTTTAAAGTTCAGATGAGAGGCTCCTTTCAGAATTTGTCTCGGTCACTCCCTTAGGAAAGTTTAACTTCTGCAGGGCCCTAACACCTCTAGCCAGGTGCCAGAACATTCTCCATCTTTTCCCTAAGCCATTGGGATCTTTGCAAATGTTTCAGCAAACCACAAGGAGGAAAAGCAACTGGAGAATTCTCAAATCTCTGATCATTAAAAGATTTATTTCTTTACATTTAGCAGAAGAAAGAATCAATTTCTCTACAGACTTTGCCTTCTTTATAAGCCTCAGCCAACTCATTGCTCCCTTAGACAATATTTAACACAGATGGATAAAAAAAAGTCACTAATAGAGAAAAAAGGTCCTGATGGGAAGACATGTGGGGGCCCAGCCTCTCTTCTTCAACATATTAAAAACTAGTTGGAAGAGATCCAACCCGTTTGCGCACACACTTGACACACAAGAATGGGTAATGAGGCAAGTAGTTCCAGGCAGTGCTGCAGTTCATCATGCAAAGGCCCCTGAAAGTCAGAGGAAGGCATGGCAGACAATTTCTTGAAGTTTGCAAACTTATATAGCTTATTGGCCTGGGGGAACACCCTCTGGTTGGTTAAGCTTTCCAAGTCTGTAGAGAAACTTGAGACAGATTGGCCTGAGCACACCAGCATATGATTCAAGCATTAAGGAGCAGAGCAATGGAAGATGGACGAGATGAAAATGCAGGTACTAACAAAGCTGACACAAGACATGATTAAGAGACAGTTGAAGAAATCAAGCTACACTAGTACTGTGTGTTAGGTGGGAGGAAAACATAGAAGAAGATCATAGCACTGTCAAATGAGACCCCAGGATGAGCTTAGATCTAAAAACATTGCATCACAACTGAATTTCCAAGAACACACGAGTGTACCTCCTGCACCTAAATATGTGATAAGGTCCATAGATAACTGCAAGAAAAAGGTGCTTCTTAACCACCGTGCTGCGCAGAGTTTGTGAAATTTCCCCTGTGCGCATGAAATAAAGTGTTCCCCAAATATTCTTTTTTCTTCATAAAAGGATAAATTTCCTTCCCTGATCATGTCTGTGTAAAAATAAATACCAAATTCCACTTACTTTGGGTGTGGGGAACGTGGACAAGGTGCGCTGTGACGTCATCGGGGCCTGGTCGCCCGTGCATGAATCGCCCAGACATGGTCGCGCGGACCATTCAAGCACCGGGTGTTGCCACAAATATATTTTCAATTATTTGTTCTGTGTATTTCCAATGCAGTTTTATTTTTTATTTTTTTTTTATCGTATATGATTCATATTTGTGTCCTTTACAATATGTATACAGTAGAACGTTCATAATGTTCCATGGTACTGTGATACGTTTGTCAGTAATGTGTCCACAATAAATGTTTATTGTTGCAATATTACTTGTTAAAAATTCACTAAAATTACAATATGTACAGTTTCACACACTATTTACACAGTAACACACTATATATCACGCTCAGTACTTCAGAAGTGAATAATAATCAACGAAGTAGTCCATGGTACACAGTGTGACTTCGCTCTCATTGCACCAGGTACAGATAAATTTTCACTACCATTTTCTTCATTCTGTGTGCTTGTAAATAACGCACTTACGTACACCCATGGCTATAGTACTTGTAGATTGTATGTAGCCAAGTTTGTAAAACATATGGTAATATTGAAAAGATTATAGGAAAAGATCAATTTGTAAGATAGTCGTGAAAAAATCACTTTGTATGGTCCCACACAGGAAGAGATTCAGCTTGCCTCAAAGAGTGTCCATCAGTCAGGAAGAGATTCAGGTATTCTTGAAAATATCTATGGAAAACACCACCATGGAAGCCGCTAACACTGTTCATCTATGCTACTAGTATCAGATGCATCATCACTGAACGCAGAAAACGATTCATCCATGTATCGTCTAAATAAATTTGAGATAGCATAGGATTGCAAGGGTGACACTCAGAGCTACAACTGGATACGCTCGCTGTATTGTCCTCATAGGTGCAGTATCACTTGCATCCGACCTTTGTGTTAGGTCCTTATTGCACCTAGCTTCACCAATATTATGACCCTTATGTTCTTCACACAATAAGGTTTGAATTTCACCGACAGAGCGGTATCTATCAACACCGCGTTGGACAGGTATTTGGGAACCAGAGGCGCGTGCGCCACCCCATGGTTTCTCACTCAGAACTAACCCAGCTAGCAGCTCTAGGGCATTCTGGGAATTTTTTCCAAGGTGGCTGCCTCTCACTGGAGGTCCTGAGAGTCCATTTCGTACATAACCAACCTCATACACATTTAGAATGGGTACCGAAAAATCAAAAGGAGTTTTCTCGGTTGGCGCAGTTTCCCGCCGACCGAGAATACTCGGTTGGCGCAGTTAAGTGGTTAAGAGAAGAGCATTGCAACTGAAAGTGATATTGACCTAACTGAAGATAACTCTGCTCATTAAAGTTTAGTAAGGCTTATGAGATGCAAAAATTGATTAATATAAATAAGCACACAATCCACATAAGCTGACCAACCAGATGTATCTTGGAAAAGTCAGAAAGCATGTGAGGTGTGATCTTGAGCTAAGAATGTTTTATGACCAATAATGTCATCTAGTTACTGGAAAGGGTAGGGGGAGATTGATATTGGGAGCCGGGTAGTTTTGTATGTACAGTACAAGGCATTAGTTGACATTTATTTGGTCGCAAGAACTGTGTTTCTTCGAATTTTTGTTGAATGTATATAAATGTACCTTCTGGTGGTCGTTCGGGGCAGATTGAGAATTCACATGTCTGTTTCGTCTTATGGTTTATGGTTTCGTTTCATTTGCAAAGAACTTTGTTGGCGTAAAGAGAAATGATAGTCTTTTCTGACCCCTGGCTAGCAGTACTAAACCCCTGCAGGGAAGCGGTTCAATTCCCGTCCTGCTCTGAAGTTTTCCCATAGATACAGCACATAATTACATGTATAATTTCATTGTGCATCTATGGTATGTATTTTCTTCCTTGCTTATTGTGCTTCTCCTTGATGAGCTTAAATTTGTGTTCATCTTTTCACCTGCTCAGACCACCTTAGAATGCCACTGTATCTGTTTTGTGTTTTTAATAGTTTTTTTAGTGAAAGTTACATACACTATATGTATGGGTAAGAATAAAATCTTGTACATCTTGGCTTTAATGGGAAAGCTGTAGCTGCACTTGATTATTAGTATTTTGTATGATTGTTAACAGGCTGTGTACACTGCACCACAGCAAGTACAACAGAGGGTAGTGTACTCTTCACAGCAACAGCACCAACAGGTGTTTCAAGTTGGTCCACCCCACCCTCAGCAGGTAATCACTATTTATAATCTATCATTGCTTAGTTAACTAATGATTTGATATTGTGTTTGAGCATACATAAAATATCCTGTAATGTAGTTACAACTTGTGTGTTACTAACACCTCACAAAACCTCATAGATGTGCATTGGGGGTGTTGTGTTTAGTTAGCTGTCTTTTTCTTGTCAATAAATCAAAGCATATTTTTCTCTTTATGCAAAATTAGAATAAGAGAAACTGCCTCATATTTTATACTAGGCCACTCCTATTTATAGCCTCCCAAATTCATTCATATTTGGGCCTATAGGCTCATATGTGAGGGAAGGCAGCTCCTGTTTATGTTGTAGATATAAATAAGTTGTGCTTCGTAGTCCATATATAAGTGAGTTTTGGTGGACTTAAATAGGAACTGTCTTGTATAGGCAAATAGATCTTTGGCAGTTTCTTCATGTTCAAATGATAATTGGTTGAGCTGGTATATTTCATTACAACCATATAAAGTTGTGAAAACCATGTGAACATAATCAGTAATGATAATGGAATTTTTATAGCATGGTGAACACTGCATTGGCACGGTAACATTTCCAAAACTATAAAACAGTGACATGTGCCACACTATAAAAGTGGAAGATGTATAGTCGATCACAGTTAAAACTCAAATTGAGTGAACAGTGGAAATAAATTGCATTGTGAATGAGAGGAAATTAACAAACCTTTACATGCCATCAACCTAGTGAGGAAAATACCTACAAGATTGAAACATTATAATAAAAGGAAAGCTTTGCTTTCATTAACTGATCATGAATTCAGATTGTTTGGGAGTTAAAGTAGATTTGTATATTAAAAAAGATACACTAAACATTAAGAAAGGCATATCAAACAGTTTATATTATAGTAGAATGTGCTTTAAATGTTACTTTTCTTCATAGGTTGTGTTTGCTGGAAATACCCCTGTGAAGCCACAGCCCCCACAGGCACAACACCCTCAGCAAATACTCCTGCAGCAACAACAGATAACACAACAGCAATTGTTACAGCAGCAGCAGCAGCAGCAACAACAACAGCAGCAGCAGCAGCAGCAGCAACAGCAGCAGCAACAACAACAGCAGCAGCAACAGCAGCAGTTTATTGCACCTCAAAATCAAAGGATCAATAGGTGGGGTTTTCCACTTTAAGTGTTAACACAGTTGTCCCTTGCCTCGTGATCGACTTGTCTAGGTTCGAATCCCAGCCAGGGAGGATTATCTAATTGTCAGTCCTTAACTGTTAGCCTCTGTTCACCCTGCAGTAATAGGGTACCTGCTTGTTAACTGATTGGTGGGTTATATTTCAAGGAAAACTAGTGGGTAAGGATTGCTATGAGAAGGGACATCTCTTGGCCTGCTAACAGGAGTCAGAAATTATCTGTTCCTGTACTTGTGTAAAAAAAAAGTGGTTAAAATTTTAGAACAGTTGATTATATAACCAGGGTGAGGTGAAACACCTTATAGTGAACCAATAGGTCCAATGCAGCTTACCAATCTCCTTTTTCAAAGATGACTGGGGTAGTATGTTGAATGTTTTGTGGTGTCTTTGAAGATGGCAGAGCCTGGTGTTAGCTGGCTGGGTCTGTGTGATGTGTAATGCCTTGCCAATTTTCAGTCTTCTATTATGACTATGTCAGTTATTTTGGTGGTGTTTGTCAGGATATCAGTGGTGATTATCTGGTTGTGTGTAGACTATATGTTCCTAGATAGGGCCTTGCTGTTTGTGCATTGTCAGACATCTTGAAAGGGATGTTGATGCCTTGCCTATATACCGAGATCGTTGGGACTGACAGTCCCAAGTGGGCATGTGAAGGCATAGAACACATTTGTCTCTTTCAAGGCATTTTGTTTGGTATCAGGAGAATTTTTAATGAGTGGCAGTCTTCTTGCTCTTTGAGTATAAAATAAACTAAAGTTCCAGGCTTGCAATGATAACAGGTGTAAGCTTGTGATCATTATTAGGAAACAAATATACTTAACTCAATTTGTTAAGAAGGAATGCTTCACATTTTTTAAATGACAACAACTTGTGGGAATCACTTTACAGTGCACCTTGTTGTGTAAAGCTGTGGTGTGCTGTTGTGAATGATTGGCTGGAGTGACAGAGCTGGTTCTGCATGATGTAGTACTAATATATAGTTAAAAACATGTAGCAAATTAATGGTGTGTTTTTTATTTTGGAATCTCTTATTATCTTCTCATACATTGCTCTTCTGTTTTGTTCTAAATGGTGTTCCATGAATTAATATCAATGATTGTATGAAAAGATACAGCTGATTTGAAATTATTAATTTTTTTGTAGAACGCAACTGACGCAAGAGCAGGTGAGACAGCAGGTACAACACAAGTCATACCATCTTCAGCTGCAGCAGCAACACAACAACCAACAACAGGTACAACAATTGCCTTTGCAACAAGTGCAACAGCAACAACCAAAACTAGTACAACAAGGATCGGCTCCTCTTCAACAACAGCTTGTGGTACAACAGCAGCAGCTTCAGCCACAACAAATACTTCAAGCTGGACAACAGGCAGCGCCTCAACAGATCACATACCTAGAGCATGTATAGTCACTGCTTATTTTGTTCATTTATATATGGGTGAAGGTCTATCGTATTTGCATGTATAAAAGCTGCCCCTAATTCAGCACTGTAGGATGAATTGTGTGCATATTTCCTGCATAAGTGAAGAAATGTAAGTTTTAAGCCAAACCCTAAAGTTGAGCACTTTGAAACCCTGCATTAAAATCATACCGTACTTGCCTTAAAAATTACACAACATAAGGTATACATATACTGTAACCCCGCGATTATCCGGGATTCGAACATCCGAAAAACGCCCTTATACGGCCAAAATCGTGAACGGATAAAGTTATCACAATATCCGGCCAAAATAGCCACAGGGACCGGATTAAAGCAGGTTTTCTGCAGAAATTACACTATCCGGTCAGTCCCCCAGATAATCGTGCCTTTGTCCGTATATGAAAACATGAGGCAGGCCATACGGTATTAATCCCGTCTGCCCGAGACTCGAGGCGCATGGTGTAGGTGGGGGTGGGGTGGGTGGGTGGTGTTGGGAGGGTGGGAGGGGTGCGTCAGGAGGGACCACCTGGGTACAGGAATTACCATTAATTTTAGAACAATTAATCATAGCCAAAAACAAATAAAATAACTACTAGTAATTATGTAATAACAAATAAATAAGTTTCCTAAAAGCATTGTGCACAGGCTGAAGTTTCCTTAAAAAATATTGTGAATTTTTTTCCTCCTGGCGGCCTACGTAACGCTATGGCTGCCCCAAGTGGACCTGTCCAACACTGGTCAACCCATGTGCGTCCGTCCCTCGTGTTATACACAGTGCTGCGCCATTAGTGAAATATTTTTTTAAATAACTTTTTTATTTTCATAGTAACTTTGAACATTTTTGGCCAAGACTATGTCTGGTAGCAGCATCAATCGTTCTGGAGGTGTTAAGAGGAAGAAAGTTGTCCTAACAATTAAAGACAAGTCACAGTTATACGCCTCAACCAGTGCGGCCTCACAGTGTTGCGCCATTAGTGAAATATTTTTTTAAATAACTTTCTTAATTTTCATAGTAATTTTGAACATTTTTGGCCAAGAATATGTCTGGTAGCAGCATCAATCGTTCTGGAAGTGTTAAGAGGAAGAAGATTGTCCTAGCAATTAAAGACAAGTTACGTGTTGTTCAAACAGTGAGGCGTCACAGGCAGCCAAGCGCCTTCAACAAGTGAGGCACCACAGGCAAGCCAAGCTCCTTCAACAAGTGAGGCATTATAGGCAAGCCAAGCGCTTTCAACAAGTGAGGCGCCACAGGCAAGCCAAGCGCTTTCAACAAGTGAGGCGCAAGCAAGCGCCTTTAACAAGTGAGGCGTCACAGGCAAGCCAAGCGCCTTCAACAAGTGAGGGCATGCAAGCGCTTCAACAAGTGAGGTGCAAGCAAGCACCTTCAACAAGTGAGGCCTCACAGGCAACCCAAATGCCCTCAACCAGTGAGGCTTCAGCAGCTGGCAGTCAAAACTAACTTAGCTTAATGAACTGTACAGTAATTTTAAGTGTTAATTTTAGTGTTGTGTTAGTATAGGTTACGTAAATTGTTAAGAATTTTTAACTTCAAGATGTGTGGCATCAATCAAGAAGACGAACACCAACAAGGTAAGTTGAGGTTTCTAGTTGAATATTTAATAATTGTATGTGGCAAGGCAATTCAAATTATGTTGTTTGTAGTATAAAAATAGTTGGAAATGGTCACTTTTGGACTCGTAGGTGAAAAAGTACCATTATCCGAAAAATGTGATAATCCGGCTGGGGGTCCTTCCCATATAGTCCGGATGATCGAGTGGAGACAGTAGTCTATATGCCACTATAAAAGATGATTTTATTCATAAATATACTTTTAAAAAGTATTATTTTTAACTTTTAATTTACTGAACATCATATACATTACTTGAGGAATAAGAAGCAAAGTTTTATTCTCGATAATAATCCAGAGCATTCATGGAAAAGTTAGGGATTAATTTGCTTGTAATTTAACCCTGGGAGAAAAAACTTATTCAACCCTTGGTACTTAATTACTAGATATGGATACCTTTTTTTCTTTTCAGACACTTGAAGATGATAAAGGATACATGCATATTCTACGAACCCCAATCAGCTTGAGCAGCGTGCGTGCCCGTTCCCCAGCACAGGTGGGTGGACAAGCACAATTGACACAGTCTACACCTCTATTGCCATCACACTCATCCACGCATGTATCTCCTGTGCTGAGTGGTCAAGGTTTACATGCAGCCAACTCACAGGTTCCAGCTTCTATAGCTCCTTCTAGGGGTCAGGGGACCAGGCTTCAACGAAACAGTCCCTTGCGGAGACACGGCTCTCCAGTCCTTCAGCAGCAACAGCAGGATGAACAAGCTTCATATCAAGACCAGTATTTAAAACAGCTTGAAAACCGACTGCACACCCAACAGAAGGGTAGTTGCCGAGGCAAGGTAAACAAACCGAATACTGCACAGCAGCGTAGGATGCTTTCACAACAACTTGGGACCCAGCACCAACAACAAAAGCAACAGGTGACTAGGAATTCATGAAATATTCTTGTCTGCTAAAATGGCATGGCTGTTTTTGCTGAATGTCAAGTTATTGCGAGAAATATCACATCCAAGCAAAAGATTTTAGGGTAATCCATTGGAAGAAATGGCTGTATGGATTGCATCTCATCTTGAGTGGTATTTAAGTACAGTATCTGAAAAAGTAAACATTAACAACATCTACTTAACAGATTTGTTTAAATGAAAGAATACATTGGCAAATTAAATTTTGTGCCATCATTCTTTTATTATTTGACTAGATTATTACGGTATAGTTCTCGCATATATTTGTGTTCATCCAGCTGCTGCTGTTATTGTTTACAATTAAAAGTCGGGGATGTAGTTATAAAGTTGTTTGCTGTCTACCTGTGTCCATAAATTTTCCAGTACTGGTTCCTTAAATGTTGGAGCTACCTGGGCTGTAAGGGTAGGCTTAAAAAGCTATTGCATTGTCAGAGAAGAAAGTATGACAAAATGGACAAAGAAGCTCTTTAATACTGTAGTGTGACCATAAGATGGGGGGACAAATAGAAACTGGACACTCAAATGTACTAGAGAGAGAAACATGTGAAGTGTGAGGGGGAATCATTCTGTACTAAGAGAAGAAATTGTGGAGGCCATTCCATACACATTCAAGTGAATGTGACAAAACCCATATTGTTTGGGGGTGATACCAGATGACTAGTAGCTAAGAGAAGCTGGAGCAGGGCCTGGAGTACAGTACTATTTTAAATTAAAAAAAAAAAAAAAATTCCACAATTCTCGTGTGTGGGCTCGAATTAACTGTTCACCTTGAACTGCATGTATCTGCTGATTATATCCAGGTGTTCATTGGTGTTGCCCCTACCCAGCCAGGGTTACCTTCCCTGGTGGGTTTGTATGGCTGTCTCTGAAAGGGCAGCTTGTGGATAGGGGCAGTTGGAGTTTTCGTGTAGCAGTAGAAGAGGGAGCTATGGTGTACTACTCACACCCTTAACAGCTGCCAGTGCCCTCAGGCCATTTTCAGTGTTTGTGGCATTCAACGAGAAACCCCTGTGTGCAGTGTTTCCTGCTTGGTCCATCCTTCAGAACTTGGCCTACCTTTTACAGTTTTCTGGAGGCTCATTATGGACCGATTCAAATTTTGCTCTCACATTGTGTTGAGATCGAAGGATGTGCCTCAGTTTTTTTGTATTCCCTTGACTTTTGTAATTCAGAAGTGAGAAGCTATCCTAGCAAAATATCTTCAGGGAGCCACTAAGGCTCTACCAGAAAGAGACATTTCATTACATTCAATGCTGTTTTCTTTTAATTACAAAGTTGCCAGTAGTATTATTGAAAGTGTTATTTTCATTGTAAACAGATATCACTGATCACTTCCAAGGTTAAAGGATCATTAACCTTTCTCTATCACAGTTCTGATATAAAATTATATATAAAGCTGAGGAGAAGCTGGTAGGTACTATGCATTAAATTGTCATCCATACTTCCGTGGAAATAAACATTACATTGACCTGGGCTGTATGGGTCTCGATCCATATACTCGGTACAGTACTTTCCTTTTCAAGTCTGCTCATAGCCCAGTTGATAGTGTCGGCCTCACAAACGTGGGGTCAACGGATCGAGACCCATAACCCAAGTGAATGGAATACTATGCATTAGTTTTAATTTAGTGTGTAATCTCCAATTCTGTCATAGTTTGTTGTAATTTAAAAAAATAGATCTTGGGAAAACGACTAGGTTTTCAGAAAGTTAAAGGGTTAAGTAAGTTTGTGAATTTATAATTGTAAATTTGCAGGTTGCAGGAGTGCACATTAATCAGCCTGTTGTGTGTGGTGCAACAGGCATCCTGCCAACTGGTGTTGGTACTCAGTCATTAGAGCAGCAGCAACAGAAACACACATCTCCACAGGTATGGTCATTTTACATAATTCTCAAGTGGAGGCTTTAAATTTTTGCTGAAATATGATGGAACAGTGGATTAGATATTTATAATTTTCTGCCATCTTTGGATGTCTGTAGTTAAGCTTTATGACTTTTCAAATGCTCACTAAAGAAAGATCACTCAAGACCCTATTATACAGAATCATGATAGTCAGGGCAGAGCTATATTGCCAGTAGAACTTTAACGTTTTAAATCACCCCTGGCCACCCACATTGGTGCTAAGGAGGCATCACAGAAAAGCTTAGTACAGCCAAGAATGACTACAGACATTTCAAATCATAAATTCTCAACAACTTTGCGCATCGCAAAGACAGCAGAGTATTTCTCTTATCAACTGCCAGTTGATGGCAGAAGTCTAAACATCTGATCCCAGGACTGTAGCCCTATTCAAATTTTTGACAGATCAGGCTAGTTTTGTGATAAAAGATCAGATTAGGCTTTTCCTGATAGATTAGGCTTTTCCTAATAGATCAGGCTTTTCCTGACAGATCAGGCTTTTCCTGACAGATCAGGCTTTTCCTGACAGATCAGGCTTTTCCTGACAGATCAGGCTTTTCCTGACAGATCAGGCTTTTCCTGACAGATCAGGCTTTTCCTGACAGATCAGGCTTTTCCTGACAGATCAGGCTTTTCCTGACAGATCAGGCTTTTCCTGACAGATCAGGCTTTTCCTGACAGATCAGGCTTTTCCTGACAGATCAGGCTTTTCCTGACAGATCAGGCTTTTCCTGACAGATCAGGCTTTTCCAGACCAGGTCAGTGTTTTGTAGAGTATCATAGTGTTCTGGATCAAACAGTTGTTCCAGAGCTTCCACACTTGAGTAGGGGAGTTCTGCACCAACGCCGTCGGGGCAGATGTCTACTGGTGTTGAGTTGGTTGGTGGTTGGTGTAATTGCAATAGTACTGTCGACTATTTTCAACAGTATCTGGGGTCTGGCGAAGCCGGTTTTGCCTCGAACCCGGACTTTGATGCGGTAAATCATTACAAAGTATCTAGATCCCACACAGTCTGTCTGCTGTTGGTCACAAATACCAACTGTGCATAATTCATAATTAATGATTAATAATGTGTAGTAATACTGTACATTTAACATAATAATTAATTAACATATCTTGGCATAAATATTCTTCAGTTAAGATTGAAATTTGTAATATGGGCAAGGGGGGGGGGGTGGGGGTGGGGGGGTTTGGCAATCAGGTGCTTGATCAGTGATCCCCCACACACTCCCTCCCTCGCCGCCTCCCTCCCTCGCCGCCTCCCTCCCTCGCCGCCTCCCTCCCTCCCTCCCTCCCTCGCCGCCTCCCTCCCTCCCTCCCTCGCCGCCTCCCCCTCCCTCCCTCCCTCCCTCCCTCGCCGCCTCCCTCCCTCCCTCGCCGCCTCCCTCCCTCCCTCCCTCCCTCCCTCGCCGCCTCCCTCCCTCCCTCGCCGCCTCCCTCCCTCCCTCGCCGCCTCCCTCCCTCCCTCGCCGCCTCCCTCCCTCCCTCCCTCCCTCGCCGCCTCCCTCCCTCCCTCCCTCCCTCGCCGCCTCCCTCCCTCCCTCCCTCGCCGCCTCCCTCCCTCCCTCCCTCGCCGCCTCCCTCCCTCGCCGCCTCCTTCCCTCCCCTCCCTAAATACTTCCCCTCCCCTCCCTCAATACCTCCCCTCCCCTTCCCTCCCTCAATACCTCCCCTCCCCTTCCCTCCCTCAATACCTCCCCTCCCCTTCCCTCCCTCAATACCTCCCCCTTCCCTCCCTCAATACCTTCCCTCCCTCCCTCACTGCCTCCCCTCCCTCACTGCCTCCCCTCCCTCACTGGCCCCCCTTCCCTCCCCGTCCCCTACTCCCTCCCTCCCCTTCCCCTACTCCCTCCCTCACCCCTACTCCCTTCCCTTACTCCCTCCCTTCCCCCTACTCCCTCCCTTCCCCCTACTCCCTCCCTTCCCCCTACTCCCTCCCTTCCCCCTACTCCCTTCCCCCTACTCCCTTCCCCCTACTCCCTTCCCCCTACTCCCTTCCCCTACTCCCTTCCCCTACTCCCTTCCCCCTACTCCCTTCCCCCTACTCCCTTCCCCCTACTCCCTCCCTCCCTTCCCCTACTCCCTCCCTCAATGCCTCCCTCCCCCACTGTCTCCCAACCCTCCCTCAATGCCTCCTTCCATCAGTGCCTCCACTCCCTCACTCAGGTGGGTATTCACCATGGTGGGGATTGCAATGTTTGTTTACAGTTGCTGACACATCCTTTGTAACCTTCACACACAACATTTATAGTTACAAATGGCACCTCTAGAGGATTCAAACAAAGTACTGTGTACAGTATATTATATGCAGTATGCCTTTTCTAAGGTATTTAAAGATAGTTTGATTCATTATTGTACAGTTTAGTAGTACTGTAAATAACAATGCATAATTCTTGATTTATATTACTACAAAAATACATTACATAAATGCCTCCTAAAGGCATCTCTGGTTGCAACGAATCCCTCACTCCAACTTATTGGAGTTGGTTCCCAACAGTTCGTGGAATCGAGGTTGCGCTGTATGTAAAATATCTTCACAGCAACTTTTGCAAAGTTGTTGTGCAACTTTTGCAAAGTTGTTGTGAAGTTATTTACAAAAGCGTACAAAATCACAGGATATAGCCCTGGGGGCTATATCCTGCAATCGCCCCCTATATGGGACGATTGCTACATGAACACTCATAAATTGTAAAGTCATCATGAGATTTCCTTGTTCCATGATGGACAGTCATATTTTATTTTATTTTACTGTGATTGCTAATCACATTTTAACAATAATAAAAGAAAAAAAATGAATTTTTGTTTTCCTGTGCACCAGGGCATTGTCTCGTGTAATTGGGGGCACAGCCCAAGTACTAGACAAACTATTTTCTTTTCATTTCATATTTGTGGGATGGGTATTTGTAGGTGATGTGTAACAAGTAATAGAAAAGTGTATTGTAATGTGTGGCATCAGAGGTGTGGCTGATTGAGTTAAAATACATTGTTGATAGTTAACAGTATCTGGAAAGGATGACTGGTGATAGGCCTATAACAAAAATATATAGAAATAAATTTGTGTTGATGACTTCATATTTAATGCTAAGCTCAATATGCAGGAACAAAATTATTAATAAAATATTGAGTAAAACTAATAGAAAAAAATTAGTGACCCCCCCCCCCTCAATTTCTGTTTAACAGTCACCAACTTCAACCAAAAAGCTGTCATTAAGCCAGTATCGTCAGAGGATATCCCACGAGTTAAAACATCAACAGCAGCAGCAGTCTCAGAAGTTAGTTACTCAGGCCCAAGCAACATCCTCTGGTGAAGAACTCAGAATGTAAGTTTGCTTTATTTTATGTTTAAAACAATATACACTGTCTTCTTGATGACATTAAATTTGCATTTTGGTGTTTGATAGAAGATGATGGGTAGACATGGTGAGTGAGTGGCTGGTGTTTGATAATGATGATGGGTAGACATGGTGAGTGACTGGAGTTTGATGGATGATGATGGGTAGACATGGTGAGTGAGTGGCTACCTAGTTTTATTTATCTAGTTTTGTTTACTGGAATCAAAATCCTGCTCTTGGTCCTGCTTTGGTTGGAACAGTGAATAAATTGTGGTAAGATATCTGGCAACTATCAAGGAATACTGTACACTGGAATGAAGTGTGTGAGAAAGGAAAGAAGTGTTACTGTTGATGAGTTGGAAGATACTATGTTCTAGGTGACATTTCTGTTAGTACAGTATTAGTATTCAAGAATCCTGCATGTGAGCTTCAAGGGGTGAGTTGTGCTGTCACCTGGTAGCAGTTGTTGCTGTTGATTATTGGGTATGTAGTAGTTTAAAAAATGTTAATTTTTTAATTTTTTTTATTTGCAAGTATTGTTTGTTAAGGGTTTTGTATGATTTGAAGTGCTTATGCATAACAACCATTGCCTCCTTCCCCACACCCATTTTAAAAGGGGAACATGACACTATAAAGTTATTTGTACTGCTGAGGCTGTCACTCATTACTTGATGTACTTTAAGGTTTTTCTGAGGGGAGCTCCATCAATTCCCCAGAGCTATCCAGGCTGATATGGATATATTAGATTTCTGACATTAGTCAATGTGCATGGAGTTCTAGGCCTACCGGGGACCTTGAGCCAGAACATGGCCACCTCAGAGAGGCACTAGGAGCAGTGGCTATAGAAACTCCCTGTGTGGTTGGGAGCATTCTATGTCTGCCATCGACCGGGTCAGGCACCCAGAAAGGTAAGCACCCCAAAACAAACCCCATTCTGGTAAAAACATTGATAAAAAGAGCCGAACAAGTGGACAGAACTCCTCAAATGAAAACAAGCAAAGTATGTGATACTGGTAAGTTTGTGTGCCTCTGGCTCCAGAAAATTGCTTCAGTTATGTTCCTTGTGGTGTCGTGCTGTCTCTACGGTTGGTGTGGGAACCAAAAGTAATTTCTTCAGTACTCGGGCTGCAAGCGCCTAGGGTTTCCTTCCCTAGGTTTCCTGTAAGTACTGCCCTTGGGGCTTGGGGCCACCTTCCACAAGTCACCTTGGGATCTACCTCCGCTGTGTCCTTTGCTGCTCGGAAATTGACTGCCCTTGGAGTCAGGGGGTTTCTATGTTCCCCCTGTTTCTCTGGGTAGGGGGTAGTTTTTGTCACTGGTAGGGGCGCAGGGTACCGTGCTGCTAGTTATCACCTTACATAGTGGCCGGCTCTGTTCCGCTTGGGTACATTGTCCTCTTGTGGGATTTTTCTTTTTCTTTTTGTTTAGCTGCCTGGTGGGGGGTCTGTCACTTGGTTTGTCAGACCCTATTGTTATTGGTCCTCCGCTAGGCCCCCGCAAGTGTACACATCTCGGGGGTTCAGCTTTAGCAGTTTGCTTGGTACACGTAGTTTGGGGTGCCGGCTAGCAGTACCCTGCTTGGGTTTCCCTTAGTGGAATACCACGACTAAGGGCCCTGGGAAACCTTGCGGGGGCTCTGTGGTCCAATGGATGCAACCCCTGGGCCCCCTCTCACTTCGTGCGAGTCGGAAGGTTGCTCTGTCCCCTTGTCTCAGAGTAACAATCATCAGTTGTGCCTCCGCCATACTGCCTGTTGGGTCGATGACACTTTCAATCCAGAGGAGTGCGAGTGTTGTTGCTTGTATGTACTCCAGTTCACCCAATCTACTGATGATCATATGCGGGTGCAGGCAGCTTCAGCGTTGCATGCTAGGTTCAGGTTGCTGCAACGCGAGAGGAGGCGGCTCATGCGCCGCTTGAGCCGTCCTGGTCGTTATCCGGGTGCTCTCTTTTTTTTCTCTTCTCCTCGGTTTGTAGTGGCCACTTCAGTTCTGGGTTGTTTCTCCAAGTTCTATTTTTTGTTGGCATTGGCCTCTGAGGGTCAGGTTGGGAACTTCATGCTCTCCTCCGGTGCAGAGGTTTCTGCTCTTTTGGTCCTGGTGCGCAGACAGGTTGGTTGGTTGGTTGGTTGCGCAGACAGCGGCGCGGGAACGTGGTGACATCATGCTAGTTTGCTTGTTTTCATTTGGGGAGTTCTGTCCACTTGTTAGGCTCTTTTTAGCAATGTTTTCACCAGAATTGGGGTTTGTTTTGGGGAGCTTACCTTTTTGGATGCCTGACCCGATCGATGGCAGACATAGAATGCTCCCAACCATATAGAGGTTTCTATAGACCATTGCTCCTCGTGCCTCTCTGAGGGGTGCTAGGTTCTGGCTCGTAGTCTCCGGTAGGCCTAGAACTCCATGCACATTTGGAAAGTATATAAAAGGGAAAGATCGACCTTTGAGGATCACCCTAAACGGTCCCAATCATATGGAAGAAGTGCTAAGGAATGCTAGAAAATTACAAAGTGATGAGGAAGGGAAAGTATGGTCGTTAAGACAAGATCTTTCAAAAGAAGACAGAGAGAGAAGCTAAAACTGAACCTCGTCGAGGCAAAACATCTAAATGAGGGCAGGAACGAAGAAGAAATCAATTTTTTTTTTCTACAAAGTGATACGAGTAGGCAGACCAGTAAAATGATACAAAAAGGCAAACCAACAAAATCACTAGAGAAAGGGGTAGTGAAGAATAAGGAGAGGGGAAACATGTTCCTGAAAATTGCATACACCAACATAAATGGAGTGAGATCAAAGATACTGGAGTTAGTGATGTAATAGCTGCAGACACCAGACATTGTAGCACTCACGGAGACAAAACTTGATGATATTTTATATAAATAATTAAATGGGTAGAACACCTGAAGAAAAATGATATATCAAACAGACAGTATGGTTTTCGATCTGGAAGATCCTTTGTAACGAATTTACTCAGTTTCTATGATCGAACCACAGAGATTTTACAGGAAAGAGATGGTTGGGTTGACTGCATCTACCTGGACCTAAAAAAAGGCTTTTTAACAAGAGTTCCACATTCGAAGTTGTTCAGGAAACGAACATTTTGGAGGGGTGACAGGTTGTAACACTGTAAAAGTGTTTGGTTTAGTTGTATTTAATACATACATAGAGTACATGAGTCACAGACAGGAATTTGAGAAGGCGCCAGCTTGGTCGCCCTGAGTTTCACACCTCTAAGAGTTAATGACCCCCAAGTGACCTGAGGTCAGATCATGCGAATTTCACCTTACTTCTACTAATCTTATAATTGGAGCCTGGTAGCCTTCAAACATGCCGACGTTTAAGGAGTGGCTTGGTAGAGAGCCGGAGGCTATCTACTTGTGGGCGGAGTTAGCTACTAGGTTCCCCAATATATACTCGGAGAGTTATCGATTCGAGAGCATTAACGACAGAGAAGAACGGCAGTCAGCAGAGCAGAGAAGACGGCCCTAGCAGGGAGGCTGTCGGCCGGCAGGGCGAGACAGTCTCTGTCCACTACAGACCCCCCCCCCCCCTCCCTCAATCCAGCTATAGGCAGACACTTGGTGAGTTGAACATTAAGGTGACTTGGTCGTGTTTTACAAGTGTTGTGTGATGATCAGGGGCAGTCAGTTGTAGTGTTCTCAGATTCTTGGAGGATGACTCACTTTACATATATAGATCTTGAACATTGCTTAAATTATGATACTTAGTATGTGAAATATAATTGAATTTATTATTTAAATTGCCTTTGTGTCCCCTAGAGTTGAGTTGAGGTGAGAAAGCCTCTGGGATTATTGGTTCCCTGATTTTACTGAGTACATGAAAGATGGGACATACTAATAATGACCTTGATAACATCTTTTGAGAATTTTGTGATACAGACAAGTTCCATTCCTTGTCTTGTATGTAATGATCATGAATGGATGGTGGCAGCATTTCGTCTTCTACTATCTACTCTTCTACTTCTACTATCTACTCTTCTACTTCTACTATCTACTCTTCTACTTCTACCTATCTACTTCTCTCCCTCCACCCCTCTCTAAACTCTCACTTTCAACTAATGACCCTCCTCGCTCCTCCCACCTCCCTACCTCTCACCCCAAACCCTCACTAATTACTTCACTATTCATTTCTTTCCTTTCGTTTTCTCTTATACGTTTGTGGCAGTGAATAGGTATTCTAGAGTTCTCTCTAGGGTTTCGGGTAACTGATCAAGTTACGGCGTCTTGTAGTCTTAGCACCTAGGTAGTCAAATACCTAGGTTACAAGGTGTTGAACGAGAGAGGTTGCCTTAGGAACTCTGGGAGTGCTCTAGAATAGTTAGCTAACTGGGGACGGGATAACGGACTAGAGAGAGCTGTTTCCCCCGGCCTCGTTAGTTAACTGGGGGGGGGGGGGTGGAATAATGGGCAAGATGGCTATTTCCCCACACCCCCTGTTACAAGGTAAGCTTCTAACATGGAAGAAAAATGAGGGCAGTAATCAGAGGCAATGTATCAGACTGGAGGAATGTTATAAGTGGAGTACCACAGGGTTCAGTTCTTGCACCGGTGATGTTTATTGTCTACATAAACGATCTACTAGATGGAATACAGAATTATGTGAACATGTTTGCCGATGATGCCAAGATAATAGGGAAGATAAGAAACCTAGATGATTGTCATGCCTTTCAAGAAGACCTTGATAAAATAAGTATGTGGAACACCACTTGGCAAATGGAATTTAATGTGAATAAATGCCATATTATGGATTGTGAAATTGGAGAACATAGACCCTACACAACCTATAAATTTTGTGAGAAATCTTTAAAGAATTCTGATGAAGAAAGGGATCTAGGGGTGGTTCTAGATAGAACCATCTAGGTAGGTTCTAGATAGATAATGTGGTCACCTGAGGACCACATTAAGAACATTGTGCGAGGAGCCTATGCTACACTTTCTAACTTCAGAATTGCTTTTAAATACATGGATGGAGAAATACTAAAGAAATTGTTCACGATTTTTGTTAGACCAAAGCTGGAATATGCAGAGGTTGTTTGATCCCCATATCTTAAGAAGCACATCAGCATACTGGAAAAGGTGCAAAGACATGCCACTAAGTGGCTCCCAGAACTCAAGAATAAGGGCTACGAGGAGAGGTTAAAGACATTAAATATGCAAAAACTAAAAGATTGAAGAAAAAGAGGCGATATAATCACTACGTACAAAATAGTAACAGGAATCTATAAAATTGATAGGGAAGAATTCCTGAGACCCAGAACTTCAAGAACGAGAAGTCATAGACTTAAACTGACGAAACAAAGCTGCTGGAGAAATATAAGAAAATTCACTTGTGTAAACAGAGTGGTAGACGGTTGGAACAAGATAGGTGAGAAGGTGGTGGGGGCCAAAACCGTCAGTAATTTCAAAACGTTTTATGATAGTGCTGGGAAGATGGGACACCACGAGCGCAGCTCTCATCCTGTAACTGCACTTAGGTAATTACATTGATGCCAGAAATCTAATACAGTATATCCATATCAGCCTAGATAGTTCCGGGGTGCCTCCGGGTCCCGTCCAGAAAATGGTGTTTCATTACATTCAACGTTGGTTTTTTATGGGTCCAACTTCTGGTAGCTTAACAAGATGTTGCTCATAAAGGGACATTTATATCACTTGGTGCCCTATTTTTTTAAAGAAAACTCTTTGAAATAATCACTAGAGAAATGTAAATTTTTTTTTTTTCTCTTAGACCCGTGTCGACAAACAATGCCCTGAATCAGCAGTACTACTATGTGCAGCGTCCTGATGGCAAGAAAGTGTTGGCAGTAGTTCCTATTGGTCATACTATTTCAACAACCGTTGCCCAACACACTCCCAATTCTGCTTTGTCCACCATGACAACTGCAGTGTAAGTTAACCCATATGTCCATACACTAATTATTTTTAAAATCTGAAGGTCTAGGTAAAAAGTCTGGTATCATACTGAACATCTATTAAATAAGAATTGAAAGGTAGTGAGGTTTCAGACTAAAGGCAATCAGAGGTTTTGTTCTCACAAGAACTGGCATAGTACAGATGAACACAGGATCATTTCTCTTGAAAAAATAAGAAATAAAAATAAGAGATACAGACCGCCACTTGGTTTGTGAATTTGAGTTATCCGAAAGTTCCAGTTTCCCGATTGGGGTTGGGGAGTCACGCTACATGAACTAAGTTCGGGTAAGGAAGCAGTCCGCCAAGCGTCTCACCAGCCCTGGTGGTATGGGAGATGGCCCACTGACTGTGTCGGGCGCCACCACTCTTAGAGTGCTTTCTACCTTGTGACGTTGCAGATTCACGGCCTATTGTTCCCATTGTTTTGATTTGTCACGAGGTTGGAGTGTTCATTCTGGGACTTTGTTTTACATATCTGCACAATCAAGGAACATCCATGCACTATGTCTGCTCCAAATACACGCATTGAACTATGAATCGCATGCTATGAACCTGTCGATTGTTTCCCTTAGATTTTTTAGTATTATTTTTTCTCTTCGTTTTCCTCCATTTCTCGTTTACGAACTGACACATTAACCGACGGGTCTCGTCCCCAAGCGGTTCGCAAACCAAGTGATCCTCTGTACCAAGATTGTAAAAAAGAAAAAAGCATCTGTACTGTACTTGTATTCTGTATTATCGATCTTTTCAGCAAATGGGGTAAATTTAACTGTATACTTATTTATGGTGTCTGCACATTCCAACATACTTTCCACTGTGGTCAGAACAATTTGAAACTTCTACATATACATTAGACTACACGAACAGAAAGTGGGAGCATTGAGAAAACTAGGGTATGATTTGAAATTACCAAAATTTAGTTACACTGGTAGCCCAGCTTTCTTGTTTTTTCATAAGAAGGTTCTCTGTGCTGGCCTCCTTGCAGCTTTCCAGAGCTTTAGCCACAGACTCCACAGGGCTACCTCCGAACATTAGGGTGTTGAAATTTTCTCAATCTTACTAGGAGACAGGACTGGGGGAAATTAGTCAGCAAGTCAAACTTCATAACAAAATCAGCAGAATTTCTTCAAAAAGGATATGAAAATTGAACACACTGCGAAAAGTTGGAACATGCAGCTACGTCTAACTCAACTTTCCTGGCTACTACCAAGTAGCAGTGTGGAGTACCCATGGTTCTAGTTGGCCATCCTCCTTACTGTTTCACTTTATGTGCCAACAGCCTTACGCTGAGCTCTTGCTGGGGATCATTGTCTTACAGGCACGGTTTTATGCTTAACAAGGTGTGGATTCCATGCTGTTTGTGCATATTCTAATATTGGTCTAAAAATTCTGTATAGATTGCCTGGAAGGATCCTGATATATATTTCTAATATGAATTAAGTTGAATTAAACAATTTCTGGTGTTAGTGTTGGAATCATATCAACTTTGAAAGTTTTCTCTCATGCCAATTCTTGTGGTTGCCTTCTCTTTATGGTGTAGCTAACTCCTAGTTTCCTTTCTCCCTATCTCATCCTCATTGCCATATTCTTGTTGAGATTAAATTCCAGCAATTATTTATTTGCCTACTCGTGGACTTTGTCAAGATACTTCTGTAACTTTCTGAAGTTGTCCTGTGTTTTTACATGACTCGTCAGCTTTACATTTCATCATCTGCATACATTGATATTTATGAGATCACTCCCTCTAATGATAGGTTGTCCACATTAGTTAGGATAAGTAGCAGTCCCAGGACTGAGTCTTGTGGGCCCCAACTTATTACGTTCCTCTAGTTTGGAACACCTCTGACTGTCACTCTTTGCGTTCTCTCATTCAGGTAGACCTTTCCCAGTTTAAAGTTTTCCCAATTATCTCGGCCTGCTTTTTCATCTCGTACACCAGCCTATATTGATGTTTTGGCAATTTAGGAAAATAGTCTACCCAGCTACGATTTTCCAGTATTATTTTAGTAATTGTCATAGAACTTAATAGTTTATCAGGCACAATTTTCCCTTTTCGAATCCATGTTGCCCTTTCATTACAAAGTTAGTTCTCCAATGCAGGTGTTAAGTGAAATGTATTTAAAGAAGTTATGGATGCCCTTACAAAGCTTCAAGGTGCACTTGTGACAATTGCTATTAACAAAGAAATTCAAGCATGCTAGTAGGGTGGGCCTAAATACCGATTCTGTTCCCTGTAATTAATGTTAGGAAAACAGAGATGATAGATTTGCAACATACTGAATACAGGGTGAAATAAATGACTTGAACAGGGAGAGTCATTTTTCACAGAAATGCAGTTCATTTGAGGGGCAAATGAGGGAAATTGAAAGGACTGATTAGTTGGAAAGATGGAAGAGTATTCCTAAATCTAAATCTTGAGTATGTAGTTTATAATTAGTTATTACGACTTAAGTAAATAATTTACTGTAAGTTTGTGTAAACTTTCCCAGCTATAAATGTACAAAAACGAATTAAGTGTTTTTGTATAGCTATGGTGGTAGCTAAGTGAAAGAAACTGGGTGTAGTGGTGGAGGAAATGACTTTATACACAGTTTTAAGAACAGATACGACAAATCAATAGAATGTCGGCACTAATTCACACGCCAGGTAACCAGTAGTTAGATGGTAGGGCCCTAGTGCCAGCTCACACTCCTACACCCAGTAAAGTAAGCAAACACTTTGTTTTTCATTTTAACTTCTGAATCATGTTTAGTTTTCTTTGCCCCTCTTGTGTTCTGTTTGTCACCTTCAAAATATCACAAAACATATATATATGTTTATCACAACCATATATATATATATATATATGTACATATATATATATATATATATATATATATATATATATATATATATATATATATATATATATATATATATATATATATATATATATTATTAAATATGACCGAAAAAGTAAGATTAATAATTCTAACACGAATTTTCTCAATCTTTCGTACATTACGCTTCACTGTTGGAGGTAAATCAAAAATCACTTCTCCAAAATTCATTTTTATTTCTAGTCTGACGCGACACGGGCGCGTTTCGTAAAACTTATTACATTTTCAAAGACTTCACAAATACACAACTGATTAGAACTTGCGTTTCCCTGATTTTATATCTACATTTGAGTGAGGTGGGAAGGGTGATGTGGCATTACATTTGAGTGAGGTGGGAAGGATGATGTGGCATTAACACAAGACAGAACACTAGAGGATATTAATAGGGTATTAAAAGTATCAACACAAGACAGAACAGAAACAATGGGTATTGAATAGAAGTGTTTGTAGAGAGCCTATTGGTCCATATTTCTTGATGCTTCTATATTGGAGCGGAGTCTTGAGGTGGGTAGAATATAGTTGTGCAATAATTGGCTGTTGATTGCTGGTGTTGACTTCTTGATGTGTAGTGCCTCGCAAACGTCAAGCCGCCTGCTATCGCTGTATCTATCGATGATTTCTGTGTTGTTTACTAGGATTTCTCTGGCGATGGTTTGGTTATGGGAAGAGATTATATGTTCCTTAATGGAGCCCTGTTGTTTATGCATCGTTAAACGCCTAGAAAGAGATGTTGTTGTCTTGCCTATATACTGGGTTTTTTGGAGCTTACAGTCCCCAAGTGGGCATTTGAAGGCATAGACGACGTTAGTCTCTTTTAAAGCGTTCTGTTTCGTGTCTGGAGAGTTTCTCATGAGTAGGCTGGCCATTTTTCTGGTTTTATAGTAAATCGTCAGTTGTATCCTCTGATTTTTGTCTGTAGGGATAACGTTTCTATTAACAATATCTTTCAGGACCCTTTCCTCTGTTTTATGAGCTGTGGAAAAGAAGTTCCTGTAACATAGTCTAATAGGGGGTATAGGTGTTGTGTTAGTTGTCTCTTCGGAGGTTGCATGGCTTTTCACTTTCCTTCTTATGATGTCTTCGATGAAACCATTGGAGAAGCCGTTATTGACTAGGACCTGCCTTACCCTACAGAGTTCTTCGTCGACTTGCTTCCATTCTGAGCTGTGGCTGAGAGCACGGTCGACGTATGCGTTAACAACACTCCTCTTGTACCTGTCAGGGCAGTCGCTGTTGGCATTTAGGCACATTCCTATGTTTGTTTCTTTTGTGTAGACTGCAGTGTGGAAACCTCCGCCCTTTTCCATGACTGTTACATCTAGAAAAGGCAGCTTTCCATCCTTTTCCGTCTCGTAAGTGAAACGCAGCACGGAACTCTGCTCAAATGCCTCCTTCAGCTCCTGCAGATGTCTGACATCAGGTACCTGTGTAAAAATGTCGTCAACATACCTGCAGTATATGGCCGGTTTCAAGTTCATGTCGACTAAGACTTTTTGCTCGATGGTACCCATGTAGAAGTTTGCAAACAGGACACCTAGGGGAGAACCCATGGCGACCCCATCTACTTGCTTATACATGTGCCCATCCGGGCTCAAGAAGGGTGCCTCTTTAGTACAAGCTTGGAGTAGTTTCCTCAGAATACTTTCTGGCATGTCAAGAGGAGTACAGGCTGGATCACGATACACTCTGTCGGCTATCATTCCGATTGTCTCGTCCACAGGTACGTTGGTAAACAGCGATTCTACGTTGGTAAACAGCGATTGGACGTAGAATCGCTGTTTACCAACGTACCTGTGGACGAGACAATCGGAATGATAGCCGACAGAGTGTATCGTGATCCAGCCTGTACTCCTCTTGACATGCCAGAAAGTATTCTGAGGAAACTACTCCAAGCTTGTACTAAAGAGGCACCCTTCTTGAGCCCGGATGGGCACATGTATAAGCAAGTAGATGGGGTCGCCATGGGTTCTCCCCTAGGTGTCCTGTTTGCAAACTTCTACATGGGTACCATCGAGCAAAAAGTCTTAGTCGACATGAACTTGAAACCGGCTATATACTGCAGGTATGTTGACGACATTTTTACACAGGTACCTGATGTCAGACATCTGCAGGAGCTGAAGGAGGCATTTGAGCAGAGTTCCGTGCTGCGTTTCACTTACGAGACGGAAAAGGATGGAAAGCTGCCTTTTCTAGATGTAACAGTCATGGAAAAGGGCGGAGGTTTCCACACTGCAGTCTACACAAAAGAAACAAACATAGGAATGTGCCTAAATGCCAACAGCGACTGCCCTGACAGGTACAAGAGGAGTGTTGTTAACGCATACGTCGACCGTGCTCTCAGCCACAGCTCAGAATGGAAGCAAGTCGACGAAGAACTCTGTAGGGTAAGGCAGGTCCTAGTCAATAACGGCTTCTCCAATGGTTTCATCGAAGACATCATAAGAAGGAAAGTGAAAAGCCATGCAACCTCCGAAGAGACAACTAACACAACACCTATACCCCCTATTAGACTATGTTACAGGAACTTCTTTTCCACAGCTCATAAAACAGAGGAAAGGGTCCTGAAAGATATTGTTAATAGAAACGTTATCCCTACAGACAAAAATCAGAGGATACAACTGACGATTTACTATAAAACCAGAAAAACGGCCAGCCTACTCATGAGAAACTCTCCAGACACGAAACAGAACGCTTTAAAAGAGACTAACGTCGTCTATGCCTTCAAATGCCCACTTGGGGACTGTAAGCTCCAAAAAACCCAGTATATAGGCAAGACAACAACATCTCTTTCTAGGCGTTTAACGATGCATAAACAACAGGGCTCCATTAAGGAACATATAATCTCTTCCCATAACCAAACCATCGCCAGAGAAATCCTAGTAAACAACACAGAAATCATCGATAGATACAGTGATAGCAGGCGGCTTGACGTTTGCGAGGCACTACACATCAAGAAGTCAACACCAGCAATCAACAGCCAATTATTGCACAACTATATTCTACCCACCTCAAGACTCCGCTCCAATATAGAAGCATCAAGAAATATGGACCAATAGGCTCTCTACAAACACTTCTATTCAATACCCATTGTTTCTGTTCTGTCTTGTGTTGATACTTTTAATACCCTATTAATATCCTCTAGTGTTCTGTCTTGTGTTAATGCCACATCATCCTTCCCACCTCACTCAAATGTAATGCCACATCACCCTTCCCACCTCACTCAAATGTAGATATAAAATCAGGGAAACGCAAGTTCTAATCAGTTGTGTATTTGTGAAGTCTTTGAAAATGTAATAAGTTTTACGAAACGCGCCCGTGTCGCGTCAGACTAGAAATAAAAATGAATTTTGGAGAAGTGATTTTTGATTTACCTCCAACAGTGAAGCGTAATGTACGAAAGATTGAGAAAATTCGTGTTAGAATTATTAATCTTACTTTTTCGGTCATATTTAATAATATATGTCTACAGGAAAGACTGCTACCAAAATATACTAATATATATATATATATATATATATATATATATATATATATATATATATATATATATATATATATATATATATATTATTAAATATGACCGAAAAAGTAAGATTAATAATTCTAACACGAATTTTCTCAATCTTTCGTACATTACGCTTCACTGTTGGAGGTAAATAAAAAATCACTTCTCCAAAATTCATTTTTATTTCTAGTCTGACGCGACACGGGCGCGTTTCGTAAAACTTATTACATTTTCAAAGACTTCACAAATACACAACTGATTAGAACTTACGTATCTCTGCTATTATATCTACATTTGAGTGAGGTGGGAGGGATGATGTGGCATATAGTGACGTGGCATTAACACAAGACAGAACATGAGGGGATATTAATAGGGTATTAAAAGTATCAACACAAGACAGAACAGAAACAATGGGTATTGAATAGAAGTGTTTGTAGAAAGCCTATTGGTCCATATTTCTTGATGCTTCTATATTGGAGCGGAGTCTTGAGGTGGGTAGAATATAGTTGTGCAATAATTGGCTGTTGATTGCTGGTGTTGACTTCTTGATGTGTAGTGCCTCGCAAACGTCAAGCCGCCTGCTATCGCTGTATCTATCGATGATTTCTGTGTTGTTTACTAGGATTTCTCTGGCGATGGTTTGGTTATGGGAAGAGATTATATGTTCCTTAATGGAGCCCTGTTGTTTATGCATCGTTAAACGCCTAGAAAGAGATGTTGTTGTCTTGCCTATATACTGGGTTTTTTGGAGCTTACAGTCCCCAAGTGGGCATTTGAAGGCATAGACGACGTTAGTCTCTTTTAAAGCGTTCTGTTTTGTGTCTGGAGAGTTTCTCATGAGTAGGCTGGCCGTTTTTCTGGTTTTATATATATATATGTATATATATATATATATATATATATATATATATATATATATATATATATATATATATATATATATATATATATATATATATATATATAAATAAATAATAATAAAGTATAAGGGCAATATATTTAGATTTATTTTACTTTAATGATATAATATTTTATTATTAGCTGATACTGATATGAATGTTAGGAAATAGTGTAAAGATGCTCATAGGTTAAAAATTAGAATGTTGTCTAGTCACACTATTTTAAATGTATCTGTGCTAAGTGATAATAGATTTTGATTGGAATTCATATAAGGAATGTTAGAACAGGAATGTTAGAACAGGAATGTTCTAACTTGAAGTAAACTTGAAGTAAAGTATATCTTATTTTCTTTCATGGTGCTTTAATTTATATTATTGATTTAATGCAAGTGTGCATATTTGCTCAAGTTTATTAATATTGTGGATTTACTTCAGCTCCTTATTACACAGGGCATCACACTTAAGCAAATCGACAGCAGGAAGCAATACAGTTTTAACTGTTAAGCAGGAAGATGGAGTGGTATTGGCAGGAACAGCGGGAACAAATGTACAGTCTTCATCTGCGATGTCCACCTTACCACCTTCCTCCACTGCCGTTTCTTCCACAAACCCACCTTCCGCATCTCCACTCCAAGAACAATCTGTCCATTCAACAGTGTCAGCAGAACAAAAGGAGAAAGATCCAGTATGTGAATCTAGTGACTTCCTGTTTTGGGTTCTGCAGTGATATAATGCATTTATTTTTTAGATTATTTAAATTATCTTCAGAAAAATAATCAGAATTTAGGTTATTCAAGCTGTGAAAAAGAATATGGCTTTGTAGGAAAAGCCTTACTGCTAATTATTTGCCTTAGAACTTACTTTTTCACAAAGCGGTTCTTAGGAATAAGGTGAACCATTTTACCATAACTTTGATATCTTTTGCATATGTTAATTATATTGATTTGCTTGACCATTATAATATTTTTCTGGTGGGAACCCCTACGGCTCCCCGGAGCTTACTAGGCTGATATGCTAATATCAGACTTTGACATCAGTCATGTCTATGGGGTTCTTTGGGCCTACTGGGAACCACAAGCCAGAACCTGGCCCCCTCTAGAGAGGCAAGGGGAGCAATGGCCTATAGAAACCCCCGTGTGGTTGGAAGCATTCTATGTCTGCCATCGACGAGTTAGGTACCAAGAAAGTTCCAAAACAAACCCTGATTCTGGGGAAAATTGCAACCAAAAGCTGAACGAGTGGATAGAACTCCTCAAACAAAAATGAGCAAACTAGTATGATGTTACCCGTCGCCGCGCCGTTGTCTGCGCAGCTCCCCCCTCTCCTGGAGGAGTAAGGGGGAGCCCCAGACCCCCCCACATCGGCGATCCACACCCCCAGTTCTTGAGGCTGATGCTATAGGCAGCGGTTGTGTGCTCTGGCTGCAGACTTTTACAAGCTGTGCTTTGTGTGTGGCGTCTGTTCTCCAGGGGTGCATGAGCCAGGAGTTCCTCTTCAGTACACGGGCTGCATGCGCCTAGGGTTACCTTCCCTAGGTGCCCTGTGAGTACTGCCCTTGGTTCTTGGGGGCTACCTTCCACAAGTTCCTTGGGATCTGCCTCTGCGGTCCGTTAATTGCTCGTTTTTTTGGCCGCCCTTTGGGTACTTTGGTGTTTTGTCTCCCTAGTTTACCTTAGAGTAAGAGGCAGTTTTGCACTGGTGAGGGGCGCAGGGTGGTGCGCAGCTTGTTGTCACCTATCACAGCGGCCAGCTTTGTTCCTTGGGGTACGTTGTCCTCTTGCGGGGTTTTGTTTTTCTTTTTCTTTTTGCCTGGGTAGGGGGTTCTGTCCTACTTACCACTGTTGTTTGGCCTAATCCTGATGCTCGGTGGTGCCCCCCTGTTAGGTCCCCTGTGAGTGTACACGTCCCTGGGGTTCAGCTGTAGACAGTTGTTTGGTAGTTTTGAGCGCCGGTTAGTAGTACCCTGCCTGGGCTTACCTGAGCTTGAGTCCTCTTCAAGTAAACGCTCAGGACCCTGGGAATCCCCTAGGGGTAGCGTGGGTCCGATGGATGTGACCCCGGAGTCCCCCCCTCGCTTCATGCGAGTTTGAGGGTTGCTCAGTCCTCTTGTATGTGGGTGACCCTCACTGTTTTTGCCTCCGTCATGCTGCCTGTTGGGTCGGTGACACTTTTGACCCAGAGTCCTGTGAGTTTTACTGCTTGTTAGTGACTAAATTTACCCAATCTGTGGATGATCATCTTCGGGTACAGGCAGCGCAGGCGTTGCATGCTAGGATTCGGTTGCTGCAATGTGCTAGGTTGGTTGCTCACCCGGATGCCCTGTGGCTGCCCCGTTTTGCTTATCTGACTTGGGGGTGGGGTCTCTTCCACCCTGGTTCAGTCCGCACCTCCTCGTTCTTCCCTTTCTGTTCGTTCTGGTCCCCCTCCCCTGCTTCCGGACCTGAAACGTCTGAGGGTTTTGGGGTCGGGGCAGAGGTTAGTTGGTCTTGAGACTCGGGGCAGCCTCAGGGAATGCCCCTTCCGGTGTGGCGACGGAGGCATTCGAGTCTCCTCCACCAGCCGAAGCCTTCGGGTCTGACCAGTGAGCCCCCTTCTTTCCGGCTTCTTCGGTTGCAACGGCCTTGTCTGGTGGGGTCGGTGCTTGGGGGGAGGACTCGGCTCCGGGTCCAGCTGGGGAGGACCTTGGGGTTGGGGAGAGGTTGAGTTGGGGGCCTTGGGCCCCTCTGGACCCCGCCTGGGTTTTTCTACCCTCCGAGCGGGGTTTACTGTTACAAGGAGTGGGGTTCCCCCCCCCCCCCTGAGTCGTCCACAGGGTTATTAAGGCTAGCCAGCCTGCGGTCTTTCCCCATGCCCATGACGTTTGCAAGTTCGTGTCTCTTGCCGCCGTCTTTGGTAACATGTCTTGGGCTGGCATTCGGGCGTGAAGATTTTGGAGCTGTTCGTTACCTTGTTAATGTTCCTGGGCCCAGTCGAGCCTTTGTCGCTTTGGGTCGGCGGATGCAGCCGGTTGTCTCGACTTCGAGTTGAGGAGTGAGCGGCAACCGCAATCCGGATATGTCCCTGTTCTTTCCTTTGTGGATAGTTAGCTCTGGGGAGCCATAGGGGCTCCCCCCAGAAAACCAGCATTGAATGTAATGAAATGCCATTTTCTGGGTGATTGCCGGAGGCTCCCTGGCATCCCTCCCTCCCTTTCTCCGGTCGGCGTTTTTTTCGCATGTTTTTGACCTCCAGCCTCAGAACTGGGGTGTGGATCACCGGCATGGGGGGTCAGGGGCTCCCCCTTACCCCTCCCAGGGAGGGGGGAGCTGCGCAGACGACGGCACGACGATGGGTGACATCATACTAGTTTGCTCGTTTTTGTAAGAGGAGTTCTATCCACTTGTTCGGCTTTTGGTTGCAATTTTCACCAGAATTGGGGTTTGTTTGTGAACGCTTACCTTTCTGGGTGCCTAATCCGATCGATGACAGACATAGAATGCTTCCAACCACACAGGGGGTTTCTATAGGCCATTGCTTTCCTTGCCCCTCTAGATGGGGCCAGGTTCTGGATCGTGGTCTCCGGTAGGCCCAAAGAACTCCATACACATGACTGATGCCAAAGTCTGACATTAGCATATCAGCCTAGTAAGCTCCGGGGAGCCTCCGGGACTCACCCAGAAAATGGCATTTCATTACATTCAACGCTGGTTTTTTGCAATTATACGATATATTTGACTACTGTGTTATTTACAATAAATGCTTTGTAAAAATTGGCATTTTCAACTTGCAGACTGATAAGCCTCGATACATTGCTGGCCGTATAGCAGTTTGTACCAACTGTGGCATTCTCAGCGAGGACCTAAATCGTTGCCAAAGATGCAATCACAGGTTACCCAACCATGTGCGAACCCTTTCCTCTGCACCCACTACTACCACCACAACCACCACCACCACAACCGCCACCAAGACTTCCACTAATGACTCTGTGGCTATTTCTAACAGAGGGCTTGCAAATTTACCACAAGTGTCAAAACAGGTAATTGCCTGGATTATTTTAATTTGTTGAAAGCAAACTATTATTCAAAGGTAATTAAGATACGAGTTTATACTTAAATTATTATTTGTTTTTTTAGTCAGATCCCAGTTAAGTTGACCAGAAAATGTTGTTCCAATTTTACTTTAAAGTTAAGTAATTGCACAGTAGATTTGCATGCACAAGGTTGCTTTTAATTGCTAGTAGTTGGTATAGTTGTTTTTATAGTTATTTTTATAGTTGTATAGATCAAACTTTGATCTTTAGCAAACTTTTAACCCCTATGTAACCACCTTAGCCATTTTCCTCAAAGATTAAGACTCTACCCAGGGACAGTGTTGTCCTCTCATTCTTGACAGTATGGATCTTAATTTCTCTCATTGGGCATACAGAGGGGAAAGGAAGACTGAAGAATTTTCAGTCGAGCCCTAAATGACCTCAGTAGATACACTTGGGAGTACCTACTCCCAAATGCAGGTTCAAATCTTCATGGCTCCAACCAATTTTCTCACTTAACTTATTTTCTCACTTTTGCTGCTTGATGCCGCATATTCCGTCACAGAACCAAAATACGGAGTATGCGGGATGACGTATACCACAATCGGCGTCAATAATTTTAAAATTTGTAGAGATTCCATTTATTGTCCAAATACTATGGGACCTGTTTTAAAATGCATGCCATTTTAAAACAGGTCCATTTTTCTACCCCATTCTCTGTATACCCCATGTGGCATCCTGACCTGCCGTGTGGGTGCTCACCAAGGCTGGAGGCTCATTGTTCTCGTGACCTCCCTCGGCCTTCCCTCAAGTCGAAAAGTTTCCTCATTCTGGTTATTTTATTTAGGGTATTTATTGTTACCGGCTTTATAAGCACCTCAAATTAACTTCCAGATGGATACTGATCAAGAACAGAGCCAATCCATGACAAAAGCATTGAAAGAAACACGTATGAGGAAAAAGTTATTGAGTTTTCGTTGAAAGTATAGTAAAGTGAGCCTTGTATGTTCTTATATGCAAATATCCCTTTACAGCATTCTATTGCGAACAATTTGATTTCAAATTGAATGACGTAGCACGAAAATTAAGGTCAGAAAGCTGAAAAGAGAATAAACATTAGTGTGGTGAGCTCTTGGGTAACGCTCGGCCTACCTTGTTGTGCGCGGTGGGTCTAAAGTATAGGAAAGTGAGACTTGTATGTTCTTATATCCACATATTCTTTTAGAGTATTTTATTGCAAACAATTTGATACCAAATTGAACAACTTGGCATGAAAATTAAGGTCAAAAAGCCAAAGAGTATAAACATTTGTGGGTGGTGGTGGCGAGTTCACTCGCACCGCTCAGGCTACCTTGAGGTGCACTGCGGGTCGCCCACTAGGGCAACAAAAGTGTTAACTTAAGGACGTACATTCATCTACACTCAACCTTCTCCAAACAGTACTTGGAATTCCAAAGTGACTGCCAACTGCTGCTTTATTTCTATGCACACAGTCAGATTGAACAAACTTCTTCAAACAGTAATTTATTCTAGTGAGGTTACTATTAATGTTGTGTGATTGAAAATTGCTTCTCTTGTGGCTTATACATTTCAAAATGAATGAAGACTCCAATACAAGCGAAAAACTATGGTAAATTTGGCATGTTGTCACAAACGTAAATATCATGTTTAGAGCATATTATGTACTTAATGGATGTTTTCTGGCTTATTTGCACTCGCAGTCTGTTTTTTATTCTTCAATCCCTGTACCATGGTTTAGGCTTTATCATGAGTCTGTCCTGCAGCAGTTAGCCACTCTCAGGGCTCCTTTCTCCACTATGACTTATGATGACCTTCATGTTTGTGGAGTTTTGATGGCAATTTGCTTGTTTTCCATCTGCTACCTTTTCTTCAGCAGGAAGCTTAAGCCCGGGGAAGTCTGATTCTCTGGCTTCCAGAGAGGGCTTCTGGGGCTTTCTTTCACCCATCAGGGCTAAAGAATCTCTGCTCATTTGTTTCCACCTCTGCTGGGAATTGAACCCGGGCCATTAGAACTACGACCCCCAAGCACTATCCACTCAGCTGAGAGACCCCGGGATTGTCCTCTCATTAACTCAACAAATCTATACCTTTCCATGGTTGTATAGGGATGAAATTGGAGGGATATCCACCCACCCTTTGTTTACAAAGCCTATGCTGTCATCTGGTAGCAGGTAGGGATAGTGGCCAGTAGCAATATCAGTAATGGTTTTCAGTTTCCTGCAAAGTTGGTGACAAATCCATTTTACTTCCTTGTAAATATTAATGCAAATACATATAAGTACAGTATGTACCATTATTTAAAGTTAGAACTACCAAAGAAGCACTCTCTCCCTCCCACCTTCATTCCCCTGCTTTCTTTTCATTCCTATTCATACCAACCATTCCCAATGTTCAAGTAATATTTCTTAAAAAATTGTCACTTAGTAATATTTTAAAGTACAGTACTAACCAAATTTACCTTGTGAAAAACTAGGAGTGTCAACCTTGATCCTGTACTGCTTGACCTGACACTCGCTACTTGTGGACGGTGTTGGAGAGATTGTAGGCTTAATGGTTGGGTTCTTACAGGTTAGCCTAGGAAATGTTTCGTGCTTGATTGCAAAGTTTGCTCATCTCACAGTACAGCTCATCATAGCATTACATATCCTCACATAGTGCATGATTCACTGCACTGATATAGGGGTAATCCACGTTGTTTTTATCAGCATACAAGACCTAAAACAAAGATAAAAAACAAAATAAATGAACTCCACTTTCATAAATGGCTTCACAGAGGCAAATGTATTATTTGGAACATTCACCAAAATCCATATTAAGAGATTACATAGGTTTTGATTCCAAATTATAGTGTCTACAGATGTGGTAGAGTAAAATGGGTGCATGGAGCATGTATGTTAGAGATGCAATTACTCACAACATTAAGATCATCAAATAATGTGGTCGAGATATTAGGTATTACAGTAGGAAACAAAACCTCAGTACTGGAATTATGCTCATGTACAAACCATTAGTCTTCCCCTTTCTTATAGAACATACTAGGTTTTGTGTTTTCTTTTGTGGAAGATGGTAAAAACTTGAATGAAAATTGCCTCGGGCAAAGACAAACAAAAATGTAAACTGATTTTAACAGCTTTTCAATGGGCTATGGAAAAAATAGGAAATTCATCTGACAGCAGGGAAAATGATGGTGTGGATACAGTAATGACAACATTGAAAACAAGTCTATGCTCCACCAGTAATTGTAGTACAGTATTCAGATCACTGGTGCCATCTTAAGAAAATACTGCTCGGTCATCGCATCCCTTTTCAAGACAGACAGGATAGCAGTGCTAGAAAATATAGAGGGAGACCTTTATTGCCTGTGTAGAATGAGGGGGGAAGGAGAAATATCCTGAGTGTCTAGTCCGATAAGTTACTGCCAAAATGTAAGCTAGGGGAACTACAGAGGCAAGTCCAGAAAGGCTTGTTTCTTTACACTCAATGGTCTGCATTTACATGTACAAGCCTTCATAAATATGCTTTTTTTTTTTTTTTTTTTTTTTTTTTTTTGAGATATATATACAAGAGTTGTTACATTCTTGTACAGCCACTAGTACGCGTAGCGTTTCGGGCAGGTCCCTGGAATACGATCCCCGCCGCGAAGAATCGTTATTACAACCAAGTACACATTTTACTGTTGCGTTAAACAGAGGCTACAGTTAAGGATTTGTGCCCCGTAAATCCTCCCCGACCAGGATACGAACTCATGACAAAGTGCTCGCGGAACGCCAGGCGAGTGTCTTACCACTACACCACAGAGACTGTTAAAATGATTAAAAAGCATCACTTTCGATGGAAGGAAAGTTACTTGAATGATATTTATTAAAGAATTTTTGAAAGTGTCTTGTTAATTGGTGCATGGAACTGTCCAGTGGGTGTTTATGTGGCATTGGGCTCTTATATAACTTTTTTGTTTCTTTTTATTATTTTCTGCCATATATGTAGCCCTACATTAGTTCACCAGCTCTGCCTTGCCAGTTTACCAAAAAATCTATTTCCTAGAACAGATTTTGACCCGTTAATTTTTTCTACTGCACAATTGTAGATGTATATGCACTGTAGACCTTGCACTTAATTTATAATTTTGTTAAATTTGAAGCCCCTATTCAAGGGTTTGTGTGAGTCATTTATGACTTGCATTCTAAACAGGAATTCTATGGAAAGACAGGAGGTGGGGCAAGAAAAGGAGTGGAGAAAAAATCAACACCACCTGCTCCCCAGAAGTCTAAAGGACGAGGTAGAGGAAGAGGCAAGACTTATGAAGAGCCTGGTAAGTTCTTTGTGTCTTCTGCATAAAATTAATTTAACCCTTACACTGCTCAGGGGTCCTTGGGACATTTACACCCCTGTGCGCAAGAAAAAAAAAATTCAAAATTTTTTTTTCGTCTTCTAAACATGTTAATTTGTGTCCCCTGAGCACGGAAAAAAAAAAAAAAATCGTAGGTGACATATTTTGGGCGCAATTGACCGAGGAAGTCTGGCAAAAAGTGGGCGTTGACAGAGCGGTCGTCAGACCCGGTCAGCGTCACCCGCGTTGACAGATGGGAGTTGCCACAAAGATATTATTACCTAATTGTTTCAATGTCTCCGATTGATTTTTTCTTAGTTTTTTTGCAGTAATATTATTCAATAGTGTGTATTGTAATATATTTATATAATAAAAGTGGTTAATAATCGCTATACTCAAAAGTATGATGTGCATATTAGTGATTCAATTATTATGTTTATAAAACAATAAACAAATAGTTTTGCTGCTATTACACTCTATACACAGGTTATATATAAGTATTGGCATGTTTTGGTCACCATAACGAACCACTAAGTTGGTATTGAGAGTCGAAAAGCAACGAGGAGTTACCGCCACACACCAGCCAGCCACTCGCTGCCACTCCCTCAACACACGCACTAAACTTTCTCCCCCAACAATACCATTTGTGGTGTTATTACACTATATACAGACGTTATATATAAGTATGTATATATTTTGTTCACCACAACTGTACAGCTAAGCTGATATAGTTAGTTCAGGCACTAAGAGTCGTCGCTATACACAGATGGCGGCTGGCGGCTCCCTCACTCTTTCAAGGTCACACGCACTAAACTTTCTCCCCCAACAATACCTTTGCAGTGTTATTACCCTATATACACATATTATATATAAATATCTACATGTTTTATGCACCGTAACTGTACACCTAAGCTTGTAGTGCGCCCAAAGAGCATAGTGGCCACCCTCTAAACAGCTAGACAAATCGTGCAGACGACGTCACCTCCGTCACCCATATGGCTCCTCCCAGCATAATCCTTTTGCTGTTATTACACTAATACACACATTATATATAAGTATCTACATTTGTGTTCACCATAGAGAACCACTGACCTGGTATGGTGAATGCAAACAATAACAGCTAGCCACACAGTCAGTAAACGATGCTGTCTCCCTCCATCTCTCAGCATCACTCCTCCCACAGCGCTAATTATTACAACAATCCTGCTATTATCACAACCCTGGTTATTTATATCACAGTCATTGGTCATCTGTAATATTGTCATCGCTAAATAATAACAATTATATATTTATTTTGACATTTTTCGGCGATGCTGTGGTCACAAGCTGAACATCAATGCTGTTCGCTCATGCTGCGTGCGCCGGCCTTGGTTGCTCCAACAGTACTGTGCCTCTCACACCTGAGAATATTGCCCACGATTTTTTTTTTAAATGGCATCTGTTTACAAGAGCCCTGAGGAAGCTACTGTGAACCCCGTGTAGCCGCGGGCCATTTGAATCAGGCCTGGCACCCTATGGCGTATATATACGCCATGCGCACCATGGGACATGTTACTCAGGGCGTATATATACGCCATGCGCAGTTTAAGGGTTAAGGACCACGAGCCAGAACCTGGCCCCCTCAGAGAGGCACGAGTAGCAATGGCCCATAGAATGCACATGTGATTTTGGAGCATTCTGTATCTGCCATTGACCGGGACAGGCACCCAGAAAGGTAGGCGCCACAAAACAAACCTCTATTCTGATTAAAAACAACAAAAATAGACAAATGAGTGGACAACTCCTCAATTGAAAACAAGCAAACAAGCATGACGTCACCCGAGCCGCGCCGCATGTCTGTGCAGCTTCCCCCTTCCCGGGAGGGGGAAGGCCACCCTGCAGTTCCTTGGATGATGGGATAAGGCTTGGTCATTGTGGCTCCAGCTCCAGATTCTTCTTGTGCTGTGCCTGCGTTCAGTTGTTTCTGCCAGGCGTTCGGAGGTGGACCTCTTAGCGTCGGCTTGGTTGAGGCGTCTTCCGGTATGTGTGGCACCCTTTCCCGACCATGAGGCAGTCGGGATCGACGCCTTCGAGCAGGACTGGTCAAGGTGGTGCTTCCTGTACATCTTTTGTCCCGGTTCAGCTGTTGCTCCAGGTCCTGGCTCGCTTGGAGACTTGCCAGGGGTGGGTAAGTCATTTTAGCCCCGTGGTGGCCGGCCCAGCCATGGTTTCAGGCGCTGCTTGCCCAGTGTCCGAACCCAGAGGTTTTTCTACGGCTCTGCCTCTTTCAGAAGATCGGCCCGGTCCACTACGAGACTGGTTCGATCTTCTTCTCGAGTCTTCGCTTTTGGTGTTTTTGATGCGGGGTTTATCACCATCTGTATGGTGATCAGGTGGCCTTATTGATGGTGTCCCATCTGCGGGCTTCGTCTCGGCAGCAGTATGAAGTTTCCTGGTGGTCCTTCCGGTTCTCTTTGACTCTTCGTCGTTGTGCTTTGCTTTAAGTTTGGGTGGTGGTGTCCTTTTTCTCTTGGTTGTTCCAGGACCGTCATCTTACGCCGAATACTGTCTCCTCATATCGTGCGGCGCTGGGGGAAAGCAGCTTCAGCTGGCTTTCAGTATAGATGTTACTTCTGCGCCTTTTCGCAAGCTATCTCGTGCGTTTCACCTCTGGCCTGCTCATGCGACGCCTGAGCCGTCTTGACCTTTGGATGGAGTGCTCTCCTTTCTCTCTTCTCCTCGGATTGTTGTAGTCCATCTGGTTCAGGATTGTTTTTTGAAGGCTCTTTTTCTGTTGGCATTGGCCTCTGGGGGCCGGGTTGGGGAGCTTCATGCTCTCTTCTGGCGCAGGGGTTTCTGCTCTTTAGTTGGAGTGATAGTTTTGTTTCTTTGCATCCGTCACCTTCTTTTCTGGCGAAGAATGAGACTTCAGCTTTCCAGAGGGGTCCCTGGGTTGTTGATGCTTGGTTGGTTAGGCCGGCGGTGCATCATGTGTTGTGTTCGGTTGCGACCCTCCACCGTTATTTGCGTGTCGCCGCTTCTGTGACCAGGGACGCACTCTAGATTAATCCGGTTTCCCTTCTTCCCTGTTCACGGGCTCGGGTCTCTCAGATTGTCTGCAGGGTTATTAAGTCTAGCCAGCCTGCGGTCTATCCCTGTGCCTATGACTTTTGTAAGTTTGGTTCTCCTGCTGCCATCTTTGGTAACATGTCCTGGGCTGACATTCAGGCGCTGGGTTTTTGGCGGTTGAACAGGGTCCTGGCTGCATGCTACCTCGTTAATGTTCCTGGGCCTAGTCGGGCCTGTGTTGCTTTGGGCCGGCGGCTGCAGCCTGTGTCGACTTTGAGTTAAGGTGTGGAGCACCGACCGCCTCCCGGGTAAGTCCTCTTCTTTATACAGTATTGTCTTTTGTGAAGTAGCTCTGGGGAGCCGTAGGGGTTACCTCCCAGAAAACCAGCGTTGAATGTAATGAAACCCCATTTTCTGGGTGAGTCCCAGAGGCTCCCCAGCAACCCACCCTCTCTTCAGTTGGGAGTTTTTTAATATCCAGCCTCGGAACTGCATGGTGGATGGCCGGCATGGGAGTCTGGGGCAGCGCAGACATGCAGCGCAGCTTGTGTGAGGTCATGCTTGTTTGCTTGTTTTCAATTGGGAGTTATGTTCACTCGTTTGTCTATTTTTGTTGTTTTTAACCATAATAGGGGTTTGTTTTGTGGCGCCTACTTTTCTGGGTGCCTGTCCCGGTTGACGGCAGATATAAAATGCTCCAAAACCACATGTGCATTCTATGGGCCATTGCTCCATGTGCCCCTCTTAGGGGGGGGGGGGGCAGGTTCTGGCTTGTGGGCCCGGGTAGGCCTAGAACTCCACCCACATCGACTGATGCCAAAAGTTAGGACTATCCTTATCAGCCTAGATAGCTCCAGGGAGCCTCTGGGACTCACCCAGAAAATGGCGTTTCATTACATTCAACGCTGGTTTTCTGCCATTTTTAGTGATCCTGACACTGTCCTCGGATGAAGAAGACGATGGTGGTGGGTCATCTGGATCAGCCTACACAGGAGGATCTCGCTCTCCTCAGTCTGGTTCACAGCCATTTGGACCACCAGAGCCCATCAGTCAAAAAGAACCCATTATAACTCCAGATATGGAAAACTTTGATGACATGGAGGAGATGGATAATAGTGGTGCAGTGACTGGTGGGTGCATTTTTTATCATTTATGCGCCCTACTTATACTTCAGAATATATTTTCCATTTTACTCACATGGTTACTCATTTTTTACCAAAAACCATTTGGTTGGTCTGTTTGCTTTGGACAGCTGTGTCATAGAACAGAGTCATTTGCAGTCAGTTAGGGGGTGACATTTTTATAGAAATTAACATTAATTATTCCTTAGTGTCTATAACTAATATTGCTTAATCATTTAACTTTAGCTTCTTATTATCAGCCTATGTCCATCCCATTCCTCAAACCATTGTTCCTGCAAAGTTGGGTGAGGCTAGCCTCAAGCATTTGGCCTCCAACTTGGGACACACAGATAATCTCATTTATAGTATAGCTTAAGAGGGGTTTCCAGCAGTGCCCAGGATAATATCTCTCATCTCCAACCCCTCAGTCCATTCCTCTTTTTATTCTCTACCCCACATCCCCATCTTCACTTCCCATCTCCATCTTTCTCTCCTCTCTCTCTCTCCCCCACCCTCATTCCTCCTGCCCTTCTCTCCCCTCTTCCCTGCCCTTCTTTCTCTTCTTGCATCTCTCCCCATCCTTTCCTGCCCCTCAGTGGTTCAGGCAATGAACTACTGGGGAACAGTGAGAGTGGAGCCAGAACACAGAGCCCATAGGGAGTCAAATCCTCTTCTGGGCATGCCACACAGCTGCAAACTCTTGCACCATACTGTAGTGCATCTATAGGGATGATCCAGACCACTAATCCTTGGTTCCTTGGTAAGCACTAGTAACAGAGTCCCAACCCAAAACTGAAGCATCCATGAACACATCGTAAACATATCATGTGCATTACTGATATCTAGAAAACTGCCATCTGTAAGTTCTGATATCATCATATTTTGTAAGTGAAGTAAAACCTTCTGAAACTGGCATCTGGAAAAAACGTATTGTGTTGTGCAAGAGTACACAGAACTGTATTTCAGTAAAACTGGTAGTTACTGCAACAATATTGTATACTGTAAGTTTGCTACTTAAATTTACTTTTTCATTATAATTTCAGGTGGAGGTTTACCTGATCTCCAAAGTTTGTTGGATGGTACTCTGAAGGGTCCTTACACATCACTTCAGTGTCGGAGCATCAGAGTGGGTTCCTATAAAGTTATGCCTAAAGAGAGAGTTCTTATTGTCCCACAAGGCCTCAGGATAAAGATTCCTCCAATCACAGAGGGTACGTAAATAAACAAAGTCCTCATAAACAAAGGCTAAAGTCCAGTCCATGCACCCACCAATCCCCCTGTTTGAGTGAAAAATGGTTTGCACACTACTGTACTTGCAACTGATGTTGTCCAAACACTTCCGAAACAAGTGCTTTGCTAACGATTTTTGTTCGAATCATAACGCTGTAAATGCTTCACCCACGTACTACAAATACAAATAATTGCCAACAGAATCTTGACACCTAACCTAACCTGTCTCTAAATATGCACAATATGCTAATATATAACGATGTTAATTTATATTTGAGAAAATTCCTGTTTTGAATGAACAGCATGTTAAGATTGTTGAATGCGTCTTGGGGGTCGACCGCTGGATGGAATAGAATTAGTCTGAGGACGTGTTGAATTTTTATATGCAGTTCATTCATAAATTGCATTGCTCATTAGTTTATGAAATTTAAATTTAACAACATTAAATAATAAGTTTTAAAATAATTTTGAAATAGTTGAAGTGCTGTACCATAGAATAGTTATCTTGGTTGCCATGTTTATAACTTTTTGAACGTACATTCCTATACTGTATATGATAATGCCTTGATGAGTTGACCTGGTAATACTTTTATGGGCCTTGGTTTGTGTGGGCTGGAGAGGCTCTTGTTGGTTTGTGTGGGCTGGAGAGGCTCTTGTTGGTTTGTGGGGGCTGGAGAGGCCCTTGTTGGTTTGTGTGGACTGGAGAGGCCCTTGTTGGTTTGTTTGGGCTGGAGAGGCCCTTGTTGGTTTGTGTGGGCTGGAGAGGCTCTTGTTGGTTTGTGTGGGCTGGAGAGGCTCTTGTTGGTTTGTGTGGGCTGGAGAGGCTCTTGTTGGTTTGTGGGGGCTGGAGAGGCTCTTGTTGGTTTGTGTGGACTGGAGAGGCCCTTGTTGGTTTGTGTGGGCTGGAGATGCCCTTGTTGGTTTGTGTGGGCTGGAGATGCTCTTGTTGGTTTGTGTGGGCTGGAGAGGCTCTTGTTGGTTTGTGTGGACTGGAGAGGCCCTTGTTGGTTTGTGTGGGCTGGAGATGCTCTTGTTGGTTTGTGTGGGCTGGAGAGGCTCTTGTTGGTTTGTGGGGGCTGGAGAGACTGTCGAGAGAGATAATAAGTGTAAGTTAATCCCAATGAAAAGTAGCGGTGCTCTGTATATATATACAAGAGAACTGTCCACCTGCCAGAAAATGTTTGAAATTTTGCTGGAACATTGGGAGAATTTCTTATCCACTGGTCTACTCATCTGTTAATAGCTGACAACCATTTTTTGCTAAAATGTGTTCCCTGATCACAGAAAATAAAAGTAATATTGCTTACCATTGCTGCGAATGACCTGAGAAATCTCACGATGACGTCACGATTCATTCCTCCTGCGGTGAGTGTCCTGGTGGTGTTGCACAGGCTGTTTATTTGGTGGGAGTTGCCACGAATCTGTCACAAAGGACCTTTGCTAGAAACGATTCATCCTGAAATTCGTGAGTCAGCAGTTGGTTGGTGTGAGCAACATTGTGAGGCACAGGAACATTCTCTGCAATGGTAGCTTTATCCAGATTGCGGTCCTCCTGTCATTGAGGCGTACGCAGGATTTTTGTTGTTCAAGATGGTGGTTGTTTACTATCACCCCTGGCGAGCATCTGGTTGCCTCCTTTAACACACAGTAATTTTGTCTGTAACCTTGCAAGCACCAAGCAGTAATAGCTTAAATGATCTGGATGTTTGCAGATAAATCTGAATTCATGTTGAGGTCTGCTCAAAGAACAGAATAACTTTTGAAACAAGCCACAGGTAAAACTAGGTAGAGCATATCAATTTTGTTGATACAGTAGTTAATTCCATCTTACAGTAGTCAGTGAAGATGTAGCACATACAACTTTCATGTTTACTCACACGTCTACTTTTTTCTTTCAGGTTCTGGCGATTCAGTAACGTTTGACATTCCAATCAAAAGTGTTGTGAAAATTCTTGTTCATTTTGGGAGGTCACTTCCTGTTTTCTTTATTTATATTAAGCCTTCAACAGCTGCTGTTATAAGAAGATCACTGAAGATGACAGACAAAAGTGGATACTATTTTGACCCATGTAGTTACGGTAAGATTTGTTGGAAATTTGCATCTGGTGGTGTACAGGTGGTAGTTTCTTAACTTTGCACCAATCAATTTAACAGCCTTTATTTTAAATTTACCTCACACTTTAGACTGGACTAAAGGAAGTTTAGTCCAGTCCAAGGTGCGAGGTAATAGGTTTTTCTAATACTATTTGTTTAACCACAGCACTGCGCACCTGATTTTGGCAAAAACTTCATAGTGCAATTGTCAATGACATTTTTGTTGTTTTTATAAACGTTCAGGTAAAGTTAATGTCAAAATGTTTCCAAACTCAACCAAATTCATTTCAAAATACAAAGAGCGATGAAAACATTTAAAAACATTTAAATATAGCCTAATTAAAAAAAACAGTACTGCACAGAGCGCCTTAGGGCGCTCTGCGCAGTACGCATATGCATATGCATGCATGCATGCATGCATGCAATTGACGATCACTAAACACTGATCATTTGTATGTGGAAAATCCATTATTATTCGAATCATCACAGTAAAGTTAAAACAGGCGGTATTTTCAGGAATGTTTCTTCGAGCTTTGAGGGTATGCAGTCTTTTGATGAAGAGATAGCTAAAATATATGAAATTGGGAAGAGTTTACAGTACCCTAAGATGTTTTTGAATTGTTCGTTTGGGAAAGCTAAACGTACGTTTTATAATAATGTCTCCAAAGTGAAACCAGAAATTAGAAACTCATTGGTGGTACCTTATGCGATGGGATTTGAGAAACTTTCCCCAGTTTTTAAGAACCTTAATATCAATTTGGTGTTCACTAATAATACGATCAAGTTTAATTTGATAAAAAACTCCCCTGGTACAGCAGGTTGTGTGTATTCGATTCCCTGCAATGATTGTGAGTTTTATATATATATATATATATATATATATATATATATATATATATATATATATATATATATATATATATATATATATATATATATATATATATATATATATATATATATATATATATATATATATATATATATATATATATATATATATATATATATAATATATATATATATATAATATATATATATATATATATATATATATATATATATATATATATATATATATATATATATATATATATATATATATATATATATATATATATATATATATATATATATATATATATATATATATATATATATATATATATATATATATATATATATATATATATATATATATATATATATATATATATATATATATATATATATATATATATATATATATATATATATATATATATATATATATATATATATATATATATATATATATATATATATATATATATATATATATATATATATAATAGTATAATGTAATAGTATAGTGGGTAATAGTATAATGAAGTAAAAGTGACAGTTTTCAAAGTTCTGGCTAATTGGTAAATAAAATGGTTTACTTACTATTATCTTAAGTGTAATTGACAGCTGTATATTATTCCTTTTCTGTGGGGAGCTCCTATGGCTTCCTGGAGCTATCAGGCTGATATATGTTATATTAGTTAGGGGCATCAGTCAATTGGAGTTCGGCCTATCGGGGACCACGAGATAGAACCTGGCCCCCCCTCAGAGGAAACTCCCATGTGGTTGGGTCATCCCATGTCTGCCATCAACCATGGTTGCCATCCAGTAAAGTAGGCATAACAAATCAAACTCCACTTGGTAAGAAAGAACAACCCAAAACTGAATAGGGAGGTAGAACTTGCCCTACAACTTAAAGAAACAAGCAAACATCATACCTCACTGCCGTACCGCCTGTCCGTGCAGCCACCCCTCCCCTCCCACCTGGGATGGGCGAGGGAGCCCGAACTGCCCATGCCGGCTATCCGAACCATCCAGTTTGTTGGCTGACGTTGTCCGGGGCAGACCTTGAGACTGGCCTCAGATTCCAACGTAGTTGTGTGTTTCTGCTGTGTCTTAGGCACAGTGGCCAGGTGTTCTTTGAATAGTGTTGGGGCTGCATGCGCTCAGGGTACTCTTCCCTGGGTGCCCTGTAAGTACTACCCTTGGGTTCTAGGGTTCCTTTCCATAGAACTTTCGGGAACTGCTTCCGTAGGGGTCTTTGCCGCTCGGCTTTTACCCCGCCATTGGGGCCAGCTGGAGTTTAGGTGGCTTCTGTTTGTTTTTGGGTTGGAAGTGGTATTGTTTGCTGGTAGGAGCGCAAGATACTGCACAGCTCGCATACATATGCGGCGGCCGGTTTCTGTTCCTTCTGGACACTTTGTACTTTTGCAGGGTTTTCTGTTATTTTTGTTTTCTTGCCTGGAGGGGTTGGCTCTTGGCCCACTTCTGTTGTTTGGATGGGCCTCCTCTTGGCCCCATTGATTTGACACGTCACAGGGGTTCAAGATTCCCATGTTAATTTGGACCCAGCTGGTTTTGCAGCTCCTTGCCTGGGCATCCTGTAGCAGGCCTTCTCTGAAGGGTTGAGCCAGGGCTCAGGATTCCTCTGGTCGGGGTGGGCCATTGGTGCCAGTTTCTAAGCCGATGTTTCCTTCGGAGCCGGCGTCGTCTGGTCGGCACGGTGAACTCTGTTTGTCGGTTGGCTTCTAGTAAAGGGTGTTGGCTCTTTCGCAGTTTGCCCCATTGACGAGGCGATGTTGGACGGCTTGCGCTGTTTGTTTACCCTAAGTCCAACGATTTATGGGCATTTCGGGTCGTATCCACTGACCTGTGGTGGATTTGGGCAGCTCCTCCTTTGGGGAGGTTTAGGGCTCACGGGGCAGGCTTCTTTCCCTGCACTCCGTTGGGTCATCTTGGAGTGGGTGTGCTTGGGCGTGGTTGAAACAATGCCGTTCCTCGGGTGGGTTTCCTGTCTGACCCCTGGATTCCTTGCCCCTCGTTTTGGTTGACCACTCTGTCTCAGGTCCGGTTTCTGTTGAAGCTGGGTCCCTGGATGATGTCCCTGGACCTCTGGCACTCGTATTGGCATGTTCCTATTCATCCGGGGTTCAGGGACTGGTTCGGTTTCGCGGTGGGGCATCAGGCTTACCACTTTCGTTGCCTTCCTTTTGGCTAGAATCTGGCACCTCACGTATTCACACGTCTTACCCGGGTCATGGTGACCCGTCTGCTTCTGCTAGGAGTTCGGATTCTGGCCTACCTCGACGACTGGTTGGTGTGGGCTCCCAGCCAGTCTACTTGTCTGCTCACTAGGAGTGTGGTTCTTTACCAGCTTACCGGGTTACCTGGTTGGTTGATACCTGGTTGATGGGGTTCTGGGAGTTCTTCTACTCCCCAAGCCCAGCCCGAGGCCAGGCTTGACTTGTGAGAGAGTGGTCCACCAGGCTGTTGCTTGGAGTGGCCCACAGGCCCACATACCCACAATAGCCCGATTGGTCCGGAACGTCTTTTAGAAAACGGTCTAGTTTTCTCTTGAAGATGTCCACGGTTGTTCTGGCAATATTTCTGATGCTCGCTGGGAGGACGTTGAACAGCCGCGGACCTCTGATGTTTATACAGTGTTCTCTGATTGTTCTTATGGCACCTCTGCTCTTCACACGTTCTATTCTGCATTTTCTTCCATATCGTTCACTCCAGTACGTTGTTACTTTACTGTGTAGATTAGGGACCTGGCCTTCCAGTGTTTTCCATGCGTATATTATTTGGTATCTCTCTCGTCTCCTTTCTAGTGAGTACATTTGGAGAGCTTTGAGATGATCCCAATAATTTAGGTGCTTTATCGCGTCTATGCGTGCCGTATATGTTCTCTGTATTCCGTCAATTTCAGCAATCTCTCCTGCTCTGAAGGGGGAAGTGAGTACTGAGCAGTACTCAAGACGGGACAACACCAGTGACTTGAAGAGTACAACCATCGTGATGGGATCCCTGGATTTGAAAGTTCTCGTAATCCATCATATCATTTTTCTGGCTGACGCAATATTTGCTTGGTTATGCACCCTAAACGTTAGATCGTCGGACATCATTATTCCCAAATCCTTGACCTGCTGTTTATCTATTATGGGCAGATTCGATTCTGTTTTGTACCCTGTTTTGTGTTTTTGGTCCTCATTTTTGCCGTACCCGAGTACCTGGAATTTATCGCTGTAAAACTTCATGTTATTTTCTGCTGCCCAATCGAAAACTTTGTTGATATCTGATTGTAATTTTTCGATGTCTTCAGCAGAGGTAATTTTCATGCTGATTTTTGTGTCAAATGCAAAGGATGACACGAAGCTGTGACTTGTGTTTTTATCTATATCTGATATGAGAATAAGGAACAGCAGTGGTGCAAGGACTGTACCTTGAGGTACAGAGCTTTTAACTGTGCGTGGACTTGATTTTATTTGATTGACTGTTATTCTTTGTGTTCTGTTCGAGAGGAAATTGAGTATCCAGCGTCCTACTTTACCAGTTATTCCCATTGACCTCATTTTGTGTGCAATCACTCCATGGTCACATTTGTCGAATGCCTTTGCAAAGTTTGTGTATACTACATCTGCATTTTGCTTCTCTTCTAGATCTTCTGTGATTTTGTCAGTGATTAAGTAACTGTGACAGATAGGATCTTCCCGCTCCAAACCAGGGTTCTGGCTCCTGGTGAACTGGAGGAAGTCCCATCTGGTTCCATACTAGGTTCAGACCTGGCATGGGACTTTCAGACCGCTTCTTTGTCTCTATCTGGAGTCGTTGCTGCGGCTGCAGTCCCGCCTTTAGCTGTTTCGGTTGGGGAGGGGGGGGTGTCCAGGGTCACTCGGCAGTTGCTTGAGTAGTTGTGCAGGCATCTGAACTTTGCAATGCTGGTTTACCAGTCGAGTCGGCTCTGGTTTTGGTGTCTATTCTGGTTCCTTCTGAGTCCTCCCTTCTGCCTCTTTCATGATCTCTGGGTTTGGTCTCCAGGGGGCCTTCTATTGGTTGCTGTGTTGCCGGCTTCCTCTTCGTTTTTTTTTGAGGTTCAGCACCTTGGTGCCTATCCAAGCCCTCGCTCGATGTGTTCACAGATGCATCATTTCTCGGCTGGGGTTTTGTGACTAGTGCTCACCAGGACGGCCAGGGACGGTGGGATCCATCCTTCTGTTGGGCTCACAGCATAGTGTGGGAGTTCGGGGTGATTTGGCTATCGCTTCCTATTCGGTCCTTGCCTCTTTTGGGCTGGTCGCTTCGAGTGACCCGTCTGCTGGATTCTCGGGGTTTGGCCAACATCCTGGCAGACGGCCTGTCCATGGAATGAATGGGCGATGCCGACTCCTTCAGTTGGCTCTGACAGATGTACTGTACGGGTACCCGGAGCTGGACCTCTTCGCATCAGCATGGTCTCGGCATTTCCTGATATCTGTGGTGCTGTTCCCCAACTGTGAAGCCATCGTGGTAGACGCCTTTCGGCAGGACCAGTCGAGTCCTGCCGAAACTTGTACCTTGTCCCCCTGATCCAGCTGTTGCTTTGGGTCCTGGCTTTTTTTTGAGACTTACCAGGGAACAGTAGTCCTATTGACCCCTTGGTTTCAGGCACTGCTTACTCGGTGTCCGAACCCACGATGTTTTCTGCAGCTCCGCCTCGTTCAACAGATCGATTTGGTCAGGTACCTAGCTGGTTTGGTCTTCTCCTCCACTCTTCGTATCTGGTCTTTTGACATGGGTCTAGCATAATTTGTATGATGAACGTGTGACTTCATTGATGGACTTCGTTGAGGGGCCTGACTGGACAGCGCTTGGGATTCGTAGTTCTGAGGTTCCGGGTTCGACTGTCGGTAGAGACGGAAGCAAATGGGCAGAGTTACTTTCACCCTGATGCACCTGTTCCTCTAGCAGTTAATAGGGATCTGGGAGTTAGACAGCTCTTACGAGCTGCTTCCTGGGGGGGTGTGTAACAAAAAGGAGGCCGTGGGAACGCTAATCCCCGAAATCATCTCGAGATAACCTCAAGATAACCTCAAGATGGTGTCCTACCTGCGAGCTTCATCTCGGTGATAGTATGAAGTTTCCTGGCGTTCTTTCCGCCATTTTGTAGGTTGTCTTCTGTTACTGATCGTGTTGTCCTGTCCTATCTTGGCTTTTTCAGAATTGTCATTTAATGCCAAATACTATCGCCTCGTGTCATGCAGCGCTGGTAGAGCCGCTCATGCTTGCGTTAAGGGTGGAAGTCACTTCAGCCCTGTTTCATAAGCTTTCTAGTGCTCTATTTCACCTCCAGCCTGCTTGTGTGCCGCCTGAACCGTCCTGGTCCATTGACAGGGTGCTTCCTTCTGTCTTCTCCTCGGTTTGTGGTGGCCTCCTTTGGTTGAAGATTGATTTTCTAAGGCTCTCTTTCTGTTGGCATTGGACTCTGGGGGTTGGGTTGGTGAGCTTCATGCTCGTCCAGAGCAAGGATTTTTGCTCTTTTGGTCCTGGTGGTAAGTTTATTCCATTGCAGCCTTCTTCTTTTCTGGCGAAGAACGAGTTTCCGCTCTCCGAAAGGGTCCTTGGGTCATTGATGCTTGGTTGGTCAGGCCAGTAGTGCATCATGTGTTGTCCTGTTGCGGCTCTTTGCTGGAAAAATAGTAGTCGCGTGGAAGATAGTAGAGGGGCTGGTCCCAAACCTGCTCACAGAAATAACATCACATGAGACCAGAAGGCATGGCGGGATGTGCAGAATACCCCCATTGAAAAGCAGAGGTGCAACAGGTACTCTGAGAGAGAACTCTTATCAACATTTGAAACCCGAGACTGTTCAACATGCTTCCACTACACATAAGGGGCATAACTGGCCAACCCCTCACAATGTTCAAGAGAGAACTGGATAAGCACCTCCAAAGGATACCTGATCAACCAGGCTGTGATTCGTACATCAGGCTGAGAGCAGCCGCGTCCAACAGCCTGGTTGACCGGTCCAGCAACAAGGAGGCCCGGTCAACGACCGGGCCGCGGGGACGCTAAGCCCCGGAAGCACCTCAAGGTAACCTCAAAGTAAGGTACCTGCAGGCCTCAGCTTCTGTGGCCGGGGATGTGTTTAGAGTTGATCCAGTTTTCCGTCTCTCAGGTCGTCCACAGGGTCAGTAAGTCTAGGCAGCCTGCGGTCTATCCTCGTGCCCATGACATTTGTAAGTTTGCTGCTTTGACTAATGTCTTTGGCAATATGTCCTGGGATGACATTCGGGTGCGGGGATTTTCGAGGTTGAACAGGGCTGCTGTTAGTGGTTGAACAGGAGGCTGGGCGTTATCTCGTCAACGTTCCTGGTCTTGGTTATCCATGTGGGACTTTGGGTCACAGATTGCAACCAGTTGTCTCGCAACCCGTTCTCGCAAATTTAAAAAGTCAATATTGACTTATTAAATATGTGCATTGGTGACATAACATAATAGTTTCCCTTGAAAAGCTTCATAGAAAACACCGACCTTACCTAACCTACTTAGTATGTTAAGATAAGCATCTTATTGCTTCGTAATTACAATTATTACCTAACCTATACCTATAATAGGTTAAGTAACAATTGTAATTATGAAGCTATAAGATGCTTATTTTAACATACTAAGTAGGTTAGGTAAGGTCGGTATTTTCTATGAAGCTTTTCAAGGGAAACTATTATGTTTAGTATGTCACCTATGCACGCAACTAATAAGTCAATATTGACTTATTAAATTTGCGAGAACGGGTTGTGTCTCGACTTAGAGTTAAGGAGCGAGTAGCATCCGCCTCCTGGGTAAGTCCCTAATTCCTTCTCTTTGGAGATGTAGCTCCAGGGAGCCGTAGGGACTTCCCACAGAAAACCAGTGTTGAATGTAATGAAACGCCATTTTCCGAGTGAGCCCCAGAGGCTCCCTGGCAACCTGGTCAGCGGTTCCATTTCCTTTTTGATGCTCAGAATCTGAACTGGATTGCTTGGTTAGCTGGCACGAGGGTCTGGTGCCCCCCCCCCCCCATTCTACATTCCAATAGTGCCCTCTTTGCCTCTCTGAGGGGGGGCCAGGTTCTGGCTCGTGGTCCCCGGTAGGCTAAACAATTGACTGATGCCCCAGACTAATATAACACATATCAGCCTGATAGCTCCAGGGAGCCTCCTGGTCTCGCCCAGAAAATGGCATTTCGTTATATTCAACGCTTTATTTTTTTTTTTTTTTTGCAGAAGAATCACAGAAGCGTATAACAATCCTTCCAGATAGATTAACCGAAGAAAATAAAAACTTGGTCAAAGAAATTTTAAGTTCTTCAAATGCACACACAAGTGACATTGGAAATGTCACTTCAACAGTGCCAACTGAAAGCTTCAATATCATGGAAGAATTAGATCAAAGAGAGGCCAATGAAATACTTGTGAGGTCATCTCCTGTGGAAGTATGTATAATTTCTTTAAATTTTATATATTTTGTATTAACTTTATCAATTATTATGTGCACAGTTTTAAATTTGTATATGAAAAATATGATGCTTATTAACCCTTCGTATACAGTTATAACAAAAGGTGCAACTCTGGCTATGTGAAAAAAACAACTTATTTAATGATACATTTACATGCAAAAAGTAAGGAAAAGCCAAATAATGCAAACTCCGGGAGCCTCCGGATCTCGCCCAGAAAATGGCGTTTCATTACATTCAATGCCGAATTTTTCTTTTTTATTTATTTATACTTTTGAAAATGTTAACACAAAAGTGCTTAAGTAATTTCCTGTTTTATTTTCCTGTCACAGTTACAGTATACATTTTCTCATTGTTCACCACATGTTAATTTCTTCGTTATTTACTTTGTAAAATGTGAGTACTTACAAGTGTTTAATTTATTTCATTAGGTACAGAGCATAGTGAAAAAAACGGTTTCGTCTACCACAAATGAATCTAGAATGTAAGTATTCCTAGATTCTGCCAACATTTTTTCTCTTTAATTTAGTGTTAGTTATTTTGCTAATGTGAAAACATTTGTAAATATTTTTATCATTGTATTCACTTTTATGAATGTTTAATGACATACATTCATACATAAGCTGGTGGTGAGGTCTTGAGTTTCACAACTGTTCACTTTGTTCACAAAGTTGATTTGTTAAAGAACCTTTTGCTTGCAGTTACTGAATGTAATATTGTCACTAATCAATCGTTCTGCTATCTTCTGCATGCCAACAAATTATAATTTACACATTTCAAGCTTGTGCAGTTTTTTTTTTATTTGTTTAGAGATCATATATATTTTCAGCACCAGTATAATAATATAAAACTACAGTGTACAAACAGATTGAGTGATATATATTATCTTTCGGTCGTGGTCGACTGTGTCCTTTTTTTCTTCTATGACATAAGAAAACTAGATGTTTTAAATTTTGTTTAGTAATTGTAATTTTATCACTTCAGGTTGTTAATTTATCCACCACCACCACAAAAAGGAGGAATCTCTATATCCACAGATGATTATTGTTGTCTAGAGGATGAACAGTTTCTCAATGATGTAATTATTGATTTCTACCTCAAGTGAGTATTTATTCATGACTTTGGTAATGTCAGATTTGTAGGACATAAGAACACCTACCTTTGTTTGCCATCTTGACTAATGGTCCCTGTGAAACCCTCGAACTGGGCACAGTTGCTCCCTACGTAAATAATCAAAATTGGAAGCATTGTTCGTAGCTGTTTACATAAATTGTTATCTCTTGTTGGAGTGTATAAGTGTTCAGCCTTAATAAAAAAAAACTGAGAAAAATCAAATAACCTATAACCAAAAATTTGATTTCATTGATAAGATAGAAGGTGGAGGATGGAGGGAGTCAGGGTGCTGAAGTGGTGCAGTAATAAGCTATCCCCCTGATGAGAAATCGTTAAGTTTTTATTGTGTTAGTTTCCCAAAAGAATTTTTGGTACCTATTCAGTATCTCAGTTACACTTCATATGTCGACTTAAAATTTTTAAAGACACGTACTATATATAGAAGTGCAAGGAAGATGTTAATTCTAATGTTTTTGAGGAGAAAGGGCTCAGAACCTGTTTTACAAACTGATGGGGTTGAGATGACTTGAAGCCAAATCTAAACCCCCATCCGAGTGTCAACTCGGTATGTCAATTGTTAGGTATCAACACAAGACAGAATACAAAACAATGGGCATAAGTTGGATATGTTTAGATTTAGGAAAGACCTGGGTAAATACTGGTTCTGTAACAGGGTTGTTGATTTGTGGAACCAGTTACCACATAACATAATAGAAGTAGAATCCCTTGATTGTTTCAAGCGTAGGGTAGATATATATGTGAATGAGATTGGGTGGTTATAAATAGGAGCTCCCTCGTATGGGCCAATAGGCCTTCTGCAGTTACCTGCAGAAGGTAACATTCTTATGTTCTTATGAGTGTAATCGTAGTAGTGTCAATTGCAAATGATACTCCAAGGAATTTTTTAAGAAATGTACGGTATTTGTTTTTATTCACTGGAAGAACTATTAAATTTCTAGAAATAGATGTTTTGGAACAATATCATGGACTAGGACAGCTTTACTCATAATCGTATCAGCTTTAATGTTTCAGATTTGTCATAATTACCGATAGGATAGTGTGTGCATTGGATCATTCTTAGGTAAGCACTGATTAGGAAATAGTTACTTATCTGGAAAACACATTTCCAAGCAATATTATGGAAGTGAACTGGCTAAAATATTTCAAGCTTTTGATAAATTCAGCAGTGAGTCATTGAATGTAAATTGGTACTGCCTAGCATATTATGTTCATATATTTGCAAAATGTTTCCAGCATTTTTTTGTTTTTGTCAGGCTTCACTATTCTTTGATAAATATTGTATTTGAAAACTATAATAATATATCCTTGTACAGGTGGCTACTGCAAAGCAAGTTATCAGAGATACACAGGTTGCACACACATGTGTTTTCTACATTTTTCTATAAACGACTCACTTCAAAGCCCAAGAAACGAAGACTCAATGCACCGGAGGACGACCCCAAGCTTACTGCAGCTGAGAAGAGACATGCGCGGGTTAAGTCTTGGACAAAAAGTGTAGATATTTTTTCTAAGGACTTCATCATAATTCCTATTAATGAACAGTAAGTTCTAATTCTGTGTAGATATTGTATGTTGTTGCAATATTATGTTTATATAATGAAGTTTTTAGGTAAAATTGTCTAGAAAGGTGATCTAACGTTGATATAGTTTTATTTACAATAATATTGATTCTATACTTGCGTGCAATTTTATACAAAATTAAATTGAGTGACTAGAAGTGTGGCATGCTGGCATGGTGGATTATGCCAGCATAGTGTAGAAAGTCACACTTATCATTTTATTTTTTGTGAGAAATGGCATTGTATATTATTGTCCAGTTGTACTGGTGAGGATGACCCAGTGTTTAGGAAGTTGATGCACTGCAGTGTATCAAAGATGACCTGGCTTTAGAAGTTATTTACTAATCTTGACAACATCTGTTTTCAGTGCGCACTGGTTTCTGGCCATTATATGCTTCCCTGGCTTGGATTGTCCTGTACGGATGTCAGATGGTCAGCCTATTCCACTTCCAGTTACGGATAAATTACAGAAACGGAGGTCCAACAGACCAAGGAATAGGATTGAGGTGAGCACTCCTTAAAAAAAAAAAGCTTACAAATAATACATAAATTAGCATATTAATGCAACTTCAACTTTTATTATTAAAGTATAATTTTAGGCTTGCTTCTATTCTTGTGTGTTGATTGTTTAAGAATTTGAAATATGATAATTATTGTATGTATCCTGAGTAGTATGGAGTTCTTGCTTATTGGGAACCATTAGTTTGAACTTGTTCCCCTCAGAGAGGCAAAGGGAGCAATGGCCTATGAAAACTCCCTTGTACGAGAGTACATTCATGTCTGCCATTGACCTGTGCTGGGCACCCCAAAAAGGTAGGCGTCCCAAAATAAACCCCAACTGGCAGAAAAGTGCAAGCCAAGACCGAACAGAGCCCAAAAACTCCCCCAAGATTAGGTAACAAGCAAATCGTCAACCCGATGTGCCGCATATTTGTGCAAGCCCCCCGCCCCACCTAGCCAGCCGCTAAACCGCCAGTTCATCGACTGAAGCCAGCTGGGGTTGACGTCTATTCTGGCTGCCATTCCCTATCAGGATTTGGCACTAGTAGTTGTGCCTGCCATGTGTTGGGGCATTGGCCAGAAGTACCAGTACAGTACTTAGGCTGCATACTTTTAGGGTTACTAGTATCTTCCCTAAGTACTGTAATCACTTAATTATCCGGGATTCGAACATCCGGAAGATGCCTTTTTACGGCCAAAATCATTATTGGATAAAGTTATCTCAACATCCGGCCAAAATGGCCACGGGAGCCGCCTCCACCGAGAATCGAACCCGGAACCTCACAACTTCGAATCCGAAGCGCTGTCCACCCAGCTGTCAGGTGCCCTGTACAGACAATATTTACATCATTTATATGAAAACTGTGCAGTAATAATTAAGATTAACGTGTGATAATATTATCTCAGGGATCGGTGTATGATGGTAACTGTAATTTAAGACTTTAAAACATTCTTAATAAATCTCAGGAACATAATATCATATAAAATAAGTCAAATAACAATGACTGCAAATGGGTAACTGGGACTAAAAGCTGTATACAAAGAATTAGGAATATGGAAGTATTTGTAGCACAACAATTTGTCAAACTAATGATCAGAGACAGTAGCTATGGTCATACCTGCTTAACCCTTAAACTGTGCAATACATAAATACATGATTTGATATAAAATAATTCAACATAAGTTTTTAAAACTTGCACAAACACTTTCCAATTACTTTTGCATAATCAACTAGGCAAATGCTCCAACTTTATCTAAATGATCACAGCGTAACTTGAGAAACAAGAGAATCAAAATTAATTTTAAAATTGAATATTGAAAACTTCATATTTTCAGTTCAGAATAAAAAAAATGATCACCAATTGTTCATTTAATGTTGTTATTCTCTCAAAATAGCATATGATCTTCATTTTCATCAAATTAGAATATAGGTTTTCAGTATAGTTTACTGTAAAAAAGTTGTCAATAGGACATTTGAAATATTCGGCAAATTTAGACCAAAAAAATTATAACTAAATGTATAAAGTTTATGAAAAATTCATTCTGAAGGGATTGTAGAACAGACAGCTGAGCACACTATATGTCAAAATAGTGAGAATTCGTCAAAAACTGGAAATTTAGAAGCCACTCAAAGTTGAAACTCTAGTTTCAAAGATAATTGAAGTTGAAGTTATCAACAATGAATAAAGGTAGTTTTAATTCGTTAATATAATTGTATCTTTTAATAAACATTGTTTGGCATTCGTGTTCGAATATGTGAAAGTTGTAGGTCAATATGTGTTGAAATGAAGTCAAGAAAAAATAACCCCCAAAAACACAAAATATAGGGAATAATTATAATTATAATGATTTGGAGGATATACTGTATTTAGGGTATATTTTACCTAAGTGAAAAAGCCCTAATATGGTCCCTAATCATCAAAATAACATAAAGAGACAAAGAAAATAGTTTGAAATCAGAGAAAAAATCAGCCAATTTTTTTTTTTAAAGTACCAAGTTTTGCGAGTTGTGACTGATTTATTTGTTGACCAATTCCATTCTATCTTTACATAGTTAGGAAAACATATGCATTCTCCAGGATGTTAAGGTTTCAACAGAATCAGATAATAAACAAAGGAGGAAAAACTAAATTCTTTAAAAAAAAACTCCTAAAAAAAAATTGGGGGACATTGATGAAAGCACAGTAACATATTAACATTGGACAATGTATTTATATGATATATAACAAAATAGAGCATATTAACATAGTTATTCATTATTATTTGTGTTATTATGTATTACTCAGCAATGCTATAAAGGCACCAATTGTATATCCACTTTGTGGACACTTCTTACTACTATTCTTCTTTGAGCGACGGACAGGTGCTTGCATCTCTTTATTACTGCCTAATCCTTTAGTTCCAGTTAGAAGCTGGTCTACTTATCAACAAAACATTCCTATTTTTAAAATTTGTCTAAAATTAATTTCTGAAAGTATTTTGATGAAAATTTCATAACACTGAAGCCAGTAAGTTGGAGATTTGTTTAAAATTTTAAAGTTATTTTTACATAGTTCAAATATTTTTCGCTACCAGGCCCCCAATATGCACGGTAATATGCGCGGTCTAAGGGTTAAGCACAAAAAATATATAGAATTAGTAATTAGTAAGCAAAATGCAATACGAACTGGAAAACAAGTGAATATTTATAAATTCACTGGGTGAAGGCTCTCTGCAAGACTGCGTCTGGCACTTGTAAACGCCTAGTGCACGACCGTGCTGATGCTTTCTGTTTTATCCTGGGATTTTTCACCAATTGTTTTATCACTTGTTTTTCTTTATTTACATCCACAGAGAGCTATTATATTCATATTTGCAACATACATGTAAAACGCGCACAGTAATTGTTTAAAGCGTCATATGATGATTGCATTCCTCTAGTAATATTCATGACGATAATTGCATTCATACCATGAAATAGTAGCAAGATTTTTTTCATGGGTCAAGGTAAACTCCATTACATCCACATAAACCAATTATATCCATATTTGCATAATACATGTAAAACCCAGGCAATAATTATATAAATCTTCATGTAACGATAATTGCATTACCCTGGGAATAGACCTATGACAATAACTGCTGTCTAAGGGTTAAAAATGAGTTGATTTCAGCAGATCCCTGTTATTGATGACGGGGAGTGGAGTGATCGTGACGAAGCTGAGGGAGACGAAGATGAACTGGAGGAGGATGAAGAGGAGGAGGAGGAGGAAGACAGTCCACCAAGTAAAAAGAATAAGGTTGATGAGAAAAATAATGAAGAAACTCGTGCTGATAAACCAGAGACTCCAGCAGCTTCATCGGCCATTAAACAGTTAGTTGACATCATTATGTTTAATTCTCTGTGTCATAAAACTCTGCAATGACTTGTACTGTATTATGATAGTGCAAAATATGTTAGTGTTGTTGAAAATTACAATTTGTTGAGACTTATTAATATAGGAGATATATAAGGGCAGTGAGAACTGTGTTGAGAGCACACTGGGTGGAATGAAAGAAAGTTTCATCAGCAGTGCTTAAACATCACTAAAACATTTTAAGGCAAAATATTTGTGGTTTCTCAGATATCTGGCTAAAAAATTGGTACTTCAGGCTAATAGGTAGAATGAGAACAATGTGCTGCCTTTGGACCCTTGTTGGAGTAAGAAAAAGATAGGTATGGGATGTACTTAGATAACCTGGCAGGTTAGCAGCTTATGTAATAGATATTATATTTTCAGTGTATGATGTATAATACATTTTTAATTGTTCACCTGTTTTACAACATTTTATTACCATTGATTCTTATACTATTGATTCATTCAGCAAGTTGTATTGCGCTCATTAAAAAATGGGTCTAAAAGTTTTTGTTCATATTTTTCTTTCATCCAGGCCTTGTATTTTGATCTTCGACTCTCTCACTGGAGCAAACCGAGCACGGATTGTTGCTACTCTGCGGGACTATCTCATGGTGGAACATAGACTAAGGAAAGGGTCAGAGAAAGCTTATAACAGAGACACCATGAAGGGTGCATGCCCAAGAGTGCCACAGCAGATGAACTATTCAGACTGTGGCATTTACACTTTACAATTTGCAGAAAGTTTCTTTGAGGTAAGAATATTGATGATGTATGTTTTATATACCACTGTGTTTTTACCTTTTGGCTGCTTCTCTGTTGTTCACATTTTTTTGTAATGTGCAACAAACAAGAATAAATAGGATATTTTCTTCATTAGTGGTAGAAAGTTATGTAGGTATGTGAAATGAAAAAAATAATATAATTATTCTCCTTGCCATAATGTTGATTTGGCGCACTCGCTAATTATTCTGAAGTTGGCTTCCTTATAAAAACCCACAGGAGGCCTATGGAACATTTGTGTTTACAGTGAGACTTTTGCACCTAGTATTGAATTGTGTATTGTAAATCAAATATACACTATTCTCTAGTATTAGAAATAGCTGTTAGTGTATTACATTTATATAAATGTGAAGGTGTTTACATTTTGAGACAGCTTAAATTATTTTACATTTTTGCAAGTCATCCTTTACTATCACATTCATACGAAAGAAATTTTGATTTATCACAGTAAAGCCCTCTCGGTTTCTCTTGAACATGGACCTGAGCTTATCCAGGACAACAAAATCCCTTTGGCCTTTCTTCCTATTTCCCTGGTGGCAAATAAGTTTTCAGATGATCGTGCTGGGTGTAGGTGATAGGCAATAAAAGTTCAATCCACAACTAAAAGCACTTAAGAGCAGATGCAAAAACTGAACACATTTTCCTAGAAATAACTGGAAATGCAAAGAATGCCAGTTAGATCTCTGCTAACTAACTCTCTGAAACACTATCTTTGTTCATCACTACCAATTCTTAACTGCCACTAGAAGGCAGCACCCTACCTACCGCTGCAGGGTTGGTGGAACAGGCTTCCCTCACTTGTTTGCCTGACACCCACCCACATTCTCCTTGCCTCTGCAGGGAAAGGAGAGCTACTGGAAATCTGGAAAAAAGCAAATGTACTTCCATATTTAAGAAATGGGATAGGCACGAAACACTAAACTATAGACCAGTGTCATTAACATTCATTCCATGAAAAATGCTGGAAAACAAAAAAACAAAAAATAAAGGATTGTAGAACACATGGAGAGAGTAACAACATGGCTCCAGAAAGGAAAATCATGCTTAATAAGCTTGATTGAATTCTTTGATAGTCACCAAAATAAGACAAGAAAGGGAAGGAAGAGTAGGTAGACTGCATCTTCCTAGATTGCCAGAAAGCTTTTGATACAGTTACTCACAAAAGACACTCACAAGATGAAGAGAGAAGCAGGGTAACAGAAACTTCAGGAGGGGCCTGTTTAATAATTATCACTTTCAGCCTCCCGGCGAACAAGGAAAAAAGTTAGCACAATGTGCTCTCGGCGTTTCGGGCGATTGAGCGGAAACACTGAAAAGTGTATACTCTTTTCACTGTCCTGATCTTAATTTTCGATGTACACATTTAATTTTTTTACCAATGTGTTCGCAATAGAATGTTCTAGAAGAACATATTTATAAAATGTCGCCAAACTGTGATTTAAACCACTACCAATAAAGAAACTACGTGGATCACTAGCCGTGAGCTCCAAACAGCGACGAGATGTTTCTATTCTTTTCACGGTTGTCAACTCCACACTTGTCCTACAGCGTTAAATTTGGTATCTTTGAGATCGCAATAAAATTCCCTACACGGACATATGCATATAAATGAAGAATGATGATCGCGGCCCACCCGCAAGAGTGTGGGAAGTGGGCGAAGTGTTATCTGTTACTGCACATCGGCAATCCACAATAGTTTTACCACGAAGATAAAAGACAATGCCGTTCTCCCAAATAGGCGATGTAGCTACTAAAGAAAATGTAAATTTTATGGCAAATATGTTCATACTATCCCCAAGTCGATCGGATAAAAATTGAGTTTTATAGAAATATTTGTTCGTCGGACATGAAAATAATAATAACATAAAAACATACGGGTGGCTTCAAGTGACCCCCGACGGACTCGCTCTTGTGTCCACGGGACTGGAAAGTGTAAACACTTTCCAGCCCCGTGGAAACTGCTTTCTCTGCTGGAAAGTGTAAACACTTTCCAGCATGCCCGGGGCACTTTTATGCCCCGGGCATGCGCGCCGCCAACTTAGAGGTCACGCCCTTGGCGTACGGGCGATCGTGCGGAAGAGAGCGTGGCAACACCGAAATGTGTATACTCGTTTCAGTTTTCTCGCCTAAATTCTCATGCTGTGCCGTCCGTTTTGGTATCATTGTGTTGGCAATAGAATTCCCTACAGGTGTATATGCATACAATGTCCAAAAGCCCGGTGTGACTCCCCGCAGCAAAGCCTAAAATTACCCGTGAACGAGCACTAATTTGCACACTGCAGCCTTATGTACTCACTTATTTGTGCTTGCGGGGGTTGAGCTCTGGCTCTTTGGTCCCGCCTCTCAACTGTCAGTCAACTGGTGTACAGGTTCATGAGTCTATTGGGCTCTATCATATCTACACTTGAAACTGTGTATGGAGTCAGCCTCCACCACATCACTGCCTAATGCATTCCATTTCTCAACCACTCTGACACTAAAAAAATTCTTTCTAATATCTCTGTGGCTCATTTGGGCACTCAATTTCCACCTGTGTCCCCTAGTGCGTGTGCCCTTTGTGTTAAATAGCCTGTCTTTATCTAACCTGTCAATTCCTCTTGAGAATCTTGTACGTGGTGTTCATGTCCGCCCTAACTCTTCTGTCTTCCAGCGACGTGAGGTTCAATTCCCATATTCTCTCTTCGTAGGTCATACCTCTTAGCCCGGGTACTAGGCAGGTAGCAAACCTTTGAACATTTTCCAGTTTAGTCTTATGCTTGACTAGATATGGACTCCATGCTGGGGCTGCATACTCCAGGATTGATCTGACATAGGTGGTATACAAAGTTCTGAATGATTCCTTACACAAGTGTCCAAATGCTGTTCTTATGTTAGCCAACCTGGCATATGCTGCCGATGTTATCCTTTTGATATGGGCTTCAAGGGACAGGTCTGGCGTGATATCAACCCCCAGGTCCTTCTCTCTCTCTCTGACTCTTGAATTTCATCTCCCAAATGATACCTTGTAACTGGCCTCCTGCTCCCTACACCTATCTTCATTACATTACATTTGCTTGGGTTAAACTCTTAACAACCATTTGTTCGACCATTCCTTCAGTTTGTCTAGGTCTTCTTGAAGTCTCAAGCAGTCCTCCTCTGTCTTAATCATTCTCATAATTTTGGCATCGTCAGCAAACATTGAGAGGAATGAGTTTATACCCTCTGCAAGATCGTTTACGTATATCAGAAACAGGATAGGACCGAGTACAGCGCCCTGTGGGACTCCACTGGTGACTTCACGCTAATCTGAGGTCTCGCCCCTCACTGTAACTCTTTGCTTCCTATTGCCTAGGTATTCCCTTATCCACTGGAGTACCTTACCAGTTACTCCTGCCTGTCTCTCCAGCTTATGTACCAGCCTCTTATGGGGGACTGTGTCAAAATCTTTCCGACAGTCAAAAAAAATGCAGTCTGCCCAGCCTTCTCTTTCTTGCTTAATATTTGTCACCTGGTCGTAGAATTCTATTAAGCCAGTAAGGCAAGATTTACCCTCCCTGAACCCATGTGGCGGGCGATTTGTCACGAAGTCCCGTCTCTCCATATGTGTTACTAAATTTTTTCTCACGATCTTCTCCATCACCTTGCATGGTATACAAGTTAAGGACACTGGCCTGTAGTTCAGTGCCTGTGTATACTCGTTCAGTTTGATAACATCTATTTTCGTGTGTATACTCATTCAGTTTTATAACATCAATTTTCGTGTTACGTCTTTCATTTTGGTATCAAATTGTTTGCAATATAAAGGTGCATATTTTAAAGCTATTCCCATAATAATTGAGCAATAACTGGAATTTTAACAAATATTTTAATTTTGGACGCTCATCGAACGTTTTTGTTCGGGGAGTTCTATCCACTTGTTCGGCTTTTGGTAGCAATATTTTCACTAGAATAGGGGTTTGTTTTGGGATGCTTACCTTTCTGGGTGCCTGACCCGGTCGATGGCAGCCATGAATGCTTCCAACCACACAGGGGCTTATATAGGCCTTTGCTTCCCTTGCCTCTCTGAGGGGGCCAGTTTCTGGCCGTGGTTCCCGGTAGGCCCAAAGAACCCAATACTCGTGACTGATGCCAAAGTCTGACATTAGCATATTACCCTGGATAGCTCTGGGGAGCATCCGGGTCCCACCCAGAAAATGGTGTTTCATTATATTCACCACTGTTCTTTTTTTTTTATATATATATATATAAGTTGAATTTGTTAAAATGTTGCATTGATTTTTGAGAAAAATTGTGTGTGGACTGGAATTTTAATGTGGATGTAGTTTGTTAATAAAAGCGACCATAATTCTTCATCCACATTATAGTTCTTGTTTTCACATGATGTTTTTCTCAATACTGTCGGCAGTTATTGCAATGCAACTAAAAAGGGGGGTTTCATGCAATGGATAAATTTAATTTACATTCTTGGTTTGTGCTACATCATAATGATGATTAATTTGAGGAAGAAATATTTAGGCATTAAATATATTTCACGATAAATTGTTTAGAATAGTTATATCTATATTCTGCATTAGCTGATGACTTTATTTTTTTTCAGCATCCATTGAAAGACTACACATTCCCAATTCGTACACTTACCGAGTGGTTCCCTCAAGAGGTAGTGAGAGGGAAGCGTGAAGCTATTGCAAAATTGATTGGAAACCTAATGGAACAGCACAACCCTAATCATGCTTCCATAACACTACCCGAAATCTTATTTTCTTCTGACGATAAGAAGGACAAGGACGATATGAGTTTACCTCACATTGGGGCTGCTCCAGAAGCTCAAGATGGCCCCTCTTCAGTTAATAACTCTGTCAACAGGATAGCTGGAAACACCTTACAAACTGAATTTTCATGTCAGGAAAATAGCAAGACTGAAAATGTAATGGGTAAAGAGGGAAGGGCTTCTGTGGGAGTTAGCATATCAAAAGAACCAAAACATAATTTGAATAATTTGTGTCCTAATACATTAAGTGAGAGAAAGTGCAGTGAGGCAGAGGTAAAGGCTCACCAATTGAATGATAGCAGTACAGTTACAAAATCTATTAGTATACCTAATACAATCACACCAACTAAAACTGTTTCAAGTAAACTACTTTCAGCAAAAATTCCTGTTAGTTTTGATCTGATCAAGAGTGAGCCAACTCTTTCTCTGCCAACAAACCAGTCTAATACCAATAAATATTCCATAGCAGCCTATTCACATGAGAAAAGTGCATCTTCCCAAAAGTTGGGTAACACTATCATTACACAAGAAACACACAATAATGTGAAAAGGCAAGTTGTTTTTGAGAGTGACGACTCTATTTTTCCAGCGAAAGTCGATAAAAAAAAAAATCCAATGAAAGAAAATAACACAACACAAATTAAGGAAGCGCGCTTAGTCAGCGAGTTAAATGCTCGGAATAAAAGTGGGCTTAGTTTCCTTCAAGCAGTATATAATGATGATGGTTTAGATGAAGGAACTCGGATGAATAGTAATAAGACTGATGTTCAGTTTAATGGTGATAATTCTGCCATGAGTGGAACTAAGAATATTTTGACTCCTGATATGACTGGTATGCATGGCCAAGTTGTGTATGATAATAAGTTAATGAAAGATAAGTTAAAAATTGCTGAAACCAAGGCAAAACACATAAATGGAACAGTTGAAACTGTTGTTAAAGGTGATCAGTTAATACAAGGTGTTCCCAATACACACACTGCGCATAGCTCGGCAGTTATGTTTGACAAGCCCAAGAGCCTCTATTCTCAGGCTCCTAGTGTTGCACAAATGTCATCACCACCACTGAAATATTCTGTAGCTCCTAAGAATTCCAGTGTTTCAGTTCAAAGTCATAGCAATGCTACTAATCCATTTACACCTGCAGCCGTTAAATCTTTTGCACAATCAGTCACAACTCCTCAGGCAAGAAGATTATCAGGATTAGCAAAAACTGCTTTAAGTTCAAGTTCTTGCATTGTAAATGATGATATTTCTTCAGATTCAGTGAAGTCAGTTGACTCGTCAAGACAAACTGCTATTATTGATAGAGACACGGCGGAAGTTTTGCTCATTATGAATCCAACGAGTCCCGTTTCGAACCACTCTAGATCCAGCAAACCTTCATTAGGAGATTCACCTGCAGAACAGCAGAATATATTTATTGATGAGGATTCAAATTATGGAAATGTAGTTGGAAGCTCTGATAGACAATTGGGGAAGACTGCTCCATCACCCTCATCAAGTAGACCAGTATTGTCATCCACACACGATCGTGGTTGCCATCCCAGTTCTCCAGGGCGCAGAAGTGTTAGCGAATACAGCAGTCATGCTGCTCCTGGTTCTTCGTCCCCAACACTAACTGGACCCTCAACTCCAGCAGTATTTAGGTTCAACGAGCGTGTCAGCTCCTCGGGTAGGACGATTGCGCCTCCAAAACGCTACCTAGATGATGATGAAGCAATGTATGCCAAGAAGCGCCGTGATAAGCCAGGACAGGGTAAACCACGTAATGTTCTTAGATAGGTATGGGATAGTTTAAAAAGTTATGAAGTTTAATGTGGCCAAAAATATGAATTTTAGAGGTAAAAAGCTTAGTGATGAAAATTGAACATGCTTTTCCTCTAGGGAGTAATTCAGGATAAATGATAAAAATTCAATGTAGAAAATAAAGAAAGTTGTCTGCTGTGAAGACTTGAAAGGTTTATAATACACCTAAGGATTCTTGTCCATTGATATGAAGAATTCTCAATTCAAGTACAAGTGAATGTTGTAGCCAAGAGGGTTTTTTTGTTTTTTGTTTTTCCCAAGATTCATTAGTATCACTTCATTCTGAATTTTGTTAATTATTGCCTAGACCATAACATTAATAGTTAATAAACATTGCACATTCTTAAAGCCCCACATCTGAGTTGTTAGAATCATACCAGGTTCTATATTATTGGACACTTAATTTATGTTATCAGACAAATTAATGAGACTGAAGTATTTTGAAAAATGCAGTTTAAGGTTTACCTGCATTAAATTGTACTTTATATAAAGTGAGAAGGCAGCATAACCATCCCACCATGGCTTGACGAGGTACTTGGTGTGAAATGCACTTGCAAGTGATACTACACGAGCCACACTGTCGGAGAATTGTCAAGAGTGGTTTTTGGCGTTTCTTTTTTTCTCTGTTAAGATTATAAGTGACCGAATATCAGTATAGTAATAACTTTCATCCCTAGCAAAGAATTGGCTTAACCAGGTACATTATAAACAAATTAACATTCAAAATTGGGTATTCATTACTGACATGAAGAAGACTACAGGTGGATTGCAGATATGCCTGGTAATTGACAATTTACTCTTATTTTCAAATGAAGTTATATTAAAGATAATATATATATTGTATTTGTATTTATATTTTTCATGCACAAGTTTGAACATAAAAATGAAAGAGGACATCCATGTTGTATTTATAAATTGTTGGTGTTAGATATTATTGTGGAGAAGTTGAGGATATGAACTACAAATCTGCTATGTTAGCAGTATACAAAACACACACACACACACACACACACATTAATAATTTTATTTGTTTTCACATTGTTGTGAAAATCAGTTTGATAAATACAGTATATACATATCCACTGGTCTAATCCTTAGACATATGTATATAAAGCCAATGTCAATACCATATAGTCAGGTTTGTGTATGGATACGTTTATATTGGACAGCTTTGGAACTCCCAAAATATCTCTCAGGAAAGCAACAAAAAAGTTAAATCAATGAGGTTTAATAATTTTTGCAGTTATAATGTAAGTAATGAACCTCTTGTACAAATTTGCAGTTTAACTTAAAACTTTGTACAATGTTGCACTTGAGTTACTACTTCTTAAATAGCAATGACAGAAGGAACATAGACATTAACAAGATCATAGATTTGTGTCCCTTGTATATATATTGATTGGAGAAAAATCTGTAAGTAACGGTGCTCTGTATGCAAGTTCAATAATGTATAGGCCTGAAATGGAATCTCTTGGATAAAATGATTATTTATGGTGATAAATGTGAAATGAAATTCCTGACATCCTATATCATGTGTTTTAGCACACTGGAAGGTGTTTGCAGAGATCATGTCTTGCAACACATTTTCAACATAATCTGGATTGCAAATCTGTGATGAATATTATCCTGTGTGACCAGAAATGTTTCTCTTCAACACCTTGTTATTGATATGTAAATATGTATGTAAATGTCTGGCATGTGTATACAGTACAGTTAATTGTTTTCACTGGTTCAATTTGTTTATTTTTACGTTACTTTTCCTAGAGTTTTTTTTTTTTTTTTTTATGTATAGTGTGTAATTTCCATGTTTCTTTTATGCCTCGCCTACTAAGTTTTTCATAAGTTGCTTGTGTCATTTGTAGTAATATTTATAATAGGACCAAAATTCTTTTCTGGGTAATGTTGAAGGGTGTTGTGAGTTGGGTCAGGAGTTTGTGATGCAACTTAATTATAAATTTAAATGTTTGTTGTTTTGTTTGATTAATAGATGTTTAGGAAGATGTTTTTGGTCACACATTTCATTATAAAGGTTCTGAAATAAATTTCCATAATATTGGAGAATTAAACTCCATTTATTATTTTGTAAGTAACCTTGCTGTATGAATAAATGATATTTTTTCTTTATTTACCTTTTTTTTTTCCAAGATGGTGATATATTATTAGAATTGAATGTATTTGTTTGAATAGGTTCTGTGAAATATCCAAGTTATATAATGTGAAAATATATTAAAAGTATTACAATTAAAATATATTCTCAAGTAAAAAAACATTCCTGAAATATCTACATTGCAAATTTTGGAGCTTGTTCCATGAAGTCCAGATGCTGGAAAAGACTACAGGCAAACTTTCCCTACTATTGTGGAAATTTATATGTAAAAACTTAAGAAGTAACACATCCTTGAAGGCTGGTGCCTTTATAGGCTAAATGCTTCAGTGATTCAAAGGGTTGTTGAGGATGCCTTAAATTTCTCGGCGAACCCAAAAAGTAATAATCAATAAAGTAAAATCTGGACTATCTACCATGAAAGGATGGTCCCAGAAAACTGGTTGTTTCAGTACATTTTCTTGTTCATATATTAAACACAAGTGACGCAAACTATAGTAATGTATCAATGTTTAAAGATCGTTTTACGAGAGGCAGTATAGACTATAGAGGACACGCCACATCTCCAAACTGAAGTAAATAAGGTCTTCCAATAGGTTACAGAAAACATGATGTTCAGTGAAAGTAAGTTAAAAGTTACTCTGATACGGAAAAGTTAGAATATTAAAACAGGAACCATATATAAAATGTACTGTAGTTAAATCACACAACAAAGAAAATAATGAAGACAAGATATGGGAGTAATCATGGCTAAAGATTTTACCATTAAAGAAAGCAATATAAATATTAAAAAAAAAAAAAGACAGGCTGGGTAACAAGAACCATTCAAACAAGATGTCAAACCAATGACGGTACTTTTTAAGATACTAATGCTTTTTAGGGTGGAATCTTGTTGCACTAACAATCACATCCATACCTGGATAATTCCCTGACCCGGAGAAAGTGCAAAGATCTATTACTGCACAAAACTTCTATTTATATAAATCCAAACTAATTTATAACAAATACAACTTTTGAAGAGACTTTGATGCAGAAACAGGTCATGTGCCGCTATCTATTATCGGTATTTTACCACAAGAAAGGCGTCTGTATACGTCCCTGTGTACGTCCCTCCCAAGTCTCCACCACATCTACAACTTCACTGAAGGTCATGGAGCAATGTTCTTAGATGCTCTACACTGAATTTCTACAACACCAGTTAGTAAGTACAAACGGTAAAATATTTGTGATTTATCATAATATACCTTGTAGTAACAATGCTTGTGAAGATATTCTTGTAAGGTGAGCAAGAGAGATAACATAATATACATAATTTAGATATAAGCTGTACACATTTGTTGTTTCCATTCATACGATAATTGTGGTGTTAGGTATGACCTGCTGGACCATCTTGAGACAAAACTTGACTTTCTGGCGTCAATAGTTTTTTTGTAAAGCATTTACAGAGGGCAGGGCCTGTCGCTGATTGCTTAATTTCTATATTATAATTACTCGCATCTTTGACAAGGAAAAACGAAAACATCTTGCAAAACATGCTTCAGTGCGTGCTGGTTGTAAACTCGTCATCTTGAGATGATTTCGAGGCTTAGCGTCCCCGCGGCCCGGTCCTCGACCAGGCCTCGGTTTTGTTACACACACCCCGGAAACAGCCCGTAGCAGCTGTCTAACTCCCAGGTACCTATTTACTGCTAGGTAACAGGGGCATCAGGGTAAAAGAAACCTCATTTTGTTTCCGCCTCTACCGGGGATCGAACCCGGAATCTCAGCACTACGAATCTGAAGTGCTGTCCACTCAGCTGTCATAACCCCCCTCCCCTCGTGGGTAAACTACTGGTAAGTTTACAAATAACTTGACGAAAAAGTATGCAAGTACAGTAATGTTAAATTTGTATCATCCGCTATATAGATCAGTCATGTGCACACATCCATAATTTATTTTTGTTAAATAAATTATGAATTTTCAATGTTAATAATTGTTCATATGCTCAGCGACATTACACTCAAACTGTAATCAGTATACAAATTTTGTTGCATTTATTTCTGAGATTTTATTTACACTAAATTCATAGTTATAATTAAATGTAATTTGGAAAATGAAAACAAAAGAGGTTATAAACATTTCAGGCGTCAGAGAGCGGAGGGGGCGAAGAATTGGGAGCGGGCGAGCTTGGATCACTATGGTGGCAATTCCATATCTATCCCTCTCGTTGCACTGGTAATTCTCTAGCAGTGTCTGCCGAGATCACACAACCCAACATATTCCTCGTTCTGAAATCATTTATAATGCATCTGACTGCATCAGCTCAACATCTAATCACAGGCAACAACTCTGATATAGTTTCAACAAGAATTTTTTTCATTTCCCCCCCTCGCAATTGAAGGAAAATATGTTTAATAATTTACCCAATATTTCATTTCATTAACGTAATTTTTTCTATATTATTATACAGTACAAAGTTTACATTGTAATATACAAATTGTTTACACATTTCCAGACATCGGTGAACTGTTATAATGTGTTTTTATTAACAATTCCAGAAATAAACTGCAAAAGAAAAGCCATATTTAATAAAAAAATTTATTTATATAGTTTGGTTCTATTAAATTAGCTCCCTAATTCTAAATAGAACCCATGAAAATTATAACGAGTTCTATAAAATTAGTAACCCTAATTCAATATAGAACTGGGGAGACGAATCATACAAACTGAGAGAGGTTTGAGTGCCAAGGAAATGGATCAGTAATACTGAGCGCCTCTAGCTGCCCCACACTGCTCGCGTCTTCAATCAAAAACGTCCAACTCTACTCTATCTACAAAAATGAAATAAGAACTGTAGTATGTTCGATAATTTCTTTACACTGTGTTTTAATGAATACAAACAATATTTAATATATACAATTAAAATCAAAATTAAAATTCATTGGTTCTAAATGTTCATAGAAAATGACTGATAAATTAAAAAAACTATTACTGCCTAACAATATCATCTGGAACAATTATAAAAGTGTATTAAATTTGTTAATTATTTTCCTGGATGCACTATATTTTATTATATTGTCATACAAAACTTATTACTTTGCACCTACCTTAGTATATACCTACCCTAGTATACACATACACTAATATACACATCCACTCATATATACATACATTAGCATATAATACAGTAAAGTGGCTCATTATAATGTATTACTCACAGTTCAATGTTAATACTGTATAAAGAAATCTTTCCTTCGATTATAACCTTCGAATTAATAATGTTTCAGATCAGAATATACCTCAATAATAAGTAATGTCAAAAGGATGTTTGGATAATAAAAGTAATGTAATAACAACCTATTATCTCATGGAGTAACAGCACTTCGTGTTGGCTTCGGTGAACTGCTGGAATCAAGTTTGGAGAGACTTGAAAATGTTCGAAGATCAGCAGATGTGGCTGTGTTCTCTCTCTTTGGAACTGCTCGTGCAGGCAAGGGAGAGTCTAGTTGTGAGAGGCGGGAAGGAATGCTGGAATCATTGAGATGTGGGACAGATTTTGTAGGAGGAGAGGACGTACAACTACCACTGTCGGAACCACCACTTGAGCCACCGTTAAGAGTGATGCGTTCCCGAGGTGGGTAGTTCTCTATTAGAGAAAATTCTCGTTTACCAGATGAATCCCTGTCACCAGTTGGTATTCCTTGATCGTCATCAAGGTCCTTCTCGTGACCAATCTCCTTGCTTACATTACGTCTAGCATCCCGCAGTGATGCTGCCAACCGCAGTCGTCGCCTGTGATCAGTATGACCAGGGCGGCTTGCCCCATCATCCACAGCATTGGCGTCAGGTTGTGAGCCGAGGTCGGAAGGTTCAGGCGTGGTGACCGGGCTGGGTGTTGGAGTGGCAAGTGGGGTGATTATGAAGCCTTCTTCTTTACACGACCTTGGAGAGCGCCGGCTTCGTCTTACCCTGCGTCTCTCCTCGACTCCTTCCTGTTAAAAGTGCAAGCATCATTTACAATAATAATGCCTGTGCATATTCTTTGCCATGTTATAGTTGAATAAAGTCCACATCAAAATACAATTGTAGGTTTAACAAAGACACTTGTTAAACTGCAATATTACCCCTCAACTCTTGCATGCAACAAAAGCTCATTCTTGGTGTGATTACAGTTTACAGGTGCATTGATGGTTTGATAATTTATGCCTTTTTAAAATGGTAAAATCAATCTTTTATTTGAATATGGACTACTAAGGTTGTAAGTATGGCCAACATGCAAGTGGTATGCCTGGGCTGCAGATTGAGTGTGAGTTGAGTTTAGGTCATTTATTATGCACCCCATACCCATCCCGTGGGCGGTAGTGGAAAGGGTTACAGAGGCACATAATGGGCTCAGGGACTGAACCCCACAATTCATTTAGCTAAGCAAGTTACAATCTTGATGAGCTAGTTACAAAATTTAATATAAGTCGTCACATCAACAATGGGTTCGAGATCGACCTCAAGTGCAGTTTCTAAATTAAGAAACTGACATATGTGGAGAGCTAGTGTCAAAATTTATATGTTTGTCCTGCACACCGCCCCCCATCCAGTGGGCAGCGGTGGATAGGTTACAATTGAGTGTGACGGAGACGACATGTTAAAAGAAGTAGAGATTTATTTTGATTTTCTGTGAAGAACAATCAAACCATTTTTATATAATTTTTAATCAATTACATTAAACATTTAATTGATGTTAGTTTGTCAAGACTGACTCATAACATTTAAGATAAACTTACAATATTCACAAGAGCAACTTGCAGTGTTCTAAGCACTTACAAACCTACAAATTTTGTAGCATTCTTTTCAGTGTAAGAGTTGCCTATTGTCTCTCCAACACTGTTTTCTAATGTGTGCTTCTCAAGTCTGAACTCTGCGCAAGACTCACATTTGTGGAGGAGTGTGTCCGTAGCCTGAGCCTGCGGGCTGGTGCTTCTGGGGAGCCGCGTAGCGAGGCGCGGTCACCCGCCTCTGTCTTCCCTCGACTCCCAGCGCTAATTGGCGGCAGCCGACCACTCCTGCCCATTGCATAAACTTTAGTTAGCATCACCCTACATTAGTGGAAATATTTGTAACATATTGTGTTATATAATGTAGAACTGATAAAAAAATTTGTACATTTGTAGATTTTGATGTAGATTTTGAAAATCTACAGCAATTCTGCGAAGATTGGAAAATCTATAAATTTACAGTCATTCATGCTGACTGGGCATTGATTCTAGGGCATTCGTTAGTATTGAACAGCAATGCAATGAATATCGTTGTGGTGTTTTTTTCAGGTGTTTACAGTTATAATTGTTTTTGAACACGAGGTTATGGCGATGTGTTTTAGCTGTGAATGCGTGTAACAATGTAACACAGAGCGTAGAGGTAGAGATGAAACATATACTGACAATAACAATTTTAGGTAAAATATATTTACCTTAAATATATATGTACACCTTCCCCCCCCCCCCATCCGTTCCATGCACAATAAAAACGTGGGTGAAGCATTTACAGCAACCCGTGTTTGGACCAAGTCCATTCCATCCAACGGTCGACCCCAAAGACGACTGTGAAGTTGCTAACTCTGGTACTGTTCACCATACCAAGTGCCCAGACACTGTTCACCGTACAAGGTATCCAAGTACAGTACTATGTTTACCATATACGGGGGCTTCACAACCCTCCCTTCAACACATCGCCACCATCGTGTCTTTGCTATTATTATTCCTTGTATCGTGCACACGTTCACACACGGACAACCTCTCGTCATAACAAATGATATAATCACTAATATCACCAAATAATCAATAAGCGGCGTGTTTGGCAAGAGGCGTCAGGCGGGAGCAGAGCTCCTCACACCGCCTCTCACCCGCCAAGGACGGCCGCCTCACACAGTTGCTCTGTCAATGTAATGGACTGAACATATTCCTTTATGCGAACTTCTCTTCTTTCTTTCTTTATTATGCACCCCATACCCATCCCGTGGACGGTGGTGTAAAGGCTTACAGAGGCACATAATCGATTCAGGAACTGAACCGTCTAGTTCGTTTAGCTAAGCAAATAACAATCTTTTGACGCTAGTTACACAATTATTAATGTTATATATACGTGTACACACTCTCATACATACATGTACATATATATATATATATATATATATATATATATAAATATACGTATACATATATACATACTTTTTATATTAGTATATTTTGGTAACAGTCTTTCTTGTAAACATATGTTGTTAAATGTGACCGAAAAGGTAAGATTAATAATTCTAACACGAATCTTCTCAATATTTCTTATGTTTTTCTTCACTGTCGGTGGTAATAAAAATAACAATTCTCCGAAATTCATTTTTTAATTGTCTGACGCCTGAACGCGTTTCGTAATTCGTATTACATTTTCAAAGACAATTTACACACAAATTCTTCGTACTTATACTCTATTGGATGAGGTGATATGGTACAAAAGTTTTGGGTGAGGTGACAAACACAAGACAGAACACGAAATAATGGGGTATAAATCGGATAAGTGAACATATGAATGGAAGTAACTGCAGATCCACTTTTCTAATTTATACCCATTGTTTCGTGTTCTGTCTTGTGTTTGTCACCTCACCCAAAACTTTTGTACCATATCACCTCACCTCGGTACGAAGAATTTGTGTGTAAATTGTCTTTGAAAATGTAATACGAATTACGAAACGCGTTCAGGCGTCAGACAATTAAAAAATGAATTTCGGAGAATTGTTATTTTTATTACCACCGACAGTGAAGGAAAACATAAGAAATATTGAGAAGATTCGTGTTAGAATTATTAATCTTACCTTTTCGGTCATATTCAACAACATATATATACATACACATACATATTTAATCACCCACACAAATACACACATCAATAATCTTTTGTGTCACAAGTGATCAACAAGAGGCTCACAACAGTCACTATACAAGGCACTTTACATCTATGGTGAGTCACACAGTTACTAGTCTTGCTCCACACCCACCCAACTGGGCGGCAGCTTTACAGTCATGTGCTCCACACCCACCCAACTGGGCGGCAGCTTTACAGCCATGTGCTCCACACCCACCCAACTGGGCGGCAGCTTTACAGTCATGTGCTCCACACCCACCCAACTGGGCGGCAGCTTTACAGTCATGTGCATGCATTACCTACAGTAAGCAAATTTTGGATACTTCGCTAAGATTTCGGGCAGCACATCATTATGAATGAAGTACTTACACATTTCTTGGACACTATTGATGGTGTTATCTCTAAATTCCGCGATTTTTTCACATTCCATTATATAATGACACAAAGTATGCAAATTATATATATATATATATATATATATATATATATATATATATATATATATATATATATATATATTATATATATATTTCATTTTCAATGACAGAAAAGTAAACATTATAGAATAAAAAACTATTTAAAAAAACGAAGAATGACTACTATTACAGTATCAACTATTCTTATTTTCTTATTTTTTAAAATAAAAATGTATTTTATTATTAAATGAAAATGATAAAGTAGGTTGAGTGAAGTAACTCACGCTTCTAGGGTGAGCGAGGCGCGGGACTCGCTGGAGGCGGCCTCAATGGCTGACACAATGCCAGAGGTGTTGGTGTCCGAGGACTCGCTGCTGTGCTTGCGTCCAGACTTGCGTCTTGCTGAGAGTGAGGGCGAGCGGGAGGAGGCAGCCGTGGTGGAGGTGCTCTCACCGGCTCCCTCACTCCTCCGCCGGTACTGCTGCAGCGACTCCAACTCTCTCTCACGCTCCTGAAACAAACTTGACATTTCAAACTCCATATTTACATTTCATAAAATAAATTTTTTTATTATTTTGTGTTCCCAGTAGGGAGGCCTCGGTAAGTAAATAGTGATCAAAATAATGCACCAGACCGAGGAGACCATGGAGCAGAGCGTGGGGTCGGTGCGCGCGGCCCCAACACTTATATTACCAACAAATAGCCTTGCCTGTATCAACATTGCTAAACAACTGCACGCAACCGTGAGGTGAGGAAATGTTCTCACAACTCACAACTTAGATTGCTACTCTTAAAGTGTACAGATTACTAATTGAAATTTATTATATATGTGTCTCAGAATTTTCATTATATCAGCCCAAACAATGGTAGCTTGCCAAGTGTTTGGTATTGTTTATAACGTGATATTGCGGTTTTGTCAACATTTAAAAATCTGCATTACAAAATAACAAGTCATTTCGTACATTTGTTTAATAATACATATATTAGTATACTAGCTGTACCCGGCCACGCGTTGCTGTGGCTCAGCAACGTATGTACGTTGCTGAGCCACAGAAAAAAAGTGGCCGTTTTTTTCCGTTTTCAGAAAAAAACATGTTTTTTACCGTCACAGACGTGACATCTATATTAGTATGTATATAAAAACCTGGCAAATGGATGCAAATGGAACATTGTGTGAAAATTTCAAAGCAATTGGTAAAGAAATTTCGGAGATTAGCGATTTTGAACAAACGAACATTTCCATTTTTATTTATATAGATATATATCAGAAAAACTTCCTCGTGAAGCTTTCGAACCTTAGACAGCCAGGAGCTACAAACACACTAGCATGTCGAGTACTATGACCAATGAACCGTGACCGTCTGATCAAAATTATTAGTAGTCAGAGACTATTTAACCCAATACCCAGTGATCTCTTGCCACCGAGTGCTGTCGGTGGCACTACCCTGCCACCCAAGACACTACCCTGCCACCCAGGTCACTACCCTGCCCCCCAGGTCACTACCCTGCCACCCAGGTCACTACCCTGCCACCCAGGTCACTACCCTGCCACCCAGGTCACT